ATATAAACAAACGCTATACATTAAGTATAAAACACTGTTATACATATAATTTACAACAAAAAAATAATCTAAAAAATAGCATTAATTAACAAAATATAAAACGTTTAATTAAACTGATTATGATTCATTTTTATTGTTTGTTGTTATATCAAATCTTTTTCCATTAAATATTTTTTTGATAATGTAATAAAACATGTATTGTATATAAAACAACATTTTTATGAACGACAATGTTTGTTTTATAACAAACAAATTTCATCAAAATTATTTTTTGCTTTAATGCTTCACAAGTTCATTATATTAATTAAAACAACACTATTTTGTATTTTTATACATTCTTTTGATAGATGTATGTATTCCTTTTTTATTCTGAATTTAATGCTAATTTCTAATATTATTTCTTTTGTACATATATATATATCAAAGTTTTTTGTAACATGCGTGTACTTGATATTCTATTTTTAACTTATTTAAAAAAATTATTTTCTTAGATTAACTCTCTTAATATCGATGTAACAGTTACATTTTTATAATATTTAAATCAATTTTTATTTGAATAACGTCTTTATTTGTAATGTATGTGTCGTATAGTTTATACAAAAAGTATAGTTTATTCTTTATTTAAATGTTTTTATTTAATAACAAATATTTATATTTATTAACTCATATTTATCCGTAAAATTTACTTTGATCATCTTTTTTTCTTTTTTTTTAGTACAGAAATATGATCATAAAGCGGTATTCATAGTCCGTTCTTATATTTAAGATAGTCTTAAGTATTGTCTTAAAATTGAAAGTTATCAAATAAAAACTGTTTTGGTATTTTAAGGTAATGATGACGATTTAAGATCTGAAATATAAGAAACAACTATAAATACCGGCCATAAATCTACAAAAAAAGAATCGGAATAAATTGCAACTAAATTTCAAATACAAAAAATTTTATATTTCAAGTCATTAGAATAAAGATGGATTTCGTCATCGAAGGAGGATGAATCATATATAAGCTAGATCAGTTGTCAGCTTAAGTCAGTCTTGATTCACGTTCTTCACGTGGAACTTTCTTCATCGCTTTAGTAGACACTTGAAAAACGACTCTTTCAACGTAAAAAATGTTAGTTACAGTTATAACGTTTGCGCTTTTTACAACATTTGTTACAGCGGAAATACGTAAGTAATTGAATTATGTTTTTATATATTATATATTATTGTATATTGTTATGACAGATATTTTGCTATTACAATATATGTACAATTTTTTTTGCTCTCTTACTCATAAAAGAATTTGCATAAGACTTCGAAAAAATATTTAAAAAATAACATACTAATAAAATATTTCTCGAAGTAGATTATTCATTTTAATCTGCAAGTATAATCTGTAATTAAATGTTGACTTTAACATCAATTTATTAATTGAATATTTATGTGTTATGATACGATATGTAACATATTAAAGAGAACGTCTCATAAAGTATCCTTACAAGATCAATGCACAATAATGTGTATTATAAACTCGATTTGTTATAAGTGTATTTCTCTGTTCAAAGTGACTCTGTTTAATGTTTTTTTATTATAAGTTACTTTATTACTGCTTTTACTCACAAAATATTATATTATCCCAGGTAGCACATGTTCATTTCAGAAACGTTTCACAAATGTTTTTTCGAAATGTTTTATAACGTTTTTTAAAAACGTTTCTTGTTGGTTAAAATGTCAATCCGAAAAACATTAAGAGAAACATTATTTTTCCGACAAAAGACGTTTAAGAAACGATCAAATAAACGTTTTTTTCTTATACACGCGCGAAAAAAATGTATTTTTTCTTACGGAATTAATAAAATAATGCGTTTATATATACAGAGTATTCCATTTTAAAAGACCCATTGGAATATCTTTTTAAAAAAGCGTTTTAGAAAAAAACGTTTTAAACAAAAGTTGTTGGGTTCCGAGGGGAACATCCAATGGTGACATTGGTTTAACCTACGGCAGTGCTCGGAATAGTTGAACATTTTAGCCGATTTCCGATCTATACGCCTTCTATTCCACTAGGCCTATTCCACTAAAGATAAAAATAACAAATTTTTAATTTAAAAAAAATATATATACAGGGTGTCCGACAATTGCTGAATCACCTCTCGGGTGTAGTTAGAGCGGGTTAAACTCGCGCACTTAAACTCGCACGAATTGGCCGATTTTCTTTAATTAATTTCTCATTAGTTATTGCAAAAATCGCAAAACAGTAGAGGACTTTTCTACTCGGTTTAACCCGCTCTATCTACACACGAGAGGTGATTCAGCAATTGTCGGACACCCTGTATAAAAGAGATTTTCTTAATTACATTTTCTTGGCCTTTTATGAGAATGAACAATTGATGCAATATAATGTAGATAGAAACCACTATTTTTAAAAAAACGCGTCAGCATTAGTACTTTATGGGTGACGTAGAAATCTATTGAAATATTTCCACTTAATAAATTTAAAAATAAAAATTTATTTTTAATAAATTTTAATAAATTTTTTAAATTTTAATAAATAAGGAGAAAAGCCCACTCATAATCAGATAGTGCCGCTCCTAACGCTCGGCGGCGCTGGCTCTAGCGGCTGCAGCGCGCGCGGTAAGAAGAGGAAAGGAGGCGTATACCACGGAAATCGGCTGAAATGTTCAACTAATTTCGAGCACTGACCTACACCTAAGTGCCAAGATCATATAAAGGTCAATTTTGTTTTTTCTTTAATGGAACACTCTGTATATGAATGTATTATTGTGTCTATATATATATATTATTATTATTATATCATAAAAATATTGCACACATTATTATAGATTCTATGTTATCGCAATTTTATTCTACCGATAGCTATTAGTTATTAGTTATTAGGAAATTGAGAAAAATGATTAAAATTAATTGCAGCTTCATACTTTCACGTATGCAACCGCAGAGATCCAAATCTTGATCAATGTATCATGAAGAGTGTTAATAATTTGAAGAGTAAGTTATGCAAAGGAATTCCGGAATTGGAAGTACCGCCGCTGGAACCATTGCGTCTTCCCAAACTAATCCTTTCCGAGACGAATAACATCAAATTATATATCGATGATTTAGAAGTATTAGGAATTTGCGGTTATACCTTGAACGACGTACATGTGGATCTTGACAAACTCACATTAAAACTCAATGCTACATTGAACAATATATTTTTCAATTCCACATATGATTTCGATATACGTATAATGGTGGCTATTGCTACCAAGGGACAGTTATCTTTTACTGCAAGTAAGTAAAATAATCGATTTTCCACCAGAATAAGACAAAATTATTTAAAAACTACGCATTTTAATATAAAAGATTGAAGACCCGTTTTTACATTGATATTATCTGATTGTGTTTTTTTGCAGATTATTTAAATCTGAATTTACTCTGCGATTTGAAAATGGCAACCAAAAGTGGCAAGAAATACTTATACATGTCAAAAGTAACGACAAATCTCGAAATCGAAGGTTTTAAAACTAAATTTGAAAACGATAAATCAAACCAATTACAGGAAATTATTGCGAATTTTATAGGCAATAATGAGAAAGAAATTCTTACAACTTTTACGCCGGCGTTAGAAGAAGCTATTTCCAAATTTGTTCTCTCAACTGCTAACAATATAATGAAACATTTTACTTATGATGAGTTATTCCCCGACCGAACGTAAATCAGCCTACAATTTTTACATCTATTGGCATAGAATCATTGCGTATGTAATTATAGAATTTCTATACTTGGAGACGTTTTGCAACTCAAATGTAATCTTGTAACCAACCAAAGGAAGTGACAGAAGTATTTCCCTTCGATTTTGACAAGCTTTGAATATGTTGTAGAATAGCTCAAAATAACAGACACATTTTTTTATCTATTTTCTCCCATGTTTAGAGATTAAAATTCTACTGAAAGCTGAAGCAGTATATTTAGTTTTAAGAGAATATGATCAAAACTTTAAGAGATGTAAAAAAATGTTTCCAATAAAAATTTTATGAACTTTATAACCGCATAGTTGGATTTTTAAGAAACCTTATATTTTTTAATTCACTCCCATTCCTTGTTATTATTTTTACAAATTTCAAAATTTTTGTAACGACAAAAATGGTACGATTTTTTACGTTGAATTCAACTATATATAATTTTATTATGTTTCAAAATTGCATCTTTGAAAAACGAATCGGAAATATCGCACTATATGCATCACTTTGCACGATGCATCGTTTATGCCGCGCTTGTGTCGCGCAATAGTCGATAAGAAATACGTATACGCAGACATTATGTCGATAATATCAATCTCATTTTTAGTTTTATCTAAATGATAACGCTTTCGTGTTAGAGTCGGCAGGCGCATTTCTAGATTTCTTCATTTATCTCCGGGCCCCTTGGATAGTAACAAAAAATTATTCAGCTCTGTCGGTCTTTAATAAATTTTGTCTGCGATTATATACATATCTTTTTCTTGCTTTATATATTTAAAAATATTTCTAATTATAGAATTTAAAGAAATTACAAGGAAAATGCAGAAAGCACAATTGAAAAAATCGACTCTGTCAAATATATGAAATAAATATTTCTATTTATTTACATATTATGTAATTTTTTTTCTATTATTTTACAGACATAATTTTATTATATTCTTTTCTTAAATAGTTTTCTAGTTTAATAGGCATTTATTAAAAGTACAAATACAATATAAAAAATGATATGAAGGGAACATGTTAGATATTCATGTTATAAATTCGAAGGTGTAATTTAATGATTACTCTGACTATCTTAATCTTGTGTGTCAATAATGGTATTGTAAAACTAATTAAAACACAATTGAATAATTTATATTTGTTAATCGCTATTGAGCGATTCGTTGTAGCAACCACGACATTGTGACGAGTGTTCCGGCAGCCGTGATCAGCGAGCCTAGAAAAAAGAGAGCAATAACTTGAGCAACTTGAAAGACTTGCGTTTCACCGAATTAGTTTGTAACGATGCAATTAAGCGTAATTAACCTTTGGCACACGACTCCCCTTCTTTACACACACATTGATGATTGTCACATTTCAGCGTATCCAGAGTCATGTCTTTTATATAGCATTCATAGTCATCATCACAACTATTGTACAAATCTAAAAAAAAAAACATACATATGTTAAAAATATATAATACTCATTATTTACTTTTTTTATTTTACTATACATTTTTCTTAATTTTTTAAATATATTTTAAATTAAAATTAAAATTTTTTTATTTTAATCTTCTTTTTTCTTATCTCCTTTTGCGTCTTAATCTATCGATTTTTTGTCAATAAAGAAAATATTACCTCGGCTCAGAATGCAGTTTCTTGTTTGGTTTACAAAATGATATCCCGTATAACACTCGCATTTTTCGTTGATGCACATTGCGAAATTGAAGCTCTCTTGACACACCGTGTTTACTTGGCAGCGATCGCCAATCTTAGCAGGTCCTGTAATATTTTTTTTAATTATGAATTAAATTCAAACGGTATAATGAATTTTTCATCATTCTTCTTTATATTACTGTAATAAAAAGCATACTCACGGCTAATGCAATTTGAAGAATTACCGCTGTCTAAAAAGAAATCATCTTTACAAGCACACGTGCCTTGTCTGCATTCACCATTTGCCATCGTTTGACACGCTATGTTATTTTCGCAGCTCAATCCAACGGCTGTAGTTATTCAAAGAAAGATAAAAATGCCGATATTAAAAAAATAAATAAATATAAATTTAACATCTAGGCGTATATATATCTTAAAGCGATTATTCATCCAATGATAGAATCAATGTATAAATCTTGTATAAAAATTTGAAAAATCCAGAATTGTGTTTTAAAGTTAATGTATACAGAGCTATTTCTCGCGACGGATGTTAACTCGCTTTTGCGTAACACCATCCGATTGTCTTCTACACAAAAAATATTGTCTAGGAAACTCACTGGCGATGCACATTGATTTATCGGGACTTGGTGAGTAATAAGGATCGCACGAGCAGGTCTGCTGCCAGCGACAAAATGCGTTTGCGATACAATCGATGTCCCTTTGGCATTTCTCGCCGACCAACGCAAAGGTATGCCCCGCTAAAACAAGCAACAGTTCTAATTAACACCGATGATCGATCAATTGATAGAAAAGTACTTGCGAATTAAGGAACGGTCTAATAATTTTTATCTATCGCAGTTTGCTATCAGTAATACATCGATAACAACTTCAAGTGGCGTAATAAACTAAAAGGCGCTTAAAAAAGAAAACCGTCTGAGAAAAATATATCTAAAAGATAAAAATCTGTTTTGTAAACATCAAAAATGTTTAAACATTTAGAGTTTCTCTCAAATGTGTAAAAGATGTTCGAAAAACTAGAATTTTCTCTTAAAATCTCTTAAAAGCATCTAAAAAATTAAAATATTTCTTTAAATATTTAAATTGTCTTTAAAAATATTTAAAAAATTTATAATCTGCATCTACTTAAATCTTTTAGATATATTTTTATTGTCTGGAACGTAATGAGTTTTATGTTGCGGAATATTTGCGCGATAATTTATAAAGACAAGACTCACTATTCTCCTGACAGGTGGAATAACCAGCAAGCGCGCAGAAAAGGAAGAATATGCAGATGAGAAGCATCATTGGAAATCGTCGAAATCGACGTTCAGGTGTGAACGTGAAACATATCCAGGTGACTGCCAGATAACGAGCTCATATACGCACCTTGCGCTACGTTCTACGCCCTCGTGAGATAAATGTCTTATCTCTAGACGGATATCTAGTGATATCCAGTCCGTGAATCAGAGGTTTCATTTATCGAGCAAAATGCGTCCGTCATCATCGCCAATCTAAGAGCGGTGTGAGTGAACGCTTTAATTTACTTTTATTTCAAACGAGGAACGCGAAAGTCACTTTTATTTTCGACCGCGCTTGATGATTTATTTCGCTAATTTCGGGCGGAAAAAATATTTCAAACAATGAATGTGCCTGAAGCCGCAATATAAATTGCTGTTTATGAACAATATTAAAACCGCATATTGATTTTCTATTATTGTTACGTAAAGTAAAAATAAAAGCACGTTGCGTCGTCGATTTATGAATATGCTGCGTATAAAGTGTTTGCGCGTTAACATTATTTATTATGATAAAATCCTATTGACTTCATCCACAGCTTAGAAAAGCGATATAATACTATATTATTATAAAAATATTATTATAATCATCACTCTAGTTTTTTAAATTTATTCAATTAAAAGTAGTGCTATGAAAACAATAATTCTGCTAATTCGACTTTATTCAATGCGCTTTTTTATTATGGTTACTATGTGAAAAACGTGGCTTTACATCCACTTATATTCGTGTGGAACTTTACATACATCGTCTAATTCGTAGTGACGATTTGCATCACAAGTTACATTCTTCTTAGTTTGTCCGATTGGCAACTCAAATGTGATGTGCGAACGCATCATATCAAAATGCTAATACGGAAATTACAAGGAAATGAAGCAAATGTGTTAAATACTTTGGTATATTGCGGCAGCTGTTGGCTTAATAACGACAGAGAATCTCTATAAGCAGTGTTTAATATGTATATGCAATATTTAAATGTGCTTTGCACTATTATAAAATTATAAATAAAAAATTCCATCTGAAATTCCTTCGCAATTTATAGATCGTTCTAAATTAATTAACAACGCAACAGCAAGATTCGCAAGATTTAGAACTTTATTTATTCGAGTTGAAAACAGACGCGTCTTTTTCAAGAATTAACAGAAAAACTGGAGGTAAAATAATTAACAAATTATCTTGCCCGGTATAATAAACAAAGGAATGCGGAATAACGATCCTGTAAAACGCAATTATAACAGCGATAAATGTCTGTAATATCGGAGAATTTAATTAGCGTACTTTTGTGTCGCGTTCGCGAGCGTGGCTCGCGCGCGAAAATGCCGATCAGATTCATCGGTATACTCGGACGTATGGAAGTCGAGAGAAAATTAACGACACGATGGTGGGAGAATAGAGGGGACGGGAGGAAACAAACACAGAAATGTATTGTGGACACGGTCGCGGGGTGAGAGACAATAAACGGGACGAGCAGAGACCTTCGGATACTCGGCACTGCGGATTCGTCAGTTTGCCAGTTGCACGCGGCTGCTAATGCTGGATCGTAAGCCGATCGCAGAGCAATTTGAGCGATTAAAAGGAGGTTAGAAATCTGGTGATCAAGAGTATTGTAATTTATTAGTCACACTTAGAAATAGAGATTATTTATTCAATATGAAGATATACGTAGTTCTAAGCGCGATTATGCTGACGGTCAGTTATGCCAGTGGAGACAAAATCAGTGAGTATACTAAAATATTTTCTCCCAGAATTAACACAATTGAATCGCTTTGCTAATCATTTCATTCAATTCCATTCGCAAAATTCATTCGCAACACGATTGTAGAGACTCGTCGGATTTTCGCGCTTCGCGAGGCGCATGTGGAAGCATGTTCGCTTGATACAATTACAGAGAACGAGGAATTAATGTTTACGCTGTCGTGTAAACATCGCGTTCCAATACTTGAGTACAGGTGACCTCTTCTCCCGGGAAAGTTTCCTTCGACATTTATATTTCGCGTCTTTCTTCAAACTTTCGCTAAATCTAAATTTCACGTGTCCGTAATTTTCATATTGTTATTAATGGAGTTCATAAAGAAATAATAATTTTGCAATTATTAAAAGCAACATACTGTAAACAGTGTATTAGACTTTTCGAGTTGTCATTTTCAGATTTTTTCATTAAAAAAAATGACGTTAAATTGATGAAAGATTTCGTGGGTGAAAGATCCGGATCACTTTGCATAGTTAATTATTATAATACTTGACTTGTCTGAGCATAAAATTTTACACAAAATGCTCTACTTTTAACGATTATGATTTACGATACACAGATTACAACAATGTAGCATTTTCTTATCAAAGACCAAGACGCGGAGCACGCGTTTGCTTATCGTCGGATACATTTCTAACGACACATATCCTTAACATTTAAGTAAAACATTCTCTAATTAAAATTGCTCACCTCTTTAAATACATCTTATGAACGTATACATATTTCTCAACTGTTTAATGACGTTGGACAAAATTTTCATTATGTGTTTTCGTTATATGTGTTATTAACTCATTTATTAAATCGCAATTTACTATGACACGTGAACATCATAATTATACACGTGCAATTCATCACTTATCATAACATTAACACGTGTTACTCGTTTCTATTCAGTAACAGTTGCGGAATATTCAAATATTAATGTTTTTTTTCTGGATATCGAGGATGCTATTTATTTTTGCCAGAAATCTTACAGAAATCTTGTAAACATGCGATTAGTTCACACATGTTCAAGTTGAAATATTTTAAATTTTAAATCCTTTTAATTAAATCAATCATTGCAGAAAATATACAATCGTTAAGTTTTATTAAAGGAAATGGAGAAATTAATTTATCGCTTTTTAAATAATATTATAAGAAATTTAAAAATATATAGTGAAGAATATTCGCACGGAGGATTATGAATAATTTTTATAACGGAAGATTTGATAATAAACAACTAATAAAATCGGCGTCTTATCGCTGAGATAAGTGCTTCCGTATTTGTAATACATTTCCTCATTTATGACTGCTTTTGAAACGATTCGATTGCAGCCATTTCTATTCCATGCAGAAACACGACAGAATGTAGAAACATGACGATACGTCTTCCGAACGATGCTTTTTGCAAAGATGGATATTGCATGTGCCCTAATGCAGACAACGGAGTTAGCACTTGCTTTACCGATATGCATGCACCGAATAAAACTTCAGGTGATACAATTGCAAACAACCAATATATTTTCCAAATTAAATATATTATAAATAAATATATTTAAATATATTTAACTTGAATATATATTGTGCTTTTTGCGCTGTTTACTGACTTTTTCGATATGCAACTATTCATAAAGTAATTCTTTTTCAGGTCCTCTGCTCTATAAGCAATGCACGCACGCTCAAGATTGCAATTTCGAGGGTGGGCATTGTAACACTACTAGTAGACAATGTGCTTGCTTAAAAGATTATCTGCCGGCGAGCAACAAGCTTCATTGCATTAAAAGTAAGTGGGGAAAAATAGAAAGATTCTTGTTTCTCATGAAAAATAAAAGAGACAGTAGAAACTTTTTCTTTAAGTATAAATTGATATTTTTTAATCTATGATTTACAGCATTAAGCTAAAATTTATATTATCAATTTATATTACTTTTGTTTAATAGAGATTTTTTCGTTCGACGCCTCTTGCAAAGATAAAAATCAGTGTTTAGCGTTTTCGGCGAACAGCTCTTGTGAGTCTAATAAATGCGTTTGCGTGCCTTCTTATCATTACGTAGACAACGCATGCTGGAAAATGGCCCGTAAGTGCTATAATAATCTATTTGTTACAAAGAAAGCGACTATAAATAAGGAACTTCTTTTTGCGACATAAAGTAACTTTTATCGTTTTTACTACAAAAATTATTTTTATTGCAATTATTATTTTGTAATTTTTGATTAAATTTAAAATATTGAAAATTATTTATAAAATTGAGTAATTTATTCCATAAAATGGTTTTTCTAAGAAAAATTGAATATTTCCTTAGAAATTTATTTTTGCATCAGTTTTTTCCGTGCAGTTCGCAACCGATTTGCGATTTATTTACAATGTGATTTCGGAATAATTAGCGTAATCATAATTGCAGCATACAATGAGTCTTGCACAACAGATCAAGAATGTTCCCACATCGAAGGTGCCATATGCATAAATAATACGACATGTGATTGTGCGGCTGAAATGGTGTTGAACGAAGACGGCAAAAAGTGTTTGAGCGCTGCAAAAGCGATTGACGACGAATGTACGGAATCGGTGCAATGCACAGCGACATTTGAGCACTCATTGTGTCTCGACAAGATGTGCAAGTGCGACGAGGATTATCATTACGAACATAATCTATCGAGATGCTTTCCCAACAAAGGTATTCGAATTTTCTTCATAAATTTTTGATTCAAGAACTGTTAGAAAACTTAAGTGTTATTTTGCGCCTGCAAAAAAATATCGCACAAGATAAACATTGCCAGGAAACGCATTACAATTGCTAATTATAGCTTATATAATTTTTCAGGAATTGGCGATGATTGCGCAAATAATTACGAGTGTTATCAGGCAGAAGATTATGAGAAAGATCCTTCGATCAAGTCTGTGATATGCAAAGCCAACAAATGTACATGCGACGATCATTATATTAGGGAAAATGATAAGTGCGTCAGTGCTGGTTCGTAAAAAAAAAATAATTCCCTAATATGTTTTACAAAACGTTAAATTAAATATTTTATTAGCTTAAAAGAAATTATTTTATCTTTTTTGACTTTATCCGCTTTAAAAAAAAACTCTTACTTAGCACAATTTACACTTTTAGGCTCAATGTCCATGGCATCCTTGCCAATAATCATGTCTGTGATATCGCTGATTTACAGCATCTTTTTCTCGTAAAACTCTATCAGCCGCAAAATACAAATTTACAGAAGGAAACCACTCGTCGTAAGTGAATAGAATCTCGTTAATCCTATATTTTGATGTGATAAGAACTTAATAATTTATCCTAAGTAGGAACAAACGGCGTTGTACCTAAAACAAACTTGATCCGTAGATTTTGTTTATTATAAATTGCAATTACTCATATTATCATGAGAAAAACTCATGAAATTCTCACAAATAATAAAAATATTGTACATTAACGTGCGCTAGATTCAACAACTGGTACCTCAAAAAAATAAGATATATAATAGCACGAATTTTCTGCATAAATGTGTTCATGTGTGCATGTTTGAAAGTCTCATGCTATAGTTCAAAAACAAGGGAAAAAAATAAAAAATAATAAATAGATGAGATATTACGAGCGTCATGTCCAGAGTGCGATAAAAAATTACAATTTGTGTGTTTTGATGGTTGTTTGTAGTAATATATTTAAAAAATATCTAATATAATGTATTTAAAGTAATATTTAAAAAATAAAATAGATTAGCGCAATTTTTTTAAGCGCGATATGAAAATCAATTGTTCTCGATTGTTATTTTTTTGAAGGTTGAGACTAGTATGAGCCAATTTATTTTCGAATGTAATTCAATTTTTCTAATTATATTATTACAGGACCTAATTAATTAAAGAATATTTTACGTATTTTATTTTTTATAATACAATTTGATGCAGAATACAATATTTTTTTAGTCACTTCAATATTACAAAACATTTTAATGAGTTCTCTTCTAGTTGATTCTAATTCCTTAAAAACGATGTGTTTGAGCAAGAACCTGTTTTACTAAAGAATTAGTGTTGACAAATTCCGCAAATGTAAATTCAAAGATTCTGTAATATTAGAAGGACTATATAAGTTTTCAAATATTGTTATTTTTTATATTAAATTTTATTGCAAAAATAAAATACGCGTAAATATATTTTAATTTATTAAATTCTTTAAAAAATATCATTATCAATTTTTTTTATATTTATAAATTTTCTATAAAAATTTGCTTTGTTAAAAAATTCAGATACTCCATTTTTGTAATTGTGTAATTGTGTAATAATATTGATATCATTATAAAATAAAAAATTGTTTTTAAATAAATATTAATCGAAAGGCTCTTGTCAGTATAATGAACGTACACAACAACGGTTTGTCTCGTACTGGCTTTTTCCTTCAAAATTGCTAGTTTAACGTAACGAATCTAAATAGTTTAAGTAATTAATTTATTGTTATTTTTATTTTTATTGTTAAACGCGAAGGCTTTAATGCATTTTCCGAAATAGTTTTGTAAACAGATTGTGAAAAGAATAATGAGAACCATACAAACATTCAGTATTCGTTTAATTTATAGTCATCGTGAATGAAATTGAAAATCGGAAATTACTTGAAGCCTTGGTAAAAATGAAGAACTTGTATTATATGCACCATAATATTTTAAGAACTTTTTATTGTGTTATTTTTGTGTTTATTAAATTAATTGTTGATAATAAGGCAACAGAATTAATGACAATAAAATCTATATTCTTTCAATATTTATAATCAGTCTATCTATGTAAGAATGTATCTGTGATCCGGTTTTAAAAAGACCAACGTCCAATTTTTTACACTGAATGAATTATATGTCAAATTATTTTGTTACATATTTATTGTATAATAGATATTATAAATTATAAATAGTTTTAATTTAATTATATTATACAAATATTTAATATGCGCTTGTACCTCGCGATCAGATTTTAATCTCATTTGGGATCAATTTGACGAATTTATAATTAATTCTTTTCTGTTTTTTAATTTTAACTCATAAATAATTAATATTCAAAATTTAGCAATTTTTGCAAACAACGAAATATAATTAGATTAATAATAAATTTAGATATCACTTGAAATAAAAAATACATAAGTAAAATATTTACATTTTATTAACCCAAAAAGATACAACGAGAATACAGAAAAGAGAGTAAAAATTATATTACAAATATATACAATGTACATTTTATAAAAATATCAACACAATTTTAAATTCAGCATAATTAAGACAACGAGCTCGAAATTATTTAAACGTTAAATTTTATAACAGATGCGAATACGTGTGTTTTCTTTTCTTTATATAAGCCAAGCTTATTTTTTCACCCAGTAAGATGCGTTTGTAAAAACACTTGTAACATTACCTTCATGCCGAATATGTTTGGAAATAACTAGAGATTTGCATAATACCTTTCGGCATTGTATTCTCATGCTTTTTCTTTAAGAGCCGCACAAAACACACGAGTATACCGTGCAACGATGTTTTGTATCATTCAGTAGATTTATTTTTCTTAACACACACGTAATTTATGCTGATATTAGATTGATTCATTGATTCATGCTAATTTTTAATGGATTTTAAATCTAATCAAAAAGATATATTATCCTTTTTATTGCATAAAATACAAATAGCCGCGTGCATTGTTTCTAGCTCATAATTTTGAAATATTATTTTAAGATATTCAAGTCACACATTTCCGATAAAAAATCTGGATAAAAAACAGAAAAAGACCGCGACAAAAAAACTCGACAAGCTTACAATTATTATTCTCACTTCTCATACATTTTGGAAGAAATAAAACTTGACAGAATGACACGTTTTAGTAAAAAGAAAAGTATCTTATAAAAAACGTTTTATTCATCGATAAGAGGCTCAATTTTAACACTTCGTATTCTAGTCTTTATTCAGTCATTTAGATGATAAATAAGAATTATCGAGGAAGACTTATCAGTTCAAAGACACGATTTGATAAAATCGTGTGATAAGAACTAAATCGATCGCAGCTGCAGCTCGTATTTTCGCGAGATTCTTTAACTGGGATTCAAAGTCGATTCAAAGGATAAATCCTTCGAGGGAATGACGGTAGAGTTGAAGAGCCAGCCGAGACGTTCTCCAATGAGGGAGCTGCGGAACGTTCTACTGCCGATCATACTCTGCTTCGTTATACGGAGTGCAGTCGCCGACGCGCACGGCCAGAGCAAACGTCTGTCTCGCCGACGTGAGTGTAAAAGTCGAGTGTTGTACAAAAGTTACCGGGAGATTGGAGAGAAATATCGGGAAATTTTACGCGAAAATTGCGGATATTGATAGAGAAAAGTAGCTGCGATATTGCAGCAAAAAATATAATTAATGAGCATCGAGAAAAACGTCTAAAAAAAATGTCTTACAAATAAAATTACTTCAGCAACATAAAATTATTGTGAGTGTAAGAATCGAATGTTGCGAAGCAATCAAGTATATTGAAAGATATCGAGCAAAAGTTGTGTAAATTGATATACAAATGCGGTTACAATATCGCGCAACCAAAGATATTAAATAATTTTTTTAAAGTTAATTGAAAACTATGTCTTTATGCAATACATATTAATAATTTAATCGCGAATATGTAAATATTGAATAATGCTAAAAATTTAGAGGAATTTTTAGTTAAAATTGTGTAAATTAAAATTGAAATTATAATTGCGATGTCAAAACATTAAAAAATTCCGAAAAATTATCGTGACGTGCGATGTAATATTTATAAAATCAATCGAATTATACATTAACACACATAATAATAAAAAAAATATTATTAATAGTATTTAATCGTATTACTTAAGCGATATGATCGCAAAGCGTCGGTGAATCATCGTAACAGCAAAAGTGTCCTAGTAAAGTTTTCGTCATCTGACCCTGCTTTCTAGATCAATATCACAAGCGGCTTGCGTCGATATGTTTTTAAAAATTATTTCACATAAGAGCGCGTAAAAAAATAATATTTAATGTTGTTTCGACAAAATGTCAAATTGCAATTTCGTAAAAACGCAAAATATTATAAAACAAATTATTGTATATCGCAAGAATTAAAGCGCATTTAATTATTTTTTAATGCATGACATGCTTATACTGTGCTAATTTGCGGAATTTGATTGAAAAATAATTGGGCTTAATTGGATCAATTGATAAATTGGTTCAAAGAAACAAATAAAATGGTTTCCACTAGATTGAACTGTCGTGCTTAAATGCATTTAAGAAAGAAGTTCTGGGCAAGATGCGGATTGTTTGAAAGGTAGAATTTTTATGACCCAGAAATCTTTTCCTCTCCTTCGTGAGGAATCGCGAAGATCGTGAAGTCGTGGGGACCGGATCTACGCTTCTGGTTCTCACAGTTAGGTGAATGTCGAGTAGAACTGCTCATAATTAAAGAACAAAGAGAGGGGCTCCGTTTCCTTTTCTTGCTTGTTATTCCGATTTAACAATGCGTTTTGGAGAAGTGGGATTACGGCATACCGAGTCTTCAACAAAGCTTGCAGTATGCAGAAATAACCGTTTGCACTGCACAAATAACGTCGGACATCATTAAATCGAAGCGCTGTAAAATCCACTACCGCTGTAATTATATTCATTATCATCGACGTTATTATCATTATTCTTTAATTGCAACGGCTCATTTAATTGATTAATCTTTTTCAGAGAACTCTTTTTTTATTCGAGTTGATGACAATGCGAATCTCCCGTTATCACGCTTCAATTCGCAACAAATTAAAATTTATTACACAAAATATTCGAATAATTTTTACTGAATACAACGCTCGTAACAATGATTTCCGCTGTTATACATGTAGCGCAATGTTGCGCAACGCAAACCCAAACTATAGAAACGTAGGGCGCTAAACTTGTTCGTTCGGCACGATCGACCTTCGGGCATTCACAGGATTGTCATTGAAATCCACAGCGCAGAGAACTTCGCCCACGTTTTGCGTCGATAGACTCAAGGCAACGAAAAAATTATTACTCGTTCTTTATTCTTTACAGACCCTCGTTTACGGGATAAAATCGTGAAAACGCAAAAATTACGAGTTTATAAAATAATGCGATATTCTTTATTAAAAATATATAGAATGTTTTTAAATTAAACTTTATATTTGTGGCGAATCAAAAGATCTATTTGATTGAAGTCTTTGTTCAATCTACGTCCTGAACAAATATAACGTTATATAATTCGATTCACACTTCCGCGTGTTCGCTGTTAGATGCTTCGACGTGCAATTCTAATTTATATCGAACGGGACCAAGATGCATTAGAACGACTTAGCACCTGTCACTTGTCAGTGACAACTCAGCGCATAAAATTATTTGAAATGATTATCGTCGATGAATGTGCAATATTTGCACGTTTAAATTAGATTCAATTCGTTACGGGACGCGGAAGAAGTCCGCTAAAACTGTGTTTTCCGACAGTCGCAATCGACGAAACAATGCGGTGCTATAGCGACCGAACTTGCACGCGACCGCTTGTGAATTAGAACATCTAAAATTAGACCCAACTAGAACTGCACGATAATGAGAAAATGTCGTGTGTTGTACCTTAACTTGAACTTGAAGTGGAAATATCTTGACATAAATCTATTCATAAATTGCAGAGCAAGAAAATATCTCTTTCGCTAAGAATTCATCAGTTTAGAAAGATTGATTTAAAAAATCAACTTTTCTCAAACAATCCAAATTGAAATGTCAAAGGTTTTCACATGACACGCGCAATATCTCGTAATTCGGACGAGAAAAAAAAAAGAAAGGATTAAATTGTAGAGTTTTCACCGACGCCTCGCCTCGAGTAGACGAAGAAGCGATCGAGATAAGCGGACGCGTCGAGGAGTCCGACGATGATTATGCAGGATACGCCTCGATGATGTCCGTCCGAGGGTGTTCCTGCCTACGATTGCGCAACGAACGAGCGTGGAAACAATGAGAGTGCCGTCGTAAGCTGAACGGAGTCCGCGGCCGATCGTGACGCGGCGGCCTTCGGCGCGATCGAATCGAGCCGGGCGATCTCCCGTGCTCTCGCGGGACCGAAAATGACAATAAGTCGGCCGGCGACGGTGATGAAACGTTTCGTACGCGGCGTTCGTCCGCCGTCATCGCGAGGATGACGAAGACGTGGACGGTAAGCGGCATCATGGGACTCCTCGTCCTCGTACCCGTTACCGTCTGCGCGACGATCACCTACGTCGACCACAGCGGGGACTCATCGTCGCGATGCGACGATCGCAGTAATAGTAATCGCAGAAATAGTAAGCAAACAGAGTTTAAATCAAACATTAACATCTCCGGCACCGCTAATTGACTCTATTATACGATCGCGAATTAGCTGCGAGAGCAGTGTACCGGAACACGCCGACACGCTGCCGCTAAAATATGACGATCCTTCTCTCATAAATTCTTCATGGATCGTGTCCAATCGATCGTTAGAGTAGTTATTGTGTCACGGTAAATTGAGCCAGCGGATAATTGAGCCGGTCGCTTCATCCGCTTAGCATCTCTCTTATTCTTTTATCTTTCAGTTCGATCGTGCTGTAAAAAGATTTTATCATTGTAAGTTTTTTTCTTTTATTGCGGATCAGTGAGTTGAAAACCAATAATAAGATTTCGACAGTAAAACATTGTAAGAAAAAATAAGTAAATTTTTTTAGAAATAAAGTTTGGTTTATATTTCGATTCATATAAATGATGTATTGTATTATAAACAAAGCGAATATTTTTTCAGAAACTTTCTCAACATGCAAATATGATGTCGACTGTATTGAAAACGCGTATTGCCGGAACCAGCAGACCTGCTCGTGCAAAGAAAATCACATCGAGTACAGGAGTAACAACAACTACAGATGTCTGAGAGGTACTTTGTTGTTTCTTCAAACACGATAATGCGCTTTTAAATCGGGAATTAAATAAAATTTTGGAAAAAATCCCGAGATAGCGAACGGTGCTCTAAATTCGAATCGCTGAATATTCGGGAACGATGTCATCGACCTCGAGAAATGAGATTCCGCGGAGATAGTCGTTCATCCCTGTTCCTATCCGTTCCTTTCTCACGGTCCCGTCTCACCTGGAGCGTGTCGCTCTCGCCGTGCTTGTTGGCCCGACAGAGATCACGAATGATTTCTATGAATAAGTCAAGACGGCGTAAATCCGTCGAAGTACAACCCTTTCGACACGATCGTGCGCTATCACAGACTTAACTAGACTGAAACGAAAATAAAAGCAAATTTATTTATTCATAAATAATTAATATTTAAATCATCTATGAAATTTCTTGAAAAAAATATTTAGCTTCAAAGTTGTGTAACTCGGACAAAAAAATTAAAGGAAAATTAAAAAAAAAAGTTGCAGTTTTCGATACTTATAAATTTTATGAGAAAATATTTTTATCGAGTATTTAACGCTGCGAATATTTAACGTGCATAATTTTAAAAACAAAACAATATATTCTTTTCTTGGGCTTCGAAGCGTAAGGATAAAAATTTTTTTAAACAGTTTAAAGCACGTGAAAGTACAAACTTCAAGTTTTTAAATTCACTTTAAGGTTTGAAAATTGCTCAATTTTATGTGTCTGAAAAGTGTTCCTTATTTTTTGTGAGATACCTGTAAAGAATTGTTATTTCAACAGTGGCCACTCACATTGGCGATCCCTGCGAGGAGGACATCCAGTGTGAGTTTACATTTACACCGCAATCGGAATGTCGAGAAGGCACTTGTCAATGCGCCCACGATTCTCACTTCACGGACGGGAGGTGTTACGAGTCCATTGGTGAGTATAGCTTTCCTGTGGGAAATATCCCAAGCCGTACTAGCCAACCCCTTCATTATGCATATTTATGAGAAAAATGAATATCTCACAATAATAAATTATAAGAAGAATAGAAATACGACGAAAAGTTTATTCAATGGAGAAGAAGTTACGAACAAAATCGTTATCAATTATGATAACTTTTTACCGATGATATTTTAATAATTCCCGTTACATATAATTTATTTATATTTATAGTATATGTTTTCAATGAAATTTAATACAAAAAATATTATTTAAATTAATGAACGTATAATCGATCGACGCATAATTAATTATAATTGTATTTTTTTAGGTTTGGGAAAACGTTGTCGCTCGAATCGCAATTGTTATATTAAGAATACTTTTTGCGAATACGGTTTCTGCAAATGTGGGCTACGCCATCATGCAAATCCTGAGAACACCGGTTGTCTACCGAGCGCAAGTAAGTATATTTATAAATATTATTTCATATAAAACAAAATAAGCTAATTTATGAAATAGATAAATTATTCTGGGACGAAAAATACGATAAACGCGTACATTTTTAAATCAAGATAAAATTTAATTGTAAACTTTAAATCTATTTTTTCTTCAGAATTGGGCGAACTTTGCAAGAGCGACGACGAATGCATTGTGGAGAATTCGAAGTGCATAGAAAACAAATGTGACTGCAAAGTGAATTACGTGCTGGCCGAGAGCGGTCAGCGGTGTCTGAGAGTCGCTACCCAGATCGACGAGGAGTGCGAGCAGCAATCGCAGTGTCGATTCAAGCATAGCCAATGTAGCGTGAACAAAACGTGCGATTGCGTTGTTGGCTCGCATAGACGCGGTCATCTGTGCTTCGTCGATGTCGGTAAATACTCAAATACTCGATATTTACATGAAGTTAGTCTCAAAAAGCAAAATTTGAACAATTTTACAAACAAATTTTAATTTGGAAAAAATAATAAGAGTTTTGGATTGTTCCAAAATAACGCGCAAATTTCTTGTGTGATAAATAAAATTAAAAATTACATTCAAAAATGCAATTCAAATAACATACATTTAGTGTTAAATATAAATAAAAATGCGGATTTTTTAATTTTTTAGATCGATATGTAATAACTCTAAAATTTTGTTTTAGAATTAGGCGGCCGTTGTGAAATTCATCATCATTGTATCACCGGAACTTTCAAAGATTCCAATTTGACCTGGAAATCGAAAGTGGATTGCGTAGAAGGTACTGAATCATTTCTTAAATATTTAACTCAAATATTGGCTTATCGTAATCCAAAGATATTAAAAGAATGCAATCTTCTTCTTAGGCTTTTGTGCTTGTACCGAAGGCTATACATTGATGGATGAGCTGCAAGATTGCATTCAATTCAGCGATAATGGTAAAAATATTTATAATATATTGTATATATATAATTATAATGTGCACGACATTATTAAAAATTCCGTAAAAACGCGCAATGAATATTGATATACTTAAATCAATTTTTTTAATTAATCTAATTATTTATTTTATAAATTTTTTAATTGAATCAAATTTCTTTTATAGGTGCAACGATACGGCAGATACACGGAATACTCTTGATCATCTTTATCGCGAAATTTCTTGTGCGCTAAAGATGAATAACAAATATGTGTTCAGCACTTTTCATAAATTTATGAATTCACCAGTTTATTAATTTAAAATATTTAAATATAAATTAGCTGTAGCTTTATTAATTTATCTGATTTAGATGTATCATCGTATTTATTTAAATCGTGCTTAATGTAAATTTAGTACTTTAACTAGCAAGTATAAGCAGCCAAAGAGAAGCGGTGCTTTTACGAAAGCAGCGGATCTGTTAAATCATTAATGATACTCCTTTTTCTCGCACATTTTAATCAGTCATTGATTAGGCTACGTGTGAGCAAATCTTTTCACATACGTAAATCATCATGTATAATTGTGTTCTATTTTCGTAACAATAATACTTCACCGTGTTCCATAAAATATTTTCTACAAATATGATATTCCATCGTCCTTCCTCGACTCAAAGTATTGAGAGACTTTGCGACACAAAGACCAACGTTCCCTTTTAATGCACTCTTTTGTGAATCCACGGAAGTGATTTTTATTTCGTTCCACAATCTTTGGACCTTATCACTGTAACGCGTCCCACGTGTTACTTCACTTTCTTCCCACACATTTCTCACGGAACAAAATCTTTCCAGTCCTCCTTGATCATGTCGCTGGCTTTCTCGGCGATCATGTACGCCGGTGCATTCGTGTGACCGGCGATTAGGGTCGGCATCACGCTGACATCCACGACCCTGAGACCGTCGATCCCGTGCACCCGTAGCCTGTGGTCCACCACGCTCGAATTCCTTCGCGCGCCCATCCTACACGTGCCCGCGAAGTGACCCAAATTGGTGGTCACATGACGAGCGGCACAGGCCCAGTACGCATCGCTCTTGAAAGTTACGTGTTTGCATCCCGGAAACGGCACTGGCACTAGCGTGGCGTTGAAACGCTTGAACGCTCTCGTCGAAGCTACGTCGATTGCCTGCAGTGCGCGATAAAAAAAAAAAAAGATAATTAAAAATAAATCATTGAAAAATGCAACGTAAATATATTAATATAAGCAAGACGCTTACGATTTTTATTCCTTGCACCATTGTGTGCAGATCGTCCTCGTGATCATAATAATTGATATCCACGATCGGCGGATCCGATAGATTGGAACTTCTCAAGGTAATTCTGCCGCGACTCTTCGGCCGCAGAAGGATAGGGATAATCATGAAAGAGTCCAAGCCTTCGTAATCGCTGAAAACGTCCTCCGTAAATTCCTTTGATAATCCGAGCATGCTACGAAAACTACCGGAGACATCGCTGGCTAACGAGCTTGCACCTAACACTAGCTCGATATCGGGATAATCGTCTTCCGTTAACACTTCATTCGTGTAAGGATACGTCTCGAAGAAATCACGATTTTCGGTGATGGAAGTCACATTGGGAACAGTCCAAGCTGCAAAAGACAATACACAAAATGATTTCTGCATCAAATCACATGATAAATATCAAAGGATTACGAATTGAAAATAGTAAGAAATAAATTTTTAGAAAAAAATTAATTTTTTCGATTTATGTGTAAAAACAATTCGATTATCTGCCATTTTGCGATACAAAATCCTCACCAAGTTTTTCATTATTTTTGTGCTGGTTGTATTTAAGCTTTGAGTCTTTTCTCTGCGTTGCTATCAAATTGTCAGCCTTGGTATTAACGAAAGCTAACGCTTCGGCGCCTCCAGGTATCGTCAAAAAACCCGTCCCTTCTACCAGATATTTCAGGAAGTTCACTGGATTGAAGCCTTCGCGCGGTTCGATAGTCACGCTCTCGTTGACTAGAAATGTTAAAGCTGCCATGCTCACATGATCCTGTAAGTTAAATCCCACCGGAAGATCTTCAATTACAGGAATATCCAAGGAACTCAAATGATCCTTAGGACCTATTCCGGATAGCATCAGCAACTGCGGCGAGCCGAAAGCACCTGTTTAACAAAAAAATACAAAAATAGAACTTAATTAATCTGTTTATGAAAGAAATTAATTGTCTTTGTTGTTGAGTTTCTAATGCATACCCGCGCAAAGTATAATCTCTTTGGTAGCAGAAACAAAATATGTTTTATGGTTCTTTACGAATTGAATGCCAAGAGCCTTTTTTGTTTCTGAATGAACAATGATTTTGGTCACTGTTGAAAATTTCGACAAGTAAAAGTTCGCTCTGTCGCGAATCGGTCTAAGGAAGGCTTTATTGGCGCTAACTCTGTGACCGTTTCGCAAATTCGCTTGCACAGCCGAGAAGCCTATAAGCTTGTTGCTGTTGTAATCAACCAGATCGTAACCGAGCTCTTGGCCAGCCTTCAAGAAACGATCTCTCAGAGGAGTGGCATAAGGAGGAGTTGTGACATCCAGATATCCATTATATCCGTGATATCTAAAAAAAATTGTGCAACATAAGGCGATAAAAAGGAATAATATTGAATAATTTTGCAAAATTATAATAATATTTCAATTTAAATGAAGATTAAATCCACAATCTTTAAGATCACTGGCTCGCACAAGTATCTCGTAACTTCGCCGCGTACCTCGCATTTTTATCGATCAGCCTGCATTTCTCAGATTTTATGAAATAAGGTAGCACGTCCTTGTAGCTCCAGCCAGGATTTCCGAGTGCCTCCCAGCCGTCGTAATCGGCCGGCGCTCCCCGCGTATAGAGCATAAAATTCACCACCGAGGAGCCTCCGATCGCTTTGCCGGTTATAATTTTGCAGCGACCGTCGACCATCGACATGCAGTATCCGCCGCGGCCGTCCGCGTCCTGCGGCCGCGGCTCGGCCTGGAACTCGCGGACGTAGTCTGTGATGTGGAGGATCGGCGCCAGAAAGGGAATGTCCGTGAGAACGATCTCGTCCTTGCCCTGCTCGAGCAGCAGGACGTTCCAGTCGGGATTCTCGGTCAGGCGGTTCGCCAGCACGGATCCCGCCGAGCCGGCGCCAATCACGATGAAGGAATATTGCTTGGATATCACATCCTCGTCCTGCACCAGATCACTCGGCATCGGCGGAAATCCCGAGAAGAAGTGATATATCGTCTCGAGAATAGCCGGCGGCAAGATCGCGCCGGCGTATCCCAGAAATAAAATTATCACACAAACCTTGAACATTGCAGAACCGTTTTTCTTCCGCGTCAGATAATTGAAATATGCAGCTTTTTGCTGCAATGCGTGTGTTCTGATAAACTTGTGCAATGATACGTTGATTTCTTCTTCTTAGAAAGTTAAAACCTTAATATTAAATGTCGAGTCAAGATAGAAAGTGTTTCTATGATTCTTCGAATTTGTTTTCGAAGATTACCAGCTTTGATGCGTAACGATTTTTTAGAACATTTTTTTTTAACACCATTGAGTTTGTAGTAATCACAATTTGTTTTGTCAAGTCATTTGCTTGTCGCCGCTGTGTATGCTTCCAATTTTAATGCGTCGAGAAATTTATCGCGGTCTTTAACACATAATTTTTTAGATACAAATATTTTAAAATTTCACATTTTTTAAATACAATTTATAATATATATCGCGAGTAACTTTACAGGCACAGATTTATGTTTTCTCGTTGCCACCACAAATTCTAATTAAACACGACTGACACATGATTTCGAGCACCGACAATTCGCGACACACCGGACGACTTTATCTTGATCTCCAGGATGCGACCAATGTCAACGATCAATATCAACTGCAGTGCCTTACAAGATAGCACGGGAAAGACCCGCACATTTAAATAGTACAGGGTCGCGTCTACGTCAGTTGATGTCTGCTTGCAGATCTTACGATCATGATTGCACGATGAAAGAAGTGCGGAACGAATACTAATCATCCGACTTTAAATTATTGTTGTGGATGGAAAAAGAGCACCGTGAATTCAGGATTTTATCCGCCGCTCTGTGTGTGAGAAAGAACCAGGATGCCAATGATTCGTGAAGCCGAATAGTTGTAATGGACCTACCTTTATTTCCCAAGTGATCTCCTTTGATTTACACCTCGCTTCTGTAGAGTATTTTGCACATTTGCGGAATCCCACGCAATAACGTGTCTCTTGACTTACTCTTAATGACGATCGCGCTGCCTAAGTCGGAGCGGTTTTTATACGGATCTTTTCCAGAGTGACGTAATAACGAAAAATTAGTCGCATTTTTGGTTCTTTTGCAAATAATCCTTCTGTTGCAACTACTTCGCGCTGGTTTCGCTGTGCGTTACGCGGTGTCAGTGGGACGCTAACTCTACATGTCAGCTACTCCCGAAACTTGCGCGTCGAAATATAGTTCAAATTAATGAATTTCGGTGAAAATTTTTAATGAATTTTAGGTGGCGATTTTAGACAATAATATCAACGCACCGGTGTCACTGAACGATTGCATCTTCTTTCCTGACGACAGATTCATAGCGAAGCACATAATCGGGTCCGCCGAACTCTCTTTCGTAACGATCCCAAATCGATAATGCATACTTATCCTAGGTCATTTAACTCAATTATCATTCTCTCACTTTTCTCTTTTTCTCACCTTCACTTTTTTCAAGATGTGATCTCGAAAAACCATTCGACAATTGTGAAGTATCTATAGAATTTCTTCTTTATATGATGCTTTATGCATTCCATCTTCTGCACGGAAAATATTATACCTTTTATATTTCTTTGATAACGCAAATATTTGCAAGCGTTTTTTAAATTGGCGAAATAAAACAATCACAACAGATGATTACACAAAACACAATTGTATATTTTTTCTTCGGCGTTCAGCGAATGTAAGCGCTTAGTAAGCAATTGGATTTTATTGGTGCATTTCAAACTAATTACCATAAATATTTTGAAACGTACCAATAAAATGCAATTGCTTGCTAAGCGCTTTGCAGCGCATACTTCTGCTGAACGCACTTTGTTAAATAAAAAAATTAATAAATAATGTTTTTCATGTGCACAGATAAGTCGCTTCGTGTGATAAAGTTTTCCGAGTTCTATATTTTTATGAAAAGTCAAATTATTGACAGATAATACAAAAAGATTCGTGTTGATCTTACGAAAGTCGTTCCGATACTGAGATCGGCGAATTAAACCTTCGCGGTCATCTGCATTGCACAGTCAAAATTGGGTGAAAGAAAAAAAATGGCAAGGTCGACCACTTGTTGCGTTCGTTGCGTTCGTTGCGGTTAAAACGATGTCAAAAGGTGTTACACAACTTATCAACGCTTTTCTTTGCGGTATCAATTAATGTATCAATTAATTTGTAGAATTTTAAATGTTTGTTTCATTTCAGACTTGTATTCGTTTCTATCTTTTTTCGGATTTAATGCTAGCATTTGGATTTAGACAAAAGAATTGTAAAAGAATTGATGTAAAAAAAAATCGAATTAAAACAAATTTTAATTATAACAATTTTAATTATAATACAATAGAAAATTACAATAGAAAATATATGAAACATCATAGATACAGAATCAGAATAAAGATTCGCACTAGTATTTCAAACTTTTGATTTAAAGTCATGATAACTAACGCTCACGTAAACTGAGTTTCTAACCTTCGATCAAATAGAAAAAAATTCCATCAATGATAAATAGATAACTCATCAAGGTGTGGTGAGACACAGTGAAAATTCCAAAGACGCGCCGTATAAAATCGCAACAAAACCAGTCCTGTGTGACCTACATAAGTAATTACGAAATGCCTCCTGCATGGGGCACCTTGTATTCGCGACGATGGAAAACAAGAAAGTTATTCAATGCGTGCATCACTCAGTGCATATTGATAATTTCCATTTCCAAAATCTTGAAAAGAATTTTGTGCAAGATAGTATTTAAAAAATTCGAGCAGATAAACGAATTTCCGTATTCCGATCGATAAGCCCTACAATTCTGTGCATTAATTTCTCTCAATGATAAATTTACATTTTTCAAGTAATTATTATTTAATAAATAAACTAATAAGTAAAAATTCTTAGATAAATATATTTCGTTTCATTCAAAGACTTACAGCCGCAAACGCCGCGGACGCCTCATTGCGTTTTTTGGTTTTTTTTTTTTAATAGTAGTGTCATCTAGTGGTAGCGTACGTAAACATGGCATTCTACCGTTAGATGGCACTTGGTGTAAATGTTACTTTTTTTCCGAAGTGTCAAATACACATCACTTGAAAAAAAATGGACTTTGAAAGTCCTGACGTGGAGAAGGAATTCCCCGGATTATACGCGTCCGAATCGGCTAGGAAAAGCAATGAGAGCGATTGTACGTAATGGTCATCGTCATCTCGCGTTTGTGTTTTAAATAGTAGATATTGTGAAGGAGAGGTTATGCACCTGTCAAAGTCTAGTTGCACAAAAGATTGTACATTTGTTTCTGTTTTTATTATTTTAACATATATTATATACCTATACAAATATATTGTAAAGTTTAACATGTATCAGAAATATTTATGAGATAACAATTGTTTGTAATTGGTAATCTTCGTACTGCAGTTAGTGATGAAGGCAGTCATGATAAGCATTCCAAAAAGGAGTTACTGGGTGGAAAGCGGAAGGATAAAAAGGACAGAAAGGACAGGGGCTACGCGACTCTAGAAGGTGAAAGTTCGCCGGACGAAGATCAAGAAACTAAGTAATTTTTGTACTATGTTATTTTTATAAGTTTTAAATTGTTAATTTGCATATTGCGTAATAAGTGCTAACATAACACACAATTAACGGATTCTTTTATTTGATATTGGTTAGTCATGTGTAAATAAAGCTGTACTATTAACAAACGCTTGATAATTAAAATTGGTAGCCATCAATTTACAGATGCTTTGCATTTCTCGTCTGTACAAGCTATCTGATATTTGCATACTTAATATTTGATTTGTAAATGGAAAACAGACTTATTTCAAGCGCCTATGATTTGATGCTGTTGCTTGTACTGATTCTAATTTGTACAGTGAACATTTATTTCATTATTAGAGTCTTAATTATATACATACAAAATGACAATTAATTTATCATCCACTGTTCCTGCAGTATCTTTCATTTTTAATGTGTAACTTATCGCTCAGAAGTCCTTCGAAATCAAAGAAGACCAAAGCCTTTAAATTTCCATCTAAGAAAGAGAAGCGGGAGAAATCGAGGGAGAAAGAGGCAAAAGAAAAGGATGCTGAGAAGGAAAAGGATAAAAAGAAGAGGGATAAGGACGAGAAAGATATAGACAAAGAAAAGCGGAAAGACAAGGATAAAGACAAGTCTAAACAAAAATTAAAAGACCGTAAGAAAGGAAAGCATGCTGGCGGCGAAGGTTTGGATATCGGTGGTAAGATTGAAACTTGCACAAATATAATTTCTAACAAACAAAACAATAACATCTTCATCCATATTCATATATGTTTTTTAGAGGAACAACCGATTTTTGGTATTAGTCTTCACTTAGCGGTTGAAAGAAGCTGTTGTCACGACGGAGTCGAATTGCCCTTGGTCGTGCGAGACTGCATCGATTACGTGGAGGAGCACGGAATGAACGTGGAGGGTCTGTACAAAGTTCCCGGGGTGAAATCAAAAGTTCAATATTTGAAAAAATTGTACAATAACCGAGAACCGGTGAACATGTCCGAATTTGAACCCACGGTAGCTACGAGCTTATTGATACTCTTTCTTAGGTTTGTATTTGAGAGTTCTACCTTCTCACCATGTGTTTTAAGATCAAACGAAAAAGTGCGCATTGTGGTGATGTAGAGAGCTACCAGAATCCGTGCTGGAGAACAGCGAAACGATATCGCGCTTCGAACAAGCCGCATCGACCAAGGATGTCGCGCAGCGGGAAGCGCAACTGGCGCAGCTGACGCAGCAATTACCAGAGTGCAACAGGATTCTTCTGGCGTGGGTTACGCTGCACTTGGATCATGTCACGGCGCGAGTATGTTCAAAATATTATTAGCCTGGTGCAAAAGGTCTGTCATATTTTTTTCTTCATATAGAATGATATTTAATACCCTTGTTTTTTTTTTTTTTTTTAATTCTGCATTTTGTTTGAAGTAAAGAATAATAGAATAACAAACTTTTTGCATCAACTTGATATATTGCATAATTCCTGATAAAATTGGAATTTCATTTATTTATTTTATTCTGTGTGCGTGATAATAATAATTCTGCTATAGGAAAAGGTGACGAAGATGAACGCGCAAACGATTTCGATGACACTGAGCCCGGTGCTGCAGATGAGTCACAGATTACTGTTAGCCTTATTGTTCCATTGCAAGGCTTTGTTCCCGAATGTACAGTTGACAAAATACGTGCCACCACTGTCGTCCGGCAGTACCAATCTGCCAGATTCCGTGGAGGGCATTGCCGCGGAACTGTCCAAGCAGGAGTCATTGCTGTCCCAAATTCACATGCAAATGAACGCCGGTTTCGTGACGAAATCTCGCGAGGAACAATTGTGGGAGGTGCAGCGAATGATAACGCAATTAAAGGTGTACAATTATCTTTCAAAAATTAATGTATTGCACGTTCAAAAGGAAAAAAGAAAAGAAAAATCAACGTAATTTTCTTTTCACAGAGAAAGTACAAGACTGTTCAAAAATTGGAAGGTGCCACGCAAAAGAGTCTGGATGAAGAAATCAAATCATCCGATAATATTTCGGTGGAATCCACCTCGCAAAAGCCAAAGACTGCAGACGAAGATTCCGGGCAATCCAAATCCGATTCTCTGACATCGACCAATTCGACCTTGTTAAAAACAGACGGCAAACCACACGGTACAGAAGAGGCGAAAGAAAAGTGCTCCTGCTCGGCGGGGGGGGCAAGTGCAAGCGCCACGCAAAACGGACAGAACGTGAATGTGCAAGAAAAAGACACGGTTGACTCCGCGGAGACTGCAATGGTTGCATCACAATCAAAAGAAAACGTCACGTCGGACGACAAAGCAAACGGTACATTAACGATAATAATCTAATAATTTCGGTTCAGCATTAACACAAATTTCTGCACAGAGCCTGAAGAGGAGGACGTCATAGACAAGCTGCGAGAAAGACTGATCCACGAGGAGCTGCTGAACATGCAAGCGCTGCTGAAGTCTCGCATCAGCCAGGAGAGGAACGAGATCAAGCGATTGATAGAAATGGTGACGGAACTCGGCACCGAGAAGAAAAAACCCAAGGAAAGGACGCACTCCCCCAACGAGGCCGAAATGACGGCTATGATACAGCTAGTCAAAGAAAATCAATTGCTCGAAGTATGTTCCTCCGCGTTAATTTTACCCTCCCGCGTACTGACCGGTTTCTCTCGTTACAGAAAAAAATGACGACACTCATACGCAGTATTATCGAGGAGAAAGACGCCTGTGTGGAACTGCGTGTTCAATTGGCGGTGCATCAACTGATGGCTAAGACCTGACCGCAAACCTGCTAATGACACACCGGGATTACAAAAGACATCCTATACGCGATCTGATATTACGTTTTTTGCACATAACGAACATATATAGTTTATAACATGTTGCAATTACCACATGTATACCATTAACTCGTTTTACTCTTCCGCAAAGTAATAAAACTACACAAAAATCCAGACAGAAATTTTCATGAACTCTCGGATTCCACAATTCGAGTTCCTTGTTAGATACTCGATGCGTTTTGGGAGTGAAGGATGAAGGGAGGAGGACATCACTCGATATTCAAATGAGATAGATGTAGGCAATTATTCTTCATGAGAAAAAAAGTCATATTGTAATAGAAACAATTATATTTTTTTGTATATATTTTATATTTCAACGCGTCATGAAATTATGAACATATCGCGCTAATAAAAGCTCAAAGATTAATGCTCTGAACTGAGTAAATGTGAAGAATGCACTGTCAATAAGCACAGTATTCTGAAAACGTAAAATTACATTAAACGACAGAATTATTAAATCTGCTAAAGAAATTACTAATTGAACTTCAAGATTGCAATTTACATCAAGCTATTCTGTAAAAATTTTCAGAATTGTTACAGATTCTAGAATTAATACAAACTGTTATTATAGGGCTTAGTAAGCGCTACAGATAGATTAATAGAAGAAGGTGCGACTCGGGATTGAGGGGACAACTACGTTGTGTTCAATGTATATTTACAATATTATCTGGTCAAGGTACAGCGCTGAATATCGACCCGTATAGTGTTCGCGTATAATCTTGGTAATGCTGCTTCGTATTTTTATGTACGTAGGAAAAATTTACACGTCCGATATATAATCTTTTTTTTTTTTTGTCACAGGTGCATCTGTATAAAAATCTATTGATACGTCCGTCGCGGTGGGACGTACGCAGAAACTAAGATTGTGCTGAGGACACAGATATTCTCTCATTCATCAGCGAAAGAAAGTCACGCAGCCTCGTATGATAGCCTTCGTGTAAGGGAACAAGCTCTTATGGATTCTACAATCGCAACGCAACGCAACGCAACGCAACGCTTGGGTGTTTCCTTCGGTAAATACCAAACAGAGTCACATGCAATTCGGAAGAGGCTGAGAACGGTTTGTTGGACACATCGGATTTGCATACCGGGAATGGTGTTATCATCAGCTCGAGATCGTAGAATCCGACTGTTTTCGCGATATCGCGCACCGCGTTTGTGGGAACTCGTAGACTTTACAGGTACGTCTTATATTCAATGCGATACTGTTTCTCTCTTTTTTTTTTTTTTTTTTTCGTTCGCTGAACGGGATCGAGCGACAGATAATACAATAACGTAGTCTTAGAGCATCACTATCACAGTGTAGTACAACAACTCGCTAAGAATAGTAGCATACGCGGTACCTACGAGCGATGAAGGTAGTTTAACTACCGGAATCGCGAAACTGCGCGTTTCGCCTAACAATCCGCGATTATAGAAAATATTATCATATGTAACTTCATTACACATACAATTATTACGAAGAGACAACTAGATCGGATTTTTTTTCTGTATTCTATATCGTTTGATTGCTTTATATTCACCATAGAGCACCAAATAAACTTTTTACGCGGCATACACGATTGAGAATGTGGCGTTGCGGCCTCTCTATTGCATTTCTGTTTTTTCACAAAGGAAGTCACTGTTAAAAGAACATCCGTAAATTATAGCGTGTGCACTAAATCTGAGGAATATATATGTATATATCTCACTACTGTCAACGATCCGTTTTGCGAATGGGCCACGTAAACTTTTACAAAGCTTATAAAAGTAATTTACAAAATTTTATAAAAGATGGAATATATATATGTGTAAAAAAATATAAAGGAATGTTTCCTCTCTCCTATGGCCAATAATTTTTTGCAATAATATTTACAACAAAAGAGGATGATTCAAGATGGTCCAACGCGGCATATTTTCTTATTCTGTATTATTTTGCAACTTGTGTTTGATTTTTCGGTCATCCCAATCACCTGTTTTGTTATAAAATATATCAAGTTATTTGATATTTATCTATAGTTATCGATGAAAATTTTGAACATTCGACGGTTATTATTCAATAAATATTCAATCAATGTAGAAGTTCATGATGTAAGATGTACGATTGAGACAATGCTCGAAACAGACGACTGCCCGAAATGCGACAATCTCCTTTACATACAATTGATTTTAAAGTTACTATATCGTAAAATTAACGAATCACTTAACGTCACTTAACGTCTCGTAATATCTATTTCGTGTTTTGTTCATCTATCTTGCTTCTCCACGAATTAATGTCTCAGTAATAACGTAATAATATAATAATAATTGTATATTTTTTAAGTGAGTCTTTGTATGATAAATTTAATGACATTCTCATGTACATCATCCATATTATTCGCAACTCACTGAATAATATAGTTTCATAGCAGCTCTTTACTCGAATAAATTTTAAATAATTAGTGTATAATTTTTCAATGATTTGCGTCTGTGCTCTCGTTTTTTTTTCTCTCACATGCTCTCTTACTCTTCTATGATGTTATGTCAATACAAGAATCTGCAATATTACAAACGGCTCTTTTTAAGCTGCACGTTTGTATATACAGTACTCTTACTCGACTAACATCTCTTAAATAAATGGATGTCCGCTATGCGTTAAAAGTAAGATAAAACAGTGTATCGCAAAAAAAGAAAAGAAAAAAAACCGTTATTGGCTTCCTATCCTAAAACACAATATCGAAAACTTCATTGATAAAATGACATGTAGACAGACTAAGATTCAATAATTTTACTAATAATTCTAGACGTTTTAAAAATTATTAGATTTAGATAAAAATTGATTTGCTTGTTTTCCATGAAATTTTAACAAAATTACAGATTTTAAATTAAAATCTCTATTATAAAAAACTATATCGTGTATAAAAGGTCTATTTTAAATAAATTAGCAATATTTGAGATAATAATAACTTGGAAACGACTGTCCATATTATTTTTATAACGATTGTAAAAAGAGAATTCTATGAGTAAAGACGATTTGCTTCAAAAAATGCAAATGTATATTTTTGGTCATATAAAAAGTCATATAACTGCCAATTTTTTTGTATTTAATACACATACATAAAAATATTTAAATCTAATAATTTTATAAGATTACGGAATTTCGAGTATAAAGGTAATAAAAAAAAGGAAAGAATTTAGATTTCTGGACAGGCGTTAAAATTATTAATGTATAAAATCATAAGTAGCGCACAACAAAAAGAATAAAATATAAATTTTAATATTGTTATGTGATACTAATCGATCATTAATCATTATGTGATGTATATAGTTGATTAAGCGGTTTAAAAGACTAGTTACAAAGAATAGGAAGCCAAGCGGTAATGCTTATGTGTAAAACAGTAGTATTTAATTTATTATCTTTATACTCATCTAAAGCCATAGTATCTTAATTTCACCATTAATTTAGAGTTTTCACTCGCACACACATTCAAGCATTTGGCAGGCAAGAACCTAGAAGAATCTAATTCAGAGAGAGCAGTATCACTACGATGTCATCATGTCACTGACTGAATTTGATACATTAGGTCCTTTTAGGGCGTCATTTATGTCTCTTCTAAACATTGATAAATTTTGTGTAAACCTGCAAGGGAGCAAAACATTATACAAAGACGCTTACGACATATCAACGTAATTAAAGCAGTCTCCGCCTTCTCACCTATCTCTATTTTTTGTGAGTAAATTTCTTTCAATCCCATTCATTAAATTTTCAAACCACTGCGCCATGGCTGCTTGCTTGTCAACTGGCTGACTTCTAATAATATTTTCCCTTAATTGATTAAAATACTACAAACAAATAAATAGTACGTTAATACAAAAAATTGACGTGCGAAAAATAGGTATTAAAAAAAAAAAACATATTTATAGAAATTATTACAACAATACTTACTTCTTCATTCAACAATATAAGACCTAATAAAGGGCGAGACATGCTCCATTGATTCCTACAATCCTCAAACATTATCACATTTAAAACAGTACTTAGGATTTGTTGAAGTATTTCAGGATGCTGTTTCAAAACTTGTAAAAATAACTCTCCCCCTCCGGGAACGACTGCGTTCTTTCTTCCCGGATATCCTGAAAGCACGCTGTATGTATTAGCACAATATTTCTTGCATCAACACAATTTCATTGAAAAGACACGTTTTTTACCTTTCTGATAAAGTTGCTTGAACAGATACGTCACAATGTGGTCAAGAGTTGCACAACAACCAGTACAAACCATAGTATCTGAAATCACACATGTCACAGCTATCCCCTTTTATCAACTATCCAAAAAGTATATATAATTTTGAACCATGTATAATTTAAGTTACAACATAAATGACAACACATGCAATCAAAGTGGCAGCATTGCAAGCTTTGTTATCTCCCCACTTTGCATATTTAATATTTCACAAACTTACAGTTTGATCTCGTTATTTTACCGATAAAAAATACATAACGTCTATAAGTGATTTAAAGTATCGATAAGAATAATTGTTGAGGTAAAAGTAAGATGCAAAATTTTTACAATTACCATTCCATGATGCAGAGTCATAATCGTTATTAAAATTGTAAAGTTTGGGTTCTTTTATTTTAAAAAAGAAGATAATGAGCCAATGACATCTAATTACTTACAAACTTAAGATATCTTTTTATCAGGCAACCAACAAAGTTCGTGCTGATAATAAGCTTACAAGTTTGACGTTATTGATTACTTCATACTTTATACCACATTGTATACAATTATTTTAAAAATTGAATCATGTCATTATGTTAAATTATATGGTAACAAAACATGCAACTGTGATTAGTTAAATTAGTAATTGTAAAACGCATCATCTAACTTCTAATGTTAATAATAACGATGTTAATATGTCAGCTGTGCGGCTGATTATGCTAGACCCATTGTGTTTGTCTTAATAGAAATATAAAACGGCGTTACACTCGTAAGACATAGAAAATATAAGCTAGGTAGCTCTTGCGTGTCAAACTTTATCACATTTAGGGTCCAGGCTACACGCACTCCAATCCTCTTATAGCCAAATGTTATTTGTAAAGTGTTCTCAGTAATTTTCTTCACTGTGCATAAAAAAATAATCAATATATGCATATCTGCTTCTTGCATTTCGAACTGTCGCAGTGTCTAATATCTATAGGCAGACTTACATTCCAAGCAGTAATGCAAAAAAGCAAGAAATGGTAAAACATGTGATGTGTTTAATGTAAAAGAAAAATCATCAAATTCTTATGTATTTGGTTTCACAATAATAAAACAAATATCTAACATAGTAAATATTTAAAGAATAATTCTGAATGCAAAAAACTATTACAAGAATTCTTAATAATTTTTTCCGATCATATAATTGAAAAAAAATGTATTCTATCGATTACATGCTCATTTTTCTGTAATATAATTTTAAAAATAAATTAACGTGCAATTTTGCTTCATTGTGATTTCTGTAATTGTTAATTAAATATGTTTAAATTATTGTCTTTCACAAATTGGCAGCCTATATGTTAAAAACTGTTTTCTATATTGTCAATTAACTGAGGAAGATAGAGAAAGTTTTCTTTGCGACTTTTTCAACTTGTAGAAATATGTTTGAGCGATTTAAAATGATTTTAGCTTCGAGGCGTGGCGTTGAGGATATAGAGAGTAGTGGTAGCAAGATAGAATCAGCCGCACAGACCTGTATAGGAGTCTTTTTGCGCACCTAGTGCTGTGAGGCCTTCGCTGATGCTGGAGAGGATGTAGAGAAAAACTCTCGGCTCCAAGGTGGATAAAAAAACCATGTGATCTTGCGCCAGACATTCGAGTAGCAAATAATATGTCGCCGACAGTTTCGGATAATGCTAACAAAAACAATGTGTAAAAGTAACATAAGATCATATTTTTAGTCTTATACTTTGGGACTTGAAAATTCTGATTTCGACTTCAAAATTTTAATTATTCCGCAAAGTTTAGATATATATTTTTTTTATAATAAAGAAATGCAATTATTTTTTGCAAACCAAAGTTTGATTTTGATTATCAATCGATTTATCGAAATAATAAAGTGTCGATAGTGCGATCAATACTTACCAATAGGTCACTTTGTGGAATACTAAGGAGCAATTTGACAAAAGTGTTGAGCGCATTATCCAACGCCTCGTCGCCGTATAGCCTAAACACTCCAAAGTTCACGTAACTCCCACACAAGGCTGCCTTCAACATACTAAAGCATATACTTATTCCTTTGAGTTTCAACGGATAAATCTGATCCTTCGGTACTTCGACGTTCAATATGTGATTGCCGTAGCTACAAATTATTTTGCTGGCCTCGCGGAACAACAGAATCCCGTTTGGAGACGACGCGTCGAACTGTAACCGTTGACTCCTATTTTGTACTAACTCAGAGAATAGTTTTAGGACGGGCGTTGTCACTTGCGGTTCGTGATGCCACAGCTCCACAGCGTGTAACAAAATCGGCGTGTAATTAGGATATCTAATGACAGAACCAAAAATATTATGTAGAATCCTCTTTTCAATTTAAAAAAAAAAAAAAACTCAGCTCTTAGAATGAAAATCGATAACTTCGTTTGAAATAGACATTAAGACATTAAATGTATCTCATGCGTACGTACATCCAATCAAAAAGCATCATGTAGGATGTCTTGGTGTTGAACGCATAAGCCAAGCCTCGCAGATCTCGTGCTAAACCAATTAGCGCTTTCTTCGCTTCCTCCGCTGCGAAGAGTGGTGTATCCGCAGCGCCCATCAGCTGGCCGAGGCTTTCCAATGCACCTGAAATTGTACCAAAAAAAATGTCCTTTGCACGATTCCGACAAAGAATGAACTGTACGTTGACAATTTTCCTTACTTGTGAGAGGTAACATGAAGGTATAGAATCTCTCCTCGTCCTCGCCTAGATCTACCATCAACAATCTACCAAGAGACGTGTAAAACATTGATCTACAGCGCATTTCTGACACAGCAACATTGTTTCCCAAAAATGGAAAGTGTTCTCGCTGTTGATGCAAAAAATTTAACGCATTAGTCGCACGTTTGTCCAAATTAATTAATCGTTAAACGTTAGGCGAGGCAGATCATAATACATACCGTGTGATTGTTGAGCATGAATTGTACTTCTTCTAATTTAACGAGTTTACGAACACAGCTATAACCCACGGATAAATCATTCAAAAGCTGTAGCGTCTTAGAAATTATTTGCTCGCTCCTGCCCCAATACTTCAAATTCGTTATTCTGCAAATCATGAGGCGGCATTAAAATAGATCGCGTGTGTGCAATGCTCGCGAGCGTCGCGCGCTTCACTTACATCTTCCGGATAAAAATGCTGAGTACCATGGCTTCGTCATTGAGACCCAACACGTCGGACAGTCTCCTATATACTTTAGAATTCTTTTGAACCTGATCGCCCACGTAAATCTTCCGAAATTGTTCGAAGAAGCTCAGCATCGCTAGTTCCAATTTCTCACAGCCACCCTGCGCGAGCCTTGAATCGGTCAAATTCATTAATTGAAGAACCCTGCACACCAACTCACCGTCCATGGCGTCAAAATCCTCGTTGCTGTTGAACGCGACCCTTCCGCCGATAACACCACCTGCGAAAGATAAGAGGGAAATGATGCGTACTTCGTTTTAATTGTGACAAATCAATAATGCGTGATTGCACTGACCGATGATATACACGAGCCAGGTGAGCTGTCCTTCCTGAACCGTGATATCAATTTGTTGCGACGGAGACACTGTCTGCGCCATCAGTTCTTGATACGTTCGTGCTGCTTGATCGAACAATTGGACTAATAGTGTGCATGTCTTTTGATATTCGCATCTACCTATGACAGATATCTGTTCCAACTGATGATGCACCACACCCAAATCATCCAATGGATCCTCGAGACGCTCTCTGACCACCACTGCCACTGACTCGAGTCTGGACGTGATATACGCATTCGTCACTTCCGGCGTGTACGTATTCAATAAGTGTGGATCGCCCGCCTTCACATACGGCATAGAAGAAACCATTCTCTGCCAAAGGGTCAAGAGATAGTGCAAACTATTGGGCGCAAATTGCCACATTTGCAAGCTCTGCACGGTGAACTTCGCGATCAGCTGTATTGCTTCGGGATAATCCTCCACCAGGACCAACTCGCCAAGTTGGAAATTGCTCTTCAGTCGAGACAATAATCTACAAAACTCGTGATAGTTTCCTGGATCACTAAGACCTTGAGGATTTTGTAGTATATGCTTAATACCATTGACTAAGTGCGTCAGAAATTTCGCCCTTTCGGTATTGGAGAACAGGCTCCTTCTAACGGATGCAATTTGAACGAGACATGATAACGCTAAACACGATAACGTATTAGGTAGACTGTGGTACAGATCAAAAAACAATTTCAACGAAGTGAAGTCCAAAAATGCAGGTCGCCAGCTTGTCGGAATTTGTACTGTGTTAAGATCGTCCGAGCTCTCGTCAGTTGATGTTCCAATAAAGTCGAATGTCAAGCAGTTCTGTGCGAGCTTCAACAGTTGTCTTATCAAACCATGCTGTGGAGAGAGCGAGCATATTAGTGCACAATTCGGAAAAAATTGCCGCTGCTCGGATGTTAATTATCGTACCGTACCTGTGCTTCATCATTGAAGTTTAAACTCTTGCAATTTTCGCGGGCTGTACTCAGTAAAGTACACGATAACCTAAATATTTCAAATAGTTGTGTGTCTCTAAAACTACTCGCTATTCTTCTATGTTTTGTCAGAGATCTGTTTGCATCAGCTTCTGAGATTTGATTCATTTCGCATGTCAACTGAGAGAGCAACTGCACTCCTATCATACAATGCTCCACTGACCCCTTTGTTGATTGTTACAATAAAATGTTATTAATCATAGAATAAGAAACATAGCACAACTACAGCATGCACGAGAGCAACGTTAATTAAAATGTGTGTCAAACCTGAAGAAACTTGGCTACATCACTGACTACATTTCTGAAGACAAATTCCTCTTTGTCGGAATCGAACCATCCAAGCTTTGATATCCTAGCGAAAAGTGTAACCAAAGCCTGTATCACAAAATTCGGTAACTTTGGTTGCGTTGCTAAGTAGTTGAGTACATAATTTCCTGCAAAACACGCAACGTGCAACAAATTAAGTGATCGTTCCGCTAAAAATTTCAACGATTCATCTCGCGCCCGCGAAGTCACTTACGTATATCCAGCCTCTGCTGTAAGCTGAGCGTTGTTGTGAGTTGTCCCTGCGCCGAACGCGACACCAGTTTCGTCAAAGTGGTGGCGGCCAGTAATTGAGCATAAGCGGAGTCCCCGCGGTCCAAGAGAAGCTGGCACTTAGTAAGCGTATCTGGTGCATTTTGAAAAGCAACGAGGGCCTTCTCCGCCTCAGCACGATGCGCCGAATCTTGCGACTCATACAATTGCTTGCATAGCAACTCCAGCTGCCGTACCTCCTGTATGTGATCCATCTTTAATGACACTGTCTACTGCTGTTCCTTATTACTTCCATTTAGGTACGACAACTCTAACAGTTTCATGACAACGTCGCCACTTTTATATGGTTTGCTTCGCAAATCTTTATCAATAACTTGCTGTCCGAAACATTTACAACTTTACCATATAGTCGCATTATACCTGGCAAATCACAAAACTGATGCTTTCAACTTACTTAAAGATGGTGTTAAAGAGTGAAATTTCAAGACAGAGTTATACTTTCTTATAGTAAACAATAAGTTTAAAATTGATGTTCAATTGCAACATTGGCAATGTTTTATTAACACAATTTACAAATGTGCATAAGCTGTATAAAGTAAACAAGGGTCATCTAGTGCAACAGTCCCAATAAGACATCCCATTAAAGTATAACTATGTATAAGTAATTAAATATAAATACAACAATTGTCAAAAATAGCCAGTACATACAGAAGCCACAAAGAAATATATAATGGAGCAATCACAATAAAATTGATGACTCAGAATAAACAATCGTGTTGAAATAATAACTTAATACAATGTTATCTTTCGTTTTTTCAGACGCACGACAGCCGCAACAAAGTAAGAGGGCAAAAATCTTTGTCTCGTGCTGACTGATTGTCACGTCCGTTTCACCGAGATCGATCGCACGAGATACGATTATCAGATGGAAGATTTCCAAAACGTGCCAGCTATCACGCGAGATTTAACGAAGCGCGTACGAAGCGACAGGTTATACACGACCGATAGATTGTAAATAACGGCGCATGTTATCGGCGCCAACGGCGATTTCGTCAGGAATCGAGAATTCGAGGCGCGCGCGATCGTGCGCTCGCCGAATAGAATGTTCGTTTATTTTTTTTTCTCCCCCAGATGCACAGTATCCCGGCGCGAAACACGCGTCAAGATAAACAACTCGACGTGATGCGCGACACAGTCGTGACGTTTGCACGCGTTCACCGTATTTGCATCGAGCCCATTACATTTTTTCACGTAGCGTGATTATCACAGAGAAACACGCCGGAGACGCGCGATCGCACGCGCAACGCGAATTCGACGATCCCGATTAATTGTCCCCGTGTCGGTCCGCGTCGCGGGAGGAGCCTCGTCCTGACACAAACGAGGAAGAATAAACGGCGTAACACAGCGGTGCGGATCGAGCGCGGCGCGACGCGCGTTATCTCGGCACGTCCCTGCACGACTCCGCTTTGATTTCGCGTTGTTTTTCGATGTCAACGCGCGCGACCGCTACGAGAGGAAATAATAACTAACTATCCGGATCCGGGCGTTCCTGCCACGCACAGGTCCGGCGACGAACCACCGCGGTTCCCCGGGGAAATGTACGGTGGCGATTTTTACAAAATGTAAACGCGGCACCATGCACAAGTGTACACACAACAGGCGCGTAAGTACAACGTGACGGCACACGCGGACTCCGGCGCGGATTCCGCCGGCGGATTACGGCCGTCGCGGAGGTCGCTCCGCGGCGTCGCGTGTAATAGCGTCTCGCGCCGCTACGCAACACGCGTGTTATTTTGATCGGCGACTCACCTGTTCGTCCGCCATTTTCGCAGTACCTATCTACGATGAAGCCCGGATCACATGCCAATCCCATCTGCCATGATCTGCTAACTGTGCTTTACCTGTATTTTACTTCGCGATCCGCCGCAGGAATGCTCGCAGGATGGCGCTTTCGACGTCTTCTTTATGCACCCAACTGTATTATTCACGCGACAATTGTACCTATGCGACGGTTGGCCAGCCTGGCACCCTGTGTTTGATAAGATCTACATGGTGTCTGGAAAACACCGATTGTTTTTCAATCAAAGTTTTCGTCAGTCCTAATCTTCTTGTTGAGCGATTTGGAAAAATTTGTCTCTCCTTCACAAAGATGCCGAAGAAGATAATTACATATTAATATCTTATCCTTATTTAGAGAAAATAAATATTTAGCAAAAAGTTGTTATTTTTATGCGACCCGATATATGTCGCATGTGATAAGCGAAACAATGCAAGCAACTTTTTAGATTTAATTTGTCCCAAACTGAAATGCAAAGACAAAACACCCGCAATTGCTAATTCTCTGCTTGTTTGATTTCAAATCAATCGTTCGTCCATCATTGATTAAACACCGTTCAAACAATTAAATTTCTTATATTTTTTGAATCTAGGAACTACTGAACAAAATTATTTATATCAAAGACACTTCTATCTGATAAGAGCGTGATAAGGATGTGTCATTGATATTTACAAAAAGTCATAATGGATGCACATAATTGCGCTTAGTCATTACTTTATATAGGTTTATATTGTTACCATGTGTGCTGCACTATGATTATCGTATAATTATAAACTACAATACCAGAAACGAGGCGTGTAGATTTCGACTCTAAATTCATCGAATTTTCAAATAATAAATTTTACTGTGCGTATATATAAATTAAAATATGTAACACGGCACAATGTACATAATTAAAATATATTTAAATATAATTAAAATATATTTAAATATAATTAAAATATATTTAAATATATTTTAATTATATTTATCACATTACATATCAATCACATTTTTCATAATTAAAATATATTTAAATATCTAAATATATTTTAATTATATTTAAATATATTTTAATTATGAAAAATGTTTATTGCTTTAATTCAGATTTTTTGAGAGAGGAATGTTTATAGCCACAATTTCAAAATTATAAATGAAACACATTAACAAGTAGCCGGAAATTTAACAAAAATGATAAATCTGGGAGCTTTTCTAATTATTTTATAATAACATCGCGCTCTTATCAGCTCACGTTACTCAAGATAATCATTTATATGCTTCGATATGTTTGGCATACTTATTTTCGCTCAGGCTATTCAATATTATAATTTTATGGCATAACTAATGTACATATATGCAGAAGGATGACAATAATGGATTTTACCATAAAAAATTCCCCGTATTCTTGTGTAGGTATTATATTTCGAATATAGCTTTTGCACAGCCTTTGTATCCTCTCTATTCAATTATTTTCACATACACGAAGATTCATGTCGATATTAACAATAAAGCATCACAATATCTTCCTAAGGGTATTTCAGTGGTATTCTCGACAATTGCAAACGCCCACGTGCAGTCAAATCGCAATGTGTGGTACGATACTCTTAATGGTATAATTTTCTTAACTATTATGTCCGATATCTCTCGTATCTCCAAATATTTGGCTCCATGTTGTATGTTTTTTTTTTTTACGTTTTCTAGATTCTCCGAATTCCTGGGTTATCGAAACAGACAATTCGGTGTGAATGCATTTCTCAAAAGCGATAGAAGTTAATAATTTTTCAGATTTCAGTTGAAAGAGAAAAAGAAATCCCGATATTACAGGAAGACACAGAGTAAATAATCGTGTTTTTTTCTTTTCTTTTTTTCTTCTTTTATAATACCTACATAGGCGTATCTGTGGATAGCAGAGGGACGATGGAGAGAACGCGTTAATGTTCGTAATGCGATATTATGTTAAATGTCTGGCTATATGATCACTTATCTCCCCTATTTATTAAAATAAGTCGCAAACTCAAGAACTGTGTATGCCACTTACTCTACAAAAGAAAGAAGTATGCCTTTTTTTTCGCATACGTGTTGTATTCCATATGTACATGTACATATCTCAAAATTATATAAAATTTCCACCCAATAGACTAATTTTTTTCAAAATCACAATGTTTGTATCCAGCTCACGCACACAAACTCATTATGATTAATTTATTATCTTCATTTCCGCTTTTGTTCGGTGTAGAAACACTTGCAACGCAAACGAATTATATACAAATATCCACCTATATTTCTCTTTTTTCAAATTGCATATTATAAGAGTAAACAAATTTCACATAGTCTAAATGTTGGATGTAGAACTGCAATATATTGCCTTATTATGTCCACGTGTATTAAACATGTAAATTGCGTTCTGTGTACACAGCTCGTATAAAACTCGGAAATTAATGTCACATACATTGAAATGAAAATGTAAATCTCTTTCTTATATTGAACGTCTTATTGCAGGGCTGAAACATTCGAATCATTATGATGTTACATCTTGAAATATGTATTATTATTTTCCGTGACAAAAATCGTTCTGTGTTCCATTACATTTATTAATAGATGTTTATAAGCGTTATATTAGATTGCTCTGTTTTTTTACTGACCATTATTAACGAAACGCTACATATTTGGAGAACGTAATTCGGTATTTCACTTTGCTTTTCGGTATCACACTTTCAGTAGTTACACTGTAGAACTGTTTACTATCAAACATTTGAGGATATCTGTGATAACGCTCAAAATATCGTGCGATATCGCCGAAATTTTAGCTCCGTTATTTCGCGAACGCTTCGCGCTAGTAATGATAGAATATTACATTAATAATGCATATATTATTTTAATGTAATATTGTATATATGGATTGTCGTATGTATATATATTATTACTAGCGGCGCGCTCACAGCGGAAGCAGAAATTTCATAACGTCACAACCATTCGGGCGTTTTAGAGTGATGCCACACTTGACTACGTATGGTCTTTATATATACTCAGTTATGTACATAAATATAAATCTAAATAGGAATATATTTCGTTTATTTGCGTTTATAATAGTTGAATTTGAAGTGTTCCTTGAAATTCCAGTGAAATACCAAATCGCTGAAAAATTTAACAATCTAAAGGAAAAAGTAGCATTTATCAATATATATTACAAACAAATTGATAATTTAGACTAATATAAAAATGGGAAACCTATATCTCGTATAAAAACGCGAATAAAATGATCTAAACGAGATCAATAGTCAAGATATGATAATAGTAGCTTTTCTTCTGCCTTTTTTTTACAATAGCTAAGATCATTTTTACGATGACACACTACACTTTCTCCATATGAATAATAATAATAATAATTAATAATTAATAATAATAATAATATTTACATCCTGATGTAATAATTTTTATATTTTAAATGCAAATGGCATTGTGCCAAACGGCTGTGCAGAGGGTTGCCGACTCCTCAATTGCTTTTTTAAACAACATAAGTCTGACAAAGTTCAAATATGTCTACAAAAATTGTTATACGTTCAATTAATGATCTTTTTTTATGAATCTAAACGGGATATACATAACACGTCGTATCGGCTATTTTCGAAAGACGGTGCAACACGATGATCCTTTCATGTAACAATTTCCTTTTGCACATTCACACAGAATAAGTACTCCAATCAAACATTTTACAATTTTCTTATCTCTCATAAATTAATTATATAAAAAAAATTATTAATTTACTATAATACATCTAACATCTTATTAAGTATGGTATCCAGCCTCCCTAAAACATTTCGTTTCATTACGTATTTGTAAGTCTTTCTTTCTTTTTTTTCTCTCATTTTTGTTATCATAGGAAAATGGTCTTGATTTCTATCATGTTGTAGAGCGTAGAAGAATTTCAGATATGGCCAAAGCAAACGACGACAATCGTTTACATCCATAGGATGTATTTATGCGGCTTTAAACATACTGTTCGTTCCTAAACGCGGGTGCGTCAAGCGCATATATAAATTATAATTTATAGTTACACGCAGGTCAGTGTTCGTTTTACTTTCCTATTTCTTGGAGAATTTTCTTGCTGTTTTTTTTTCTGCCAGCAAACAATAAACCAAAGTCATTGACCAACCAAGCTCTCTCGTCAAACGGTTCTGTAGTCGTTTAATTGTTCTGCTGATTCAACTACCGTTCTCACTGAATACTCCTCATCATTCCGGCATTTCATTCTTTGCGCACATAGTCGTGAACACATTGGATTCACTCACTAACCACTTGTCTGAAATTCAAAATCCCGCAATTAAATTCTGACCATTTATTTTCTCTTTCAATATTTACGTTAATATTTTTATCGAATAGATTGTTTCTAAAGCTTACCTGCAAATAAAATAATCAAATAACCTCATAAAATATACTTACAATTATATCACAATAAAGGAATCTCCGTATTGATGCGTCACTCAAATGCTGCAAATGAAAATGATATTTTTATTTCCAATATATATATTTGATAATCAACATAAAATCTGCAATTATTAAATATTTGTAAATATAAAATGATACATACGGGAGGGAGATCTAGTGTCAGATTGAATTGGCGCTCCATCCATTGGTAAACGTCCACTGCATACACTGCCACTTGAGGGATTGTAATTAAGGAAATCCCAAATGAGTATCGTATCATCGTGGGAGGATGAGACAATCTGGAACTCGTCAAATTGAAGACGAAATACACGTCCTGTGTGTTCCTAAAATGAAAAGTATAAGATTAGTAATGAGTAAAGATTGCCACTCGTACAGTACTTAATATAAAACAATATTGTTGATTAAAAACATGTACAAAAAAATATAAAAATCTTACCACTAAGGTGCGCAAGCAAAGTGTACTGGCAACGGCACGAGGATCTAGAGCTGCTACCAAATCCCAAACTTTAATTTTGCTGTAACATGTAATAACAAATATGAGTTAAATGATACAATACCTTTTTTCATAATGTTTACAAAATTAATGTATTCTTAAAGCAAAAATTGTGTCTTTTAATTTAACTCTGAATTAAATGGAATTTTGAGTAAAACTTCTAGGCAATCTTACAATAGCAGCAAATATTATACCAATAATAAATTTTTAAAATATTTTAGTATGAAAAATCATGTAGAAAATTGCTTTTTTATATATTAAAGATATAATTTTAAATAAATATTGATTTTAATTTCTTAAATATGAAAAAAGTTGAACAAAAAATTTTCAGAAATATAAGTTTTCTATACACTGAAGATATTGTTGATCTCATATTGCGAATGCAAAGTTACAGTCAGGATTAATAAGTTCAGGTTTCCTGAACATACCCATCGTAAGCGCCGCTGACGATGTGCTTGCTATCAAATCGAATACATCTCACTAGTTCTTCGTGGCCTTCTAGAACACGTAGGCATGCGCCGCACTCGATGTCCCACAGTCGTATGGTATTGTCACTACTACCACTAACTACTAAGCGATCCCTATATTGCAAACACGCTATACCGCGTTTATGTCCATTCAACGTTCGCACGAACTCGCAGTTAGACGTGTTCCATACTTTGATAGTCCTATCACCACTGGCAGAAACTATATATTTCTCGTCGAAATCGACCACGTTTACTGCTGCTCTGTGTCCCACTAACACTCTTCTCAACGCAATCTCCGTCTGCGACGTCATATCCCAAACTGCTATTGAACGATCCTGCGAAAGAGATCAACCGTTAATAACGATCCGACTGAATAAGGAGGATTGAGACGAGAGATGTGTAAAAAATTCACCGCTCTATCAGCTGACCTTTGAACAAGTAACCATCATGCCGTTGTTGAATCTAAGATGCAGCACCGCCTCGCAATGGTGAATGAGCGTGTTGACCATCTCGCCCGTGTTAGCATCCCAAACTCTTACGGTGCTGTCCGATGAACCAGATATTATAGCTTTGTCGTCATATTGCAAACACAGTACGGAACCCGTGTGTCCCGTTAACACCTTGATGCACTGCAAAGTATTTCTATCCCAGATCTTAATCGTGTTGTCTCTCAACCCGGAAACAATCTTTTGATCGTCGTATTGCAGGCAGTAGACGCCCTTCGAGTTCTCGCTACGGCAATTGATTCGCTGGAGATTGAACCGGCCCATTCTCCAGTTGTTCTCTATACTTTCGATGTCTTTGACGATTTTCGGATAGAGAGACCTGTAGAAATTGTGATTGGGATGACTCTCGCCCGGTCTCGGTTTGAAGAGGTATTGTATCCTGAAAGCAAATTATGATAAAAGATGAATAAAAGAAATGTGAAGAATCATTTGCATATTCCGTACGTATGTCATGACTTTCGCGAAACGCTTTGCATATGCATATTAGACTATTGAAAGTTTGTTTCGTAAATCCACTTACCATCCTCTTCTTTCAGCCAACCCTCTCCAAACCGAATCCGTCCGAACCTTGCGCTCGATCAACTTCTTCCAGAGCATCCCTTCGCTGATCACTCTGTGCCATTCCTTGCATACTAACTCGGCGGAAACTAGCGACTTGGCGTCCAAGTACGAGAGAATACTTTCTGCCACGTGATCCAGTCCTTTTTCTGCAAAAAAGACACGCATCCGGTATAGTTAGAAATACGTGGGAAGAGCGGGCGATAACATATCGAGTGTATAGCAATATCTAAGCGATATAAAAACAGTATTTTGTTACTAACTTGGCAAAAGTGAGATAAAGTCTCTCTGCAACATCGGCTTGAGATACGCATTGATATGCCCATGCTGATAATGACACATTCGCGCTAACAGCTGTTCGACAAAGTGCACTTGCTCCGGCTCGGTCCATCTTTCGAAGAACTTCATACAGATTTCTCTTTCCTGTCCATACTGCGTGGACACCCCCGTAGACGGTTCTTTCTTGCAACTAGGATCGTACAGTATTGTCATCGGATACTGCAACAGATTATTAATAACCATACGTTAAAATGTGCGAAAAATATATCGTAAATCTGCCGGATGCTATGCACATTAAAGATTGCAGATAAAAGTCTTAATTTATTATCGACACTGGATTGCTATATTTATAAGTGCCATCATAAAAATATAATATGCTTAGATTCTTTCATTTTTTTTATTTATATTTTTTTCCACTTTGTATTTCTATGTATTTTTCCAGATACGCGTGCGATGTGTGTGATGTTTACTCTTACTAGATCAGTAGCGTTCTAAGTAATCGGAGCGAAAATAAATGCAGCTAAGAATATCACTGCACAATGTGCATGTTGATGCATACAACACTGTCTTTCGATTAGTCACTGCGGTTGAGACATCGTACAATGGATTAGAATCGACAAGTTGTGCGAAACGTGCAGCGTTTCGCAAAACGCGGCTTCGAGGAAATGTCGAGGAAATGAAAGATGGATAATTATACTTCAAAATTTACAAATAAAGTATGCATTATCGGTACACTCACTCACACACACGTAACTCGATTAATTTAATTATTCCCGTCACTGTTAATCAAGTAGTGTAAATTTAATAAGTAAAGCAATTAAAATTTAAATACGTAATTTATAACAAAATGTATTATTTTTAAATGTATATTTTTTAAAAATATTACATTATTTCACTATCAATAAATGTATATTATATTATAAATATTATAATATATTATAAATATACACTAATAGATAGAAATTAATAAATAAACATAATAAAATTTAGAAAGTTCTAGATTTCTTTATATAATGTTCTGCTATTGCGCAATTTTTCGTCAAAACTTAAAACTAGATCCAAGAGAGCTAATTTTATTGTTGCCGCTCTTTTTAACGGAGACTTCAAAAAATATCGAGAAACAAAATGTAAAACAGATAGTTTTGAAATTCTACCGTATTGGCATTCGAGTTGCAAATAACGCTCACAAACTCTTACGTATCGACATAATTATTATCGATGATGGTGCAAATAGAAGGAAAAAAAATGTTTAATTATGCTCATAGATTATCTCCCTTAAGTGCAAGTACGAATGTAATCGATGTCACATAAAATGTGTATTCTGTTTTTTGCTAATCTCGCTTATCTCCCGAAGTCACGATGCAGATAAGCCATAAAAGACAGAAAGCGCCAATCACATTTTGTAAAGATCACCCGACTGCTTGTGCAAAACTTTCTCAAGTATCAGATTACTCCAAATCAATTTCTGAAGGGGAAAAATGTTGTTGAAAAGCAACAATATTTAACCTTTTAAACTCTGCATATCATATATGATAAATGTTATATTTGATAGATTTATTAAATAAAATTCAATCCTCTATGATTATTCATTTCTTACAAAATTTAAATGTAATGTTTTTAACATAAAGACGTAATAATAAATATTGCATAATATAAAAATAACTTTTTTAACAGCGCCATCTAAATTCAGAGAATAACGCGTGAATGAGGATATTTATATTATAAAAAATATATGTACGTTCTCATCGAAAAAAAAACAAATCTAAAATTCCTGATTTGTAGATTGACTTGATAAATAAGCGTGCATTTCGCACATTTGCAAAGCTAAAATCGCGGATACATCTTGAGCTGTAGAGCGAAGTACCGGGTTCTTGACCTCTCTTGCTCCATTCTCTCTCGCTCGTATCGTACGAGGGCTCTTACAAATTAATTCGTTTACGTGCGTCCCGATTTGCGCCGGCATCTCGTTTTCCTCGTTAATATCGCAATCGCCGTTAATCACATTTTAAGTGACACGTAAACGAATCATTTTCATTTTTAGCAAATAATTACGAACGGGAGATAACGATGTTCCAAAATTTCGACGTGAACGTTCATCAAAATCGAGAAGACCGGCGCGCAGCGCGCTGTTGATTCTGCAAATGTAAATACGATTACACGAACAAATAATGATGCCGGCCGAACGCGGGGCAAATTTACATGAGTGTCATCGTTAAGATTGTTGACGTAGCAGTTCGAGTGTGTGACTAATCAACTTTCGAGCAGAAATTCAGACGTGCGGCATAAATGCGCATAAAGTGCGCTTCTCACGGAGGAAAGTAGTCGCACACGTTTGCACTTTCACTGTTTACGCCGTCCTTATCGTCGGTATTTGTCATTGATGTCCGATAGTCCGATAAACTGTTAGCTACAATGCAGCTGTGGAGACTATCAAAGAAATATCCTTTGATACGGCTAAGAATAGAACGCAGCAACGTATTGATCAGACGTGATCCTCGCGTATCCTTCATGGAAATCTTTTCTACCATATCTGATAACGTTTAATAGTGACTTTCTGTAGAGCAAATCACACATCAAAAGCTATATATCGATTGTATTGCGAAATAGGTCATATTCATAATATATATTACAAATATTAATAGAAAATGATCACGTACGAAGGCACGATAGAAAAGCTTATTATTTGCAACTTCGCAGAAAAATTTCACATCACATCGGAAATTGCCTATCGTTATCTAACTTCAATTCGATTAGATCAGATAAAATCTGGATAAATGTAACTCACACATTATCGCGTTAATTTGATTTAACGATACCGATAATCTAGCGATCGGCGCAGAGCTTTATCGTTGAAAAATCAACTTCTTCCGAGAAACTCATAATAAACGCCTACGACAAAATAAATGCGCTATTCTCGCGCGCACCGATAATGCATTACGGATCGTTCGTCTTCGATTTGCGCAACTATCCTTTTCTTTACTGGCGTACGACATTACTCTTTGAATTGACTTTACTTCCAACTCTAACTTCTCGCTTCCAGCAATCGGAGGGCCTCTTCCGACAAAGCGCGGGCGTTATCGGTCGCTTATCATCCCACGTGTGCGTTTGTACGCTTCCTCGTGCAACGAACCTTAGTAACCGTGCGGCGGTGAATTTATCACGGAATTGAAAGGCACATATACGTAGATGTACGAACGGCGAGCCGGCGTTATTTTTGTAATCGAAGGGTTACGTTTGCGCGCGCGGAGAAAGTGCATCCACGAGTGCAATGGGAAGAATAAATGCCGCAACACACGCCGGCGCAAGAGGATTCTCAACGCGTGCGATTGTTGAGCGCGCCGGAGATATTGTCAAAAAAGAAAGAAGGAAAAAAAAAAGACTATTATGCGAGTGCCGAGTCACTGTTTTCACATGCCGTTCCGTTTTCACGTTGTTTCTCAACTCTCTGACGCAGCGTTCTACACACGGCGGAAAGCGCACACGTTCATTCGTCGTGAAATTTCTGGTCGCTCTTTGTCAGCGCGAACGCATTTTTACAGAAGGAAAATGATTACATGTTATTTTTCGAGCCACGCAAAGCTTGAGGGGAGGGAAAAAGCTTTTGCGAATTAAGCATCAAAGACAAAGTTAAATAATGAAACGCATTGTTCTTCATTCTATTTGCGGGCTTTGAAGAGAATTTTAATTGGAGATTTAATCACTGCGCTTTTAAAAAATTCTGAAAATTGCGAAAAATCGCGTCACCGGCATTTTCGCTAATATCAATTTCGCAGAAAGTAACGTGTTCCCTTTCCGCCGATTTTACGGAGAACTGCTTTGCTACAATATAACACATGTCGTACACACACACACACACATACGTTTTTCTAAGTGTGCCACAATACGAAAATCCATTTATGCTCTAAAGCTAACAGCGATTTGTAGCTGGAATAATCGCTAATCGCATATTTCGCGGCTGACCTACTTGCCGCGTCTACCTCGGGAAGTGAAAACTTCATAAAAGATCCGTATTGCGTTAAATATTTATTAATGAAAGCTAAACTGCAGTGGAAGCAGCTGGAGAACGCGCGATCAAGTGTAGCGATTTTTTTTTCTGTACGCGTCGCGTTTCTAACAAGAAACTCGAAGCTGCCGAGAGAAATCCGAAAAAAAAACGAGTCTTACGATAATTATCCTACAATTTTTAGGATATTTTCTCCTGAAAAGGGAGGAAAATTTACCACGTCTTCGGGATGGCGATATTTCTCGTTCACGTCTGAAAGTTCACGTTGAAAACAAAAAAAAGCGCTTTACGCAGCCGGTCCTATTGTACATCCCCTCGAAAGACAGCTCCCCCCCTGCGGCAGTTGACCCCTTCTGTCAATGTAACAGAATACAGAAGAACGAGTCTAGCGGCCGTCGATGTGCGCGGCGCGATCACCTGAAAACGCTTCGAGTGCTCCCGGCGTAACGGTATCGCGAACTCGTGTCGAATCTACGCTCTCCTGATTCTTTTGTCTTCCCCGGGTTTGTCGTGCCCGCACCGCCTGTTGCCATGGTCAAAGTGCGAGTGTGCAGAGTGTCCGGCCAACAGGCGTGATGAACGAACCTTTTCCTTGCCAAAAGCGGAAACGATTTTCTTTTTTTTTTACGACGACTCAATCGACGGCATTCATTTGCGGCTTTTGAAGATTTAAAGCGTGACAAATGTGCGCCAACGAATTCCTCTCGACGTGAAATGCGGCTAAATTTGGATAATTATTCGCGTGCCATTTTTTTTTCAATGAATAAACGCTTATACAAAGATTATTTATGTTCAGGTATCTTTTGAAAGAAATATATTTTAATTTCCGATAAAAAGTGTCGCCAGGTATATCAATATTTCCATTTATTGAGCATTCCATTCATACAATATTGAAATTAAAACTGCGATTGTCCACAAATTGCGTTGCATGCAATTTTTTTTTTAAATATTCGATACATAAACGACTGCTTGATTTTTTATAATTTTTCGAAGCTCAGATCTCGCGTGCTGAATTCAAATGACGCGTTGTAACTGTTTGCAGTCGCAGTGATTCATGTATTTTTAATAGACTGTTCAGATTTTGCAGGAACGTGTTTCGACGAAACTCAACCGGTGTCTTTTAACGCTGCGGAGTGTGCTCGCACAAGGGAAGTAGTGTCGCAAGACCGAAATGTTCGGATTTCGTGGAATGGTACGCGAAACAGGTTTTCGCGCCCCGCAAATTCGCTCGTCTATTCCGGCACAAAGAGGTCGACAACTTCTGAAGGTCTAAGAAGCGCCCGCCAAGGAATCACGACGCTAGAAAGCGTAAAGCGAACATATTAAGATGAACAATGGTCTGACACACCGCGCAAATATTCGAGCCACGGCAACGCCAGATATCTCTGAATATCCCGGAAACTCCTCTTATCGACTTCTCTTTCAAAAGAGCCAAGAGAAATACTTCAGAAGACACGTAAAGAGCATTTTCCTTCTATTCTGGGCAATCGTAGGATCTTATTACGTCATTCTTTATCGCGTCTCGTTCCGATCTGATGAATCTCTCACGATAGAGGCACAAAAAGCGCGGATATAAATAAAAAGACTCAACTTTCACAGACGGCGAATCGGCAATTTGCCGCCGTTTTAACTTCGGATTACCAAAAATAAAATTCCTGCAATACATATGACAGAAAATCATGCGTAAGTCGAATATAATTTAAGAGCAAGAGAGATCGCAAACCTGCTTGCTGTCAAAATTTCGTCAATTTCTCTAATCAGTAAAACTGAATAAACTTTAAGGAAAAATTATTCGAACGTGATAAAAAAAATCGATTGCTTTATTACCTTCGGATCGAATACAACGTTTCGCAGCGGCTTGTGTATCTCCACCGAAACGCGACGCCTAAAAAGGAACACTCCTCCCGCGTGACATTGGCCCGCGGCCGTACGCGCACGCGGGAATTTACATGCACGCGTCATTACGCAAAAGCCACGGCCGCGAATTTATATATCCGCGCCGTACACGTGTCTCCCCTCGTTATTTACTGCCTTTCGCTCGATACGATAAATCTCTCTCCTTCGCGACGCGGCGAGGATCTAGACAAAAAAAAAAAGAAAAATTCGCAGACTCGACTTCACAGACGGCGAAACGGTAATTTGCTACCGTTATCGTGAACGCGCTTTTTTCGACAATTCGCGTCCTCCTCATCGCGCGATACAAAGTTCGTTAGCATCGCCGGGTACACGAGTTCACATTACACAATGATAATAGCGAAGTGCGTGATTAGAATCTGCAACGAAGTAAAATTAAGAGACCGAATACTGAAAAACAACTGCGACTCTTAGAGTTTCCATGCTCGAAAATGTATACTCCGATAAAATTAATTTGTATATAATTAATGTAATGAATAGTGAAAAAAAATTATATATATATATATAATTCTACTCACGATATTTTTTTGAAAGTTTCTTTGTACATGGAATCGTTATAAAAAATTAGTTTGCGGAACGCCGCGTCGCGTAATTATGTGCAATTATAATTATCGTAGTGTCATTTTGTCTATTATAATTATCGCGAGAAACGTTTTAGAAAAATTCGATGAAGAGAATTGTTTCGTGAACTGCGATAAACAATGACTATTTTTATCGATAATTAGAAAAACATGCTCACTGTTATTCTATTTTTATTTTCCGCTTTTATTGATCGGACCTTTAATTTGGCAGAAAATGGCAAAGGCGTATCCTCGACGGATAAAGGATCACGGAAGTGGCTTGAAATATCAGCTTGTTACATCGTACATTAGTACTCGAGAGCAATAATGGGCCTGCGAATATTGACGTAGGTAAATTCGCGCGACCTTCTCGTTCAAGGATCGCAATCTGTTCCTCACTCCCTCTTTCTCCCTCTTTCTCCCTCTCCCTCGTCCTCTTTCTCTTCATCGACAGACGCTTGAGAGCGTCCGCTTCTACAAATAGCATCGTTATTTATCGAGCAATAGCGAAGACGGCCTAAATCACAAATATGGAGAAATCGAGTTAATGGCGCGATGATTAATTACGGTGCAGGCATTTTGCGAACAAGCATCTCGTGTTAGCTCATTAGAGAACATTTCTGTTTAACGCACATATCCAACTGTGTCAAGAACGAAATGCGCGCGATACAGAACGATTTTACAATTATGAGAATAATCGCAATTATATTCTGATATAATAATTGTGAATTCACGATCGGAAATGTGAATAATTGCGACTTCATCGTCACAAAATAGATTATCGAAACGTTAAAATTAATTCCAAACCGTTGTTCGTTCCGCTTCTCTGTGTGCCGCGAAATAAAAGTCTTATTTCCCGGCGCAGGAAAACGTACGCGGCGGCTTGTTTAAAGCGATGCATGATTTATGAGCGCAATGAGTGTAGGAGGGACCGTCGTCCGCGCGCGAGCGCAGGGATAAGAAGTCGTAGGTGCACTTCCGGCGCACCGACTGTAACGGCGGTAATTACGAGGGAATACCGACTGTTATCGCGCACGGTCCATAACGCGACCGCAAAACTATCGCATGCGACGTAACAACAACACGTATATGCATTGTGCGCTGTGGATTAATTGTGCCTGGCTGGGAGTCGCTAATCAATCTGTCGTAACACTTGTCAAACAAATACTGGAACTGCGAGAGACGTACAATTAAAATGCATTCTTCGGAGGCAAACAAAACCAGCGTTTCCAAGTTATGTGAAATTGCGTAACTGGAGAGAAACAAGACTTTGAATAAAAGTAATTTAGATTAAATCAGAGCGTGCCACTAACAAATAATTGTGCGCGGAACAGTAAATGGCATAATGATGATAATAATGGACTATTGTTGCAATTATTATTATTACGTCAATTACAGTTCTGAATTTGCGTCAATGCTTTTGCACTTGTCATTGGCGCTTTTCTCCGGGAAGAAAAAAAGAATGCAGATAAGAATTGCGGAGTCTAAAGTCGCGTGACGAATCGAGGAAAGCAGAGCGTGTTGCGGGCGAGAAAAGGCAAGCAACTAAAACATCGATGCATTATGTAGTGCGCTCATTTGCGAAACAATCGTATTCCAGCGAATCCTATGTGTGTCACTCGCGAGATACTGTTAGATTCGTGTGCGTTCTAGTTGCGCCTTCCTGCGTGTTGCGCGTTTGAAAATCGATCCTGGAAAAAGGAAGAATATGAAAAATAAAATGTAAAATAAGCGATTAAAACCCGCCATCTTTCTATCGATCTTTTCTAAGAATATACGATTGATTGAGTATTCTTAACATGACACGATGCAAGTGAAGTCAGTTAGCGGTTAATTACGGAATACGATTGACTGTTTACCTCGCTGCGACCGATCACGATATGTGTCAGTATCCGGACGTGACGCGATGATGCGAATAACAGGCGTGTAATGAATGTCAAGGCATTTATAACACCTAATGGCTACACGTCATCCGCGTAGAACGTCGTACGATCGTGACGACCTATAAAAGGCGCCGCGCCAAGGATCGAATGATTTAAACGAAAACTCGAAAAAGAAGCGGTTCGCTATCTCTCTCTCTCTCTTTCTCCGTAAAGAGAGGGACAACATCTGCATCCGCAAACACCCGTTAGACGACAATTAAACTGTAGCTCCTCGCATCGTCCGACTGTGTAAACAAGCAACCATGAATTCCATTGTCCCTGCATTCTTAACATTTTCTGTATTTAAAGGGAAATACGAAGCGCGTTCCGATTTTCGAGTAAAAAAAAGTTAAAGGGGGGAAAAATAGAAAACAAGATGCGGAAGGCGCAACTGAGACAGATCTGACGAGTACGTATTTGCAAATCCTGAAGGAGTAATTTCACGATGAAAATCGATCGTGACGCAAAACGAATCTCCGCTCCGTTAGAGCGATAACTGTCACATGTTGACGAGCGTAAACACTCGATGTATGTATTTGAACCCGTTTGAGTCATCGTCCCTAACAATTTCCCGTCTTCCTTCCGCTAAGAAGAGACATTCGTGACACCCGTGTGACTCGGATTCGGCCTCGAACACCTGGAGCGTCTTCAGGAGTGAAACACGTGCGATCGTCGACAGCGACGACGACGGTCAGCCGCGCGAAGGCACAAGATGGCGGTAAGTTTTTTTTTCGCGACAGGGAAGACTACTCGGCCGCGCGAATAGTCTCGGGACACTACCGCTGCTTTCTCACTCACCTGCAGACTGGCGTTCGTATCGTCGATAATCTTGTCCGTTTCCATGTTGATCATCCTTTTATCCGCTCGTATCGTGAATGCGTGCAACGTCCGCGCTAACACGCGACTTCGAGCTTGCGTTGCTCTCCGATCACGCTTCTCGCGCGACTGGTGAGTGTATAAGAGCGACGAGGTCGCACAGAAGTTCTTGGAAAATGGCTGATAAGTTTCCGCGTCGAAGTAACCGCTCTCGGCGTGAAAACGCGGCTCCGCGTTTCGGGATCGTTCAGCAGAAACGACGGCGACGACGACGCTCGCTACGAGCCCTCGCCATGCACCACAGGAAGTCGGCGCGACAACATTTCACCAACACAACAGCTCGCAAATAACTATGTCACTCAGCGACGAATGGAGCTGGATGCGTCAGGTGCTTCGATTCTCTTTCTCACGGCGCGACGGATATTGATATCGATATCGCCGCGACAGCACGTAGTTTCCTTTCGATATCCGCAACCTCCCGAACTCACTCGTAGCGCAGACTGTGCCGAACTGGGACGAGCGAGCGTACGAATGGACAAGCGATGCAAGCGACTCGAAGCGAACGGCGGCCACGAACGCCGCGTGAAACGCGGCGCAAGCTGCTCCGTTTCAGAGTTGCAGCCTATCGATATGTCAAAAATGAGAGTGCACGATTGGTCCACATAACAAGTCAAATTATTCCATATCCAATAGAAAAGGTTATTTTTTTAGGGATTTTATCAACCGCTACATTTGTCACTAAAATACAAATCTCCTATCAGAGTTGTCATAGAGTTACACGCGCCATTTTCAAAATAATGCTTGGTGCGCGCAATGTATTAAACGACAAACAAATCTTTAATATATTAATTTTTAATTATATAATTTATTATAATTTTTATATTTGTGCTCGTCCCTTAATCATAGATTTATTCGTAGGTATAAGTACACAAAATACATATCTAAAATGTTTTTTTAACAAAAATGTTAAATACTGTTTAAAATGTTATATGTAGCGCAATTATAGTATTAGTCTTCACCTTTATATCCACTTGATTTGTTCATTCTTGTTAGATTTAATGTCTGATTGAGTTTGCAACGTAAGCGCAGCATACGGTTTGTCGCAATATGGCGAATCTAACGAAGGGTAATAATGTCTGTAGCAGATGTAGGTCAAGCAATAGCCTATTACTGACCCTACCATCACGTCTAAAACAAGTAATGTATTAATAAAATTGTGACAGAATTGATTATTTTAACAAGAATGTATTTACCTTGCCAATGATGGTGATAATCACATGTCCTGCTTAACGCGATAACAAGAGCGACGCAAAGTGGCAGAAGAAACATACACAATCTCCACGATTGTCCTTTTCCCGCTAAACTAAATGCATGAAGTTTTCCGGCTAGATATAAGGCGATGAAACCAAAACTTGCGAACGCAACTAAAAGAAAAATTATAAACATCTCAGTCACAGAGAAATATACTTATTCGCAAGACATATTTGTAGATATTATTGCCAATACATTAACATACACGAGGAATGTCCGCTTGGGAATGACTTCTTTCCATCCCTAATAACAACCGGATCTCCAGTACATTTGAATGTTGGATTCACTTGTCCATCTGGAAAACACCGCCAGAAGAAATCTGGTCTTGGACGTCCTGAAAAAGTCAATGGATGACATTAAGAAAAATACAAATTTATCAATTTAAATTCATTTAAATATTTTGATTAATAACATACCTACTACAAGTTTTAAGATATCTGTAATAAGACCATTAAACCCTAGGGCTAATGTTACAGATAATGTTGATTGTTGAAGATCAACTTTATTTCTATGTATTATAAAAAAAAAACAAATTACAGCAACTGGCATTATAAATACAAGGGGCTGGAAAGAGAATATTTCATTTAAAATACGTTATCTGATGTATACTATGTCTTTTTTTTTATTTCTATACAAATATGCACACGTACCCATAATATCGTAGTTGGAACAAAAGATTCTGTTCTTGGATTTTTGTACAGCCAAAGCTCATCTTGATGAATTTTCCTAGTAAATGGTTCTGCTTTTTCTAGCTCTCTGAAAACCATCAAATGTAAAATATTTTACTTAACTGATAACAATTCTGTGACAAGAAAAACTAAGCAACTGTTTTTCAAAAAAAGATATAAAGGAATGAATATCTAATGTATAGCATAGATGTATCTTTCAAAGAAATTCTATTATTTTTTAATAATTATATCATATATTAATATAATTATTAACAAATTCAAAACATGTACTTTTGAAGTAAAATATAATACGAATAAAATTATTATTAATTAATAGTAATGGATATCTTGTTTAAACTAAGTTCAATAACACATTGCAGCGCTAATTCTGAAATATTGATTGTTTAACTGCACATCCATTGAATGTTAACTTACACGAATAACACTGCCAGAAAGATACGTAGCAGAAAGTCAAACCAGAGCCCCATCGAAAGCTGAAGTCCACGTACTTTAGACATCTCCGTACGTTACGCATTTAAATCAAGAACAGATCGTGCCGATGCTCCTTGTTCATGTAAAGAAAATATAAAAATCTTAACGTCAAACTTAAACAATTCATCGTGTAATAACGACACAACTGTATACGACACGTAAGTGCAATCAACTCTATATAGCACACCCGGTAGATGAAACGTCGATATTAAAATAAGTCGAACGATTATCGATTCTCGAATCTCGATCACGGGAACCGAACTGAAATATATATTCGGATAAATATATATTTATCCGAATATATATTTTACTTTAGAAGAAAGTTTAAAAGTATTTTTAATTTCTTTTTCCTTTCCCATTTTATGCATTATAATCGTGGACCAAGAAGTGGAATCGTTTGTTTTAACTGTACTTTTGCACTTCGTGTCTCCTTCACTTTCTCTTGCGCAGTTTGAACATACGTCTGTCTTATTTTAAACGAAAAAAGTGCAACTGGAACAAGCGATCTAGTTTTAAGGTTAAATTTGTAACATACTCGTATAAAATAAGTAAAATAGTAGTCGATTCGATTAAACGAAAATGGATCCGTTGCATTTTCTCGTGCTGCTCGTGCAATGTGCCTGTACAAAATGGACATCGTTATGATTATTTGCGTTTGCCATATTGTACATAGTTGAGTGGTGCTAAAAAATTACGTTTGCAACTGTACTTTTGTACATTAATTTGTCCTGCGACACGTGGAAGCGAAATGAATAGTCGCAGTATCATCGCGAAATTGCAATAAGTGATATCACATGGTTGTAGTTTGCTGAGTAAAGAAACGTTCATTGTGCGATGCCAGATATAAGAAATAGGGTTAGTTTTCGGATTCCTTATATAAGAAACGTGATTTAATTATCTAATTTCTGTAAGTCGTAACAATAGAATCAGTATAGTCGTTTGCATTGCGTGAGAACAATGAGCTTATACTATTCAATTTTTAATGTACGATATGTAATGATGCAATATTTTTTTTTTCAGGAAAAATTTTGCCAATTAAAGAGTTTCATAATATTGCACAACACGCGATACGTGGAAAAAACTCAGAAATATCGACTGCATAAGCATTTATATTGAGTGGATTTAGCTTTGAATAAAAGATAATGCTAGCAGCCATGGCTGTGACACCATCAACTCCTGTAGGTAGCACTGAGCTACCGAGTCCAACCACTGAAATATCCGATGAAAATTTAAATAGTTTCATCACATATCTGAATAATCTCGCTGGTAATTATGAGATGGATGTTGATGTCATAGTCAAGGATCATTGTTATGCTCGAGCCTGGAACTGGAAGCCAGAGAATGTCTATGTGAAACCTGTAAAAAAATTATTTTTCTCAAAAAACACTTCAGCAAGGTAAGATTACTCATAATATTTAATCTTTGCCGAAATGTAACAAATGTTTAAAGTTATTATTCTTTACATCTTAGTGCTACATACAGAAAGGATGAAGAAATCAATGTGGAAGATGTTGATAGCGAAATGATACCGCCTATTGACTTCACCAGAGTTCAACACATGATGGACGAATTTGAACGGTTAGCGATCTTTGCGCGGCCTGAGGAAGACGAAGACTGGGAGGATAAGATAGACAAAACTTTTTGGTCTCCAGTGCAGAATCGGATATTTTCCAAAGTGACTCGAGTACTGAGCTCGGAAAGGCTCAGCAGATTAGCTAAGACTGATAATGCGGCGGAATCGATTTTTCGAAGAACGTCGGTTGATATCGCGGCGAGGCGATTTCGGGAAACGTTAGCATCTACAGGATGGGACTGGAGACTGGCGCAATGGCTGCACAATTTATTATTCGAGCATCTGTCCCACGAATATCTGGCCATCTATCTCGATATCTTGCAAGTTCTAAGACTGAAAATTCCTCAACTAATCGATAAGATGATCGCCGTACAACCGAATATTAACTCCAAGACAGGTTCCATAACGTGGGAAACGCTCGGATCGCTCTTGAAGCGTTCCTGGGATCCGATCGCGCCGAGCTTGAACGGAATCAAACCTGTAAATATGACCACTTGATCATTACTACGCATCATTATATTGCTTTAGTATGTGAAAATTAACATAATCGATTACAGAAGAAATTGCCCGGAAATCCAATCTTAATAATAGTACCGTCCGGCATTTCCCCGACCGTTTCTTCTCGTCAGCACAAGTGGATCACGCAATTAGGTACGTTAGGTACGGTCGTTACCGTTCATACACACATGGGATTGGCGGGCAACAGAATGACCATGCTGGTGTGCATGGATCAATTAGTTCAAGCTACGAGAGCCAAGATACAAGATGTCAGAAGCGACTGTCCAGGCAGGCCGATTATACTCGTGGGTTTCAACACTGGCTCGGCGCTTGCTTGTCAGGTAATTTTACAACATAATGTTTTTTGCATCTTGCATTTATTTCACTTTCTATCGTTATCTCGTTTTTTTTTTATTATAGGTGGCACAGATGGAACATGTAACCGCTGTTACTTGCATTGGATTTCCTTTTGCGACGGCTGAGGGGCAACGTGGCGCGCCCGACGACACGTTAATGGATATTCGCTGTCCCATTATGTTCATCATCGGGCAAAATGCCACACTCGTTAGAGCGGACGATTTGGAGGATCTCCGACAGAGGATACAGGTCCAGACGAGTCTGGTGGTCGTAGGCACGGCTGACGATCATCTCAGGATATCCACGACCAAGAAAGTACTCGAGGGCATCACTCAGAGTATGGTGGACAAATGTATACTGGATGAGATCGGCGATTTTATCGGTAGCATTCTACTGCAACCGCATCCATTGCCGCTGCGACCTACGATCACAACCAACGGCGATAACAAGACCAAGAAGGAGTCTCACAAACGGAGAAACTCCACTAGCAGTTCCGTGGAAAGCGAGCCTAATTCGCCGGTCACGAAGAAGTCCCGACCGAACTCGCCGGTATCTTCCGCGCTATCGGCTGGGACGAACACGGCGTCGAGCTCGACTTCCAAAATCAGTTCACTCAACACCCAATCTAATCTGGTGCAAGTGAGCGGACAGCAGACAAACCATTCTTCCACTATCAGACGAAAACGACCCACGAGCAATCAGAAAAATCAATTCGCGGAACATATGAAGACTTCTAAGCTTCCTGGACAGGTAATTCTCACACATACATTGTATATATAACTGCAATTTAAATAAAATATGTGATTATTTACATTTATTGCAGACAAACATTAATGCGGAAAATGGCATAACGCTCAATATTGGTACACTGGCAAGTCTGGCGCCGATAGGGCCGATACGTCTGGCGCCCACCACTGTCAGCCAATCGCCTCCCAAAGCGTCCAAATCTTCGACGACGCCCAGCAAAGTACCGAAAATCATTTCAAACGTAGCGCTGCAGGGCATTCCCAAGATGAAGACGATAGTATCTTCTAACAAACCTTATTCAAACATGATATCAAGCAATTACAGACAAGTCAATATACCTGACAAAAACGGAGACGCAAAATTGGTCAACATTTTCACCACTGGAAATCAAATTAGAGTTAATACAAGTTCCGGAGGTAAGATGCAGATTCATTCTGTACGAGTGTACAAATCTCAAAGAAAAAAATAACTAGAAATATTCATATTCTTTCTTCTCTGAAATTAAATAGCGGGAAGCGGCAAGTCGACCGCGACGAGTGGCACGCTATCGAATCTTTTGCAAAACGGAAAGAGCACCATTGCGCTCGCGAGCGCATCCTCCGCCCGTGTGTCATCGACTTCCAGTATTCTACTAACGACCACCAGTTCGCCGGCGAATAGTATACCGCCATCCACATCGACAGTTGCAAAAGGTAGATCATCATTATCTAATCAATTATCAAATAGTTCGCCCGAAACGTAGTTCAGCCTACATACGCGACGTCCAATGTAACAATTTGTTTTATATACGAATGTACTTAGAACGAATTTTTTTTTTATATTTAGCAAATTAGACGTACGTTCGAATTGAACGTACACACTTGACTTAACGAAATAATTGAAAGTATTTAACATGTCCAATAGTCATAACGTTAATTTCGACAATCGGAATTCATTTTTATTTATATTTTACAAATTAGTTTCAATCATCGAACTGGCTGCTCTATAGATAAGTAGACTTATATTTTTATAATACTTATTTAATGTCTGACATACATATGTACCTATAAATATACACACATGACAAATAACGTATACAATCAATAAACTCACATTTTTCTAATTTTCTTCTTGGTCTTTCAGAAAAGGGTAATAGAAATATTACATAACGGAAATTTTTACTAAACATTTACACCTGTAAATAAAATGTATATAAGATAGCGCTAGAAATTGCCTAATGATTTTCGAAATTGGGTGATTTTGATGCATAGATTACATCCAAGGGAAACAAACTAAAAATTCTCTTAATTTCTTACAATTTCACATTTACGATAATCTAATAATAATAACAAAAAATAAAAATTGAAGCGAAGCACACATTCTAAAATAAGACTTACGATGATTTCATACATTGACTGTAAAGCTTCCAAAAAATACAGTATATAAAAATTCAAAAATTATGAACGGAATATTAATGTATAAGTGTCTATTCGATTCCATTCATATTTATTCCAAATTTTTCCTCAATTGCGCGAAAAGATCCTCTTTCCCCAAAGGCTGTTTAGTGTTAATTTGATACTAAATTTATTTTACTTCGCAAGCTCTTCCTCTCTCGTTGTATATATTTTTGTTAATTTTGTAGCCAAAGTAGTTAGCACCGCAAAATGAGATCTGCTCTCTTTCTCTCTTTCTGTTGCCTTTAATTATTTAAATATATATATATTTATATCATATATATTTATCTCTTCTCTCATATTTATGTATGACATTTAATCTCTTTTGATAAAACATTCCAAAATGTACGTGAAAAAAAAACTTGAGAAAATTTTTCCTCAATTAATAATGTGAATGTACACAGTAAAGTTACATTTAGGTATATACACACATTATGTTCTACATACATTAACATCCATGGATAAGCAACAGGCATCGTTAATCATTCTAAGTGCATATTTAAAAGAAATATTGTAAACATGACACCGGATTAACTTTTATTTTGTATTCAATAAATATTTTTTGTGACATAATTCGAATTTGTTTAATTCCTGACCTTATAATCCTGTCCATTGAGCAACAAACGATTAACAAGTCTAGGTAATGTGAGCACAAACAATTGGTTTTTGGGATATTTAATTGTTATCTGCATCAAATATATTGGGCAAGCACTTGTGTATTTATTATAGCAGTAAACTTTCGCACTAGCGTGCTTAGTAAGGTTTGCACTTTTTGTTAATATAAAAAGTTAATAAAAGAGTCCTCTTAGTTTAAATTTCTATTTATTCTTTTTAATTAACATATTGAGATAATTAGATATTAGTAAAACAATACATTATTTAATTTATAATACTAAAACGTTAAATGCGTCTAAAATAAAAATAATTTTAACAGAAAAAAATTAAATATGTCAACAAAAAAAAAAAAAACAGTAATTAAAATATTGAAAAATTAAATACATTAAAAATAAAACTGTACTTATGGTAATCATAAACGTATTAACATATTAAATTAAAATGCTAGTGTAACATTGGAAATATTTCTGAAATATTAATATATGTTAATGATACATGATAATATTATACATATATTCCTTTTAGATCTAAAGCCAAATATATACATATATATATTTTGTAGCGATGGAGGAGATGGGAATGTGCGGTGACTCTCACTTGTTGGACATATCGAAATTGGCGCACTTACCACGACAAGCGGCCGCATCCAACAATACCGATAACTCCCACAGTACGCCATGCGGTAACATAGTCATTGTCGAGAATTCCCTCCACAACAGAAGCGCGCCTTCGTCGGTGATAGTCCCGTTTAACAGCCAAAGCACCGGCAGCATTTTGCCCTTGTCCAACAAATTAAAGATCTCTCACAAGTCGATAAAGACCATGCCGAAGATCACGGTCAACGCCAACAATTTACAGAGACTGCAGAAGGGAAAGCCGCAGGGCGTCCAGAAGAAGAGTATCGCGAACGAGATCGATGACGATTTGGGGAATATATTGGACATACCGATAATATTCGCCAAGGACGACGACAACCTGAGCAACATCGACAAGATACCGGTCGTGACGCAGACGACGCTGGCCAAGGAGGCTCAGGAGAGGCCGAAGTTGAACACCACTAAGGTGGTTCTGATAAGTAACAAGCAGGACAAGCTGCAACAGACACCGAACAAGATCGGAGCAGCTCCCGCGCAAGCCGTCATATGTCCCAATATGCCCGTGCAAAATCTAAACCAGCTGATATTGCAGACGCGAGCGCAGAGCAGCGGTGTCCTGGCGAAGAACAGAATCGGCATGGCGATGGAAAATCGACTGGTGCAACCCACCGTGAAGTACACCAAGATCATCCTGGCGAAGAGAAACCCGCAGTCGCTTCAGCAGACCGAGAGAAGCGAGCAGTTGGTCGCGACGAGGACTGTGGAAGACATAGGCGCGCCTAAAATCCTGACCTTCGAGAAGGACGAGCACAGATACGTGCAGGCGCAACCTTCCAAGGCAGCGAGCGTTTGCGATCCTCTCACGGAGAACAATCCACTTACGGATAACGTGCTCGAGATCGAGGACGCTATTAAGACGAATATCATTGAACGCAAGTACCTGTCCGCGCCTGCAATTGACGCGATGTCGCTTGCGACTCTCGACGACGACGACTGCGATATTTTGAATGAAACGAAGTTGGACGAGAAGGTGGACCTGGAACAGTCTACTCTTGATAATGCCAATGAAATGCAAACCTAGAATACACAATCGCTTTACGAAAGCTGATAATATATTAATTGTGCAATACGCGAGAAGATACCTGTGAAATATATCATTTCAATGTCGGTATTTAGAGAGATGTGTAACAACATACTGATATATCACAAGACTAATGAAAGCTATATAATCTCGAGATTAAAGATTAATTTATAATATTATAATAAACGATTAATGACGATATTAATGATATTAATGACGATGATTAATTTTTTTCTATTGCATATGTTATACATCATATATGTCATACTGTACTGGTCTCTAAGCTTTAATAGTGATAATTAATACTTTGTTGTTATAATGAGATTCAAATGTGATTCATCTTTGTTCTTTATATGTTACATATGCATAAACGCGAGAGTGGAAAAAATATGTGTGTCTGCACATAAAAAAAAAATTATATTTATTATTCAACTTAGAAAAATGCCTAATAATTATAGATATTCTTCCATATATAGCACGTCCGTTATTAACTCCAAATTGGCCAAAGAATTTGAAAGGTGAAAAATAAATAGTACTGATAGCAGAAAATACTGCTATTTCGTAAATTGCGTACTATACAACTGTTACATAATGCATTTGTATTATAAATTTAACATGTAAAGATTTACAAATAAAATTATATATGAATAAAAATTCGCGGTTACCTATATTTCAGCACCTAGCAGAGTGTTTCCGTTTTGTGACGTAAACATCGTGTATATCTTTTTGCTTAATTCCGGACCGATTTTGCGTACAGCTGTGAGAGGCCCCGCCGCTCTCCTAATCTGTTAAATTGATATAATCTTTGTAATTAAAATTAACATTTCTTTCAGAAACAATTCAAATATATCCAATATAATTTTATTGTTATATTAATTTACTAATAAGAAGAAATATAAAACTAAAACTTACCGGTATATCTTTTAATAAATTTATGCCTTCATCAGGTGTACAATTTTTGTAAGCCTGGAAAGATAAGAATAAGATTATTTTCTATTATGTGAAGAATAAAATTTCTTTTTTTGTTTTAGTAACATCAGATAATAAAATACAATGTTTAATTATAACGATACCTCAATAAGCTGCACTGGACTAGGATAAGCGGTACATATTGCCTCTGATGTTTCCAAGCTACTCAAGTTAAATTGACACAACTGCTGCTGCCACAATCTCTTCAGTCCATTCCCATCTTTGTCCACGCGTACAGTATTCTTATTATCACCCATAACATACCAGACAAATTTACTTTCCTGATTTTCTCTCTTCTGCAACTTATACGGTATCTCCGAAATAGATTTTGTATACTGATACACCGTTGAAGCCAAGTCCTGTGCATTCTCAATTAATCTGCTGCTACATTTGGCTACTATCTGAACTTCAGTCAAGCACATCTCAAGCCGCTGTCTTGATATAATTGGAAATGCCTCGAACCGCTTACCTTTAGTGTTACCTTTGGAACCGTTACTTCCAGAGCTCGACTTCTTCAAATATGCAAAATATTCCTCCATGCCGAAGACAACCAGAGTTATACTGTAATTCGGTAACAGAGTCGTAATATTTGAGATAGACGCGCAAAAAGTGTCCTCCGCTACATGCGTCACTGTTTCGTAGCTGCTCCAGATTATTATAGCAAATTCTTCCATCTGTGTACCCTTTCTTACGCACACTTCGTTATCTTCGTCGATATAATTCTCCTCGATGTTTCTCCGCCATGTAATGCTGTTCGGAATTAATTCTGTGGTTACATTAAACTTAACATCAGCATTTTGCAACATGCTTTCAATTTCCGTTCGACAATTTCCATTCCGATCATCGATACCTTGATCAAGATTAACTTCCATGAACTTTATACATTCCCCAGGCTTCATTTCTTTCGATTTCTTCTTCTCGATCGCTTTCAACGCCTTCTCTTGCGCCAGAGTTTGTTGACGTTTTCGTCGGTCCTCCTTCAACGCTGTTTTGTCCTTTTTAGGCGCCGTCGTCTTTCGCGAAATTTTCTTAACCCGATTATCTTCCGAATCGTAAGAACCCGATGTGATATGCGATGATCCATGAGTGAGCTTGTTGACATTCAAATCAGGAAGATCGTCGCTTTGCGATCCTGAGTTTTCCGCGGTTTCACGACAGAATGGTACTTCCGGAAAGTCGAACTCATTCGTATCGTTGAAATGACATTTCCCATTGACTTCCGATCCATTTTCGATCCCGTTGCGTTCAACAGGCGACGCGGGTTCGTCCGAATCACTCAGTACAATCACACTCGACATTCGCAAAGGAAGTTCAATTCAAATATGACATTCAAATTTAGCAGTCGTCAAAGCATTCCGCACGCGCCGGCGAACCAGTGACGCTCAACTTTTAACCTAAATCCCTTCATTTTACCTAATATTAGGTTTGTTCTTTATAGCTGAACTGGCTGCACTAGTTCAGAGTTTATCTTTCTCCTTCCGATGTGAAGGGGAAAAGATAAACTCTGAACTAGTGCAGCCAGTTTAGCTATAAAGAACAGACCTATTAATGCAGATTTAGATGCACGAATATCAAATAGGAAAACGTGCTTTTTATGGACTCTGTCTAATGCCACTTTGTCCCTAGAAGTTAGAAATTTATCGAAAGTGCGACTCTCGATGCATCGAAATTGCAAACTTAGCGCGAACCATTGTCAAAAAGGCGCGCACAGCGAATGGTAAAGTGTGCAATAAGCAGGTAATAAGACTCAGAAACGTTCGCGATGTTATTCTACTCCAGATGAGAAAATTCTCGACTTTTAATCATATTTATTAACGTACGATACTAGCAATAGAGGCGGCTAATAAGCGCGTATGCACACTAAGAACAGTGTTGATATCTGGTATTTTATCATAAGAAGTGATTACACCTGTGTAGGTTATATTTTATCGTAATTTTATATATGTAGAATTAAGTCGCTTAAACTTAAGCGTGATATGTGACGTACATTAAATGTTACTTTTATATATTTAGGTAATCGGACGTCAAGTTGTCGATAAGAAGCTATATCACTAAAATGGATCGATCTTCACGCGAATCGTCAGTGGAAATAGAAATCGAGGATGATGAACTGTTTGATGAGGTAATATGTATGAACAATAAAGAAATTATTCAATCGGAACAAAATGTCACGAAGAATGAAGATGATTCAGGAAACAATGTTTCGTGTAATGCAGAGAAAAGCGTTGTGATCGAAGCTGAAAAAAAGCTAAATATACAGAATGATAAAAATTTGAGCGCACAAAACAATGAAATTCAGGCAGAGCCTAAAGAGAGTACAAACAAAGTTAAGTACATAGAATACAAAGACAGTGTAATGAATAAGCCAGAAGATTCTCACGTTTGGCGCAAAAGAATGAGACAAGATAGTGCAGATTACGAGAATGTTAAGGTTTCTCGTAGCAGACGGTATTCCAGTGATTCTAGCTCAACCACAAATTCATCGGAGAGTAGCAAAAAGCAAATAGAGTATGAAACAGATCCAATTGTATTAGCACGTAGACAAAAAGAAATAGATTATGGAAAAAACACTATCGGATATGATAGATATATTCAGATGATTCCTAAGTAAGTGCTTATGAGATTAGTAGGCATTGATTTTATGATTTAATATGTAATATTGAAATTAAATCTTAACATTTATTTGCTTCCATTTTAGGGAGAAACGTACACGGGAACATCCGAGAACACCGCCAAAATATATAAAGTACAGCAGAAGGGGCTGGGATGGTATGGTAAAGTTATGGCGAAAACAACTTCACTCTTGGGATCCTCCTCAGGAAAATGATAAGACAGATTAAAAAACTGCAATCATTTTAGCATTTCATTAAAATACTGCCACTGGTATCTTTTTTTTAATTTATATCGCAATTGTGTTGCTTTTTATTTAGGCTGTTTGTTGCGTATCGCTTCTTGTGTTTAAAATAATTAAAATAATTTATGGTTAACAGATTAAAATAAAATATTTGTAATTATAAATAATTATATAAGAATTAAGATATTTGTAGAAATGATAAGAAATAATATTTTTATTCTCATTTATATCATTTTATAATCGTATTCAAGGAAACTAGTTTATGTATATATAATCAAGTTTGTATAAATATAATAAGATATCAATTAATGTATGTATATTAATGTCTTTTGGAGCAACATTTACAGTTTTCAGTTGCTGTACGAGTGACTTGATAAAAGTTAAATTTTCATAAAAGTTAAAAATATCTGCAATTTTTTAAATTGCACATGTTTTATATGTTTTGATACAAAATATCTAAATGAGATAATGATACATGATACACAAACTTGGTCTAATCTAATAAAACTACAAAAAGAATTTTTAAAAACTCAATATTTTGTTAAAAAATTTTATATTCTTAAATCTCACTAAATGGTTATTTTACAGGAAGGAAGCAATACATACATATTTATTATACTTATTATTATCAAAAGTTAATCCTTAATAGAAATATTTATTTAAAAGTTAGTTATCCTTTTGAAAAGTTTTGGAAGTGCAAAGAAGACTACAAAAATGATCCAATCTTTGGTTAATGGTTGCTTCCATTTGATCTATCCTTGTTCTCAATCTCACTTCCATGTCATCAAGTTTACTCTCAATATAATTTTTTATGTCTACATGGGATGCATAACTGTCATTCATATTCACACATTTTTGTTCATTTCGGATTCCATTGTGACATTTTAAAGAACTTGGCTTCTCATAATTATTTTCACAGTTTGAATGTTTTTCTTGATTATCTACTTTTTCAATTTTATTTTTACATTTAGAGGAATTAGAAGATTCTACATCTCTTAAAAAGCGCATAAGATTAGAATAATCCTCGTTTGTAGTTTTGTCACTATTCCTAGAAATATTGTTAAAAGCAGGAACTGTCCTTAACAATGTTTCCTTTCTATCCATTAGGTTATCGGCGTTACCAATTAAAAATTGAATTTTATCATAATCAAAGGCACTGGGTTCTACTTTTATAGGCTCTGTCAAAAACAGTTTTATACCATATATCCACAGTGTGTCCTTTGTCTTAGGAAACTAAAACAGGAATAGTACAGATTAGATTAAAAAATTATATAAAAATTATTAGTACAAAGCAATTTATTAAATAACAATCTTACTCTAATACCAGCTTCATTTGTAGGAGGATCAAAGCAGACATCTCCAAAGTAAGCACTATTCTCATTATCCTCATCTATAAAGTCTGGATATATAGTATTTTCATAATGTTCTTTAAAGATTTCCAAAATATGACCTTCGGAAACGACACCAATGCGACTTATCTTCTGGCAGTTTGTCATCTTAATCTCGAACAGACATGGCCCTTCGTCAGGAGTCGGCCGTTGTAAAGCAATACTGGTATGCACATTAGCTACCTCCTCATAATATATTCTACACAAATGTGTACATTAGACGGTACTTCTGTCATCTTAGGAGGCATTGCACAATGCAACAATGTGAGAAAATAATCAACATAGAAATCTATTCGTCAATCATTTACTTACGTTTCAGGAGGTTTATTCACATTCTGTGATAGTTCAGTGATAACAGCATTGTGAAGCTGCTTGTTATTAATAACTTTCCAATTGCACGAAACTAAAAAATTTTGGTTTTTTTCTTCATGTTTCTGAACGATCTCCTTAGGTACTGCATTTGTAAAAGGGATCGTATGGACGACTCTGTTGTCGTCCAACGTGCTTTCCATAATTTCAGGAATTCTCGATATACTGTAGATGGTATCTAAAAACCTAGGAAACAAGCAAAAGTTAAATCCATATAAAAAAATATATGTACTGTAGGTCGAGTGATACAGTCATATACAATCGACAATCACCTTTTTTTTAAATGATACGTATTGTTGCACTTCTGTGATATTGGAGGGCAATATATTCACAACGATCCACGCACACACGTCGTCAGAAGTAAAAATATTTTCATCGAGACAAACTCTTCTTCGCTTCTCTTTGAATTAAAGTGATCGATAGTGACAAACAACGTACTCGGCACATGTTATATAGCCGTGCACGGAGATGAACCAAGAAAGCACAAATAACTAGATGAGATATTTGATAAGAGACTGATCAGCGATCTTCAGTGTGACAACCAATGGGAGAATTTATTTTCTAGGAAATTTAGTTAGCAGTTTACTAAAGTGCGACTAAAAAGAACATACTTAATATTTCTCGTATTTTCATTCGACAGAGCGTTCATCGAGATAAATAAGGGAAGGGAGCGAAGGGAGGCTTGAGTCAATCAGCTGAGCGAGAAGTATCGAACCATCTTGAATTGTCCGCGCCGTGCGTATTCTTCTATTGTCCGTGGTGCTCGTAATTTCGCAGAAAATATGTCAAAGTACAGGATTGTTATGGTTCGCCACGGCGAGAGCGAATGGAATAAGTTAAATCTCTTCTGTGGATGGTACGACGCTGATCTGTCGGACAAGGGTGCGTAAATATCACCCGGCTACACTTGGAACGACCTTATTTCAAGGACAAAAGGTCGCACGATTTCAACCTTCGAAACGTCCTAATTTTGAATGACATTGTTGACGTAATGCATTTGTCTGCCTCCTTAAAAAATCTTTTAAACGATGTGATCTAAAGAATGTTATTGCGATTAACAGTAAGATGTAAAAAATGTGATATTCTATATAAACATATAAAATTGCATATATAACATAAAATTGTATATAAAATTAAAATTATTTATTTATTTTATATTCTAAATATTTTAATTTTATGAAACTTTAAATTCAAACTCCACACACTATATTAAAAGTAAAAATATTTGAAATTTTTTGAATATTAAGATTGCATTAAAGAAAAAATTTTTCACAGGCAAAAGCGAAGCTGTGTCAGCAGGAAAAGCTCTCAAGGATGCAGGTTACACATTTGATCTGGCTCACACATCGGTTCTCACGAGAGCTCAGGAAACCCTCAAGTCGATCTTGAAGGAGATTGACCAAGAAAACCTGCCTGTTAAGAAAACGTGGCGTTTGAATGAACGACACTATGGTGGTCTCACAGGCATGAACAAGGCAGAGACAGCAGCCAAATATGGTGAAGAGCAAGTACAGATCTGGCGGAGATCGTTTGATGTGCCACCACCACCGATGGGGACGGATCACAAATATTATGACACCATAGTAAAAGATCCACGTTACGCCGACGGACCAAAGCTTGAGGAATTCCCTAAGTTTGAATCCCTCAAGTTGACTATCGAGAGAACATTACCTTATTGGAATGAGACGATTATCCCGCAGTTGAAGGAGGGCAAGAAGATCATTATAGCTGCCCATGGCAATAGCTTACGTGGCATAGTGAAGCATTTGGATCGTAAGAAAGCTCATTTTTATACAAATGACGTATATTGATGAAATCACAATAATAATAATGTATGTTATAATTTTTTTCTTTGTAGAATTGACCGACGATCAAATTATGGGACTAAACCTGCCGACCGGTATCCCATTTGTGTACGAACTGGATGAGAACTTCAAACCAGTCGTTTCGATGAAATTCCTGGGTGACGAAGAGACTGTCAAGGCGGCGATGGCCGCAGTAGCCGCGCAAGGAAAGGCTAAATAAAGAAACAATACAAATGAAAAAACATTTATCAATCTGCGAAACACAAAAACCTGTTGTTATGTCTATTAAAAGTATTTATGATTCTTTAGTTTCGTCATTGTGATAGAATGTAGTTCAAGTAGGAACGATAGATGCGTTCTTGCTTGAAGAAGCATTCCTCGTGAGCAAAATAAAAAAAAAGTCTAATATACATATAACAATACCCCAGTGTGTAGAAATTATGAAATTTCACTTTTACTCAAATGTGCATATTAATGAAATATTAAAAATATGACTTATTTTCTTTATTTCGATATTTTTATCAAATATTTAATTTAAGAAAATTTTTTTTATTTTGATGTTTTTCATTTTTTTAGTAGAGTAATGGTTTAAGAAACACAACAGTTGTGCAACCGTTGAATAATGATGCTTCGGCGTGTATGTATGTATGTGCAACACAGTTCTAAATCCACCAAACAATTCCACAAGTCCATGTATAGCAATGGATATACTTTGTAGACCAGTTTCTCATCTAGAATAAAATAAATCATTGTTTTCGGGTGTAGCGTAAAGTCGACCTCGCTTAGTGAGTTTTGTAACGTCGACGTTGGTGGATGTGTATCACGAATTCATGAGAACAAAGCTCCCTTGTGTGGCCGAAGGATATATATTTACCACCTAATTCAAACATGAATCGCGTGGACTTAAAAATTGTGTTACTGGGTAACGCAACAGTGGGAAAGACGAGTCTAATGGAACGATATGTACACGACACATTTAATGACAGTCGGCCTTATCAAAACGTAAGTATCTTCATTCGAGCACAATTATCGCTATTACATGGAAAAGACGATTCGACACAAGGGGTTGTTGAGACAAAGAAAAAGAGTAGTTCCTTAGAATCCTTAGAATCCTTCCCGACAGTAGGACTGTTTCTCTTAGCTGAACTCGGTCTAGCTTTCTGCATGTCAATTAAAAATAATCGACGGCACCAATAAAAAGTGTTGCAACTGCATGTGGGCGTTTTCACTTGTAATCATTTCAATATTATTTTCCTAGTTATATGTTTATAAAGAAATATTGTCATTCCAATCCATAGTCTTGAATCTAATTTAATTTTGTGTAACTATCAGTGTGACGAATATACAATTTGCAGAAAGAAAACTATTGTACAAAGAAATCTTTTGAAAAGTTGCAGTTTTGCAATTGCAATACTTTTTCGTCTGTGCCATCGATATTTAGAAGGGATGAGAGGAAAGAGAAGAATGTCGAGCAAGGAGGAAAGTGCAGCTAAGAAGAATAGACCTAGTTCACTTTGCGAACACTAACCCATGGCACGTCTTGTTTCTCATAGTCCGCAGCATTGTGGAAGGAAAATTGTAAAGTAACATTATTAAAATTTGCACTGAGAATCGTCTAGATGGAAGGGAGAGATCATATACAAATTAATGCAGTTAAAATTATGCTGCAGACAATAGGCACTGTGTTTGCAGCGAAGCGAGTGCAAGTGAACGATGTGTCACTTGTCATGGGAATATGGGACACAGCTGGCAGTGAAAAGTAAATATACATTCATTGCATCATATTACTGTTCCAAAATCTTCAAAGATTCGTACAACATGCATTTATATTATTAATAATTTGTACTTCGATTCAATATTAGATATGATGCGATGACTAGAACGTATTATCGTGGGGCAAAGGCTGCTATAGTGTGTTACGACATTACCAAGTCAAATACATTCCAAAAGGCGAAGTACTGGGTGAGGGAGCTCAGAAGCATCGAGGAGAACTGTAAAGTGTACCTTTGTGCCACGAAAAAAGACTTGTGTGACGCAGGCCTTGCATCGGACAATCCAGATCTACATAATGCTGTAGAAAGATATGCAAATGGCACGCAGACCAAACTTTTTGTAACATCTAGTAAGACGGGAGAGAATGTAGGTAAGGATGCATCATGCTTAGGGAATATTCATTGCTCATTTTATCTGCAAAATTTATATTTGTGCATTTTTCTTTACAGTTGAGTTGTTCGATGAAATTATACAAGATTTCGTGTCCAATCCAGAGAATTTGCAACAAGCGGAAGAGAAACTTGTTTTAAGTAGAAAATCCGAGAGAAGGTATTGCTGTGCACTGAGTTAATAGAATCAGTATTAATACTTGCCATTGATATTCTTACAAGCTTATTTTTTTACCAGATAATTTCTGTTAGATAATTACAACGTTATAATACGTAAAATAGTATTTTTAATGTATTACTGAAGACCAATGTGATATTGTTTTGCTCAGTAACTTTCAATAGTTTAAAATTTTGTATTTGCGATATTATTAGCACAACATGATGCAAATTTGTAAAACTGGATTAGAACTTTCAGCAAAGAGTAAATTTCTAAAAAGATATACGATAGGATATGTATACAAGTTTTCATAATCACAGCTTTGCGCAATATATTATTGAGAAATATTCTCAAATATATGATTCTTAATTATTCAGAGTTTAAAGCTGATATTGCGTAGGCGAATGATATTTGTTCATATATATTATTACAATTGTGATCGTTGCGATGTTATCGCATTCTTAAATATATATGGAAAAGCAGTACCTTTTTTTTTCTTTTAAAATTTTTTCGTACCATATCTTAAAGCAGATATTTTGCACTTATTGTTAAATAGAAATTTAAAATCTTATAACTTTCCCCAAAATTTCTTGAGAGGCTGAAAACTGATAAATGTGATCTCTTAAGCTTTAATACTTGTTAGACGAGTAAATAAAGAATTTATTTTGATCAATTTTATTAACTTATAATTACCTTTCGACATTAACTCCGGATATTGCCGATCTGCTACACAGTATCCGTAAAAATTATTACTTCAATAAGTTAACTTTTTATCTATTTTTTGGCTATTCGCAATCATTGCGAAAAGTAGGATATACAAAATTCTCTGGCTTGTTCATAAACTCCAAAGAATATGAATCCACCAATAGTAAAACCAGTTACTCTTGGGATAAAACCAGCGAACAATCTGAAAATATGATCTGTTATAACATCGGAAACAAATTTAGATTAAAAATAGAAATTTCACTGAATTCTTACCCCTTAACGCCATTACTTCTGTAGACCTCTTTTAACATTGTGGAAATTTTAACTTCTTCCTTCTCGGCCGAGGTACTGGACAACATAATTCTAGTCTTTGCGACGTCTAACGGCGTCGTTATGGCAGCTGATATAGCAACTGAAAAATCAACATTCTATTAGTAATGATGCTCGTAATTATTATTTTATTTCACTGAATCATAAGGCGAGTTTTAGAATTCTTACCTGACGCAGCTCCACATACAGCACCTTCAAATGGTGTGCACTCGTGCTGCATGTGTCGAGACCAATAAAGTTTAAAATATTCCCACAATGGCATCTGAATCACACCGAACGGCAGATCCCGCAAGACAGTACTTCCATAGCCCCGATATAATGTCCTTAATCTTAATCGATGTGGGTCAGACAAAAGTGCCTGCCTTCGTTGCTTAATCACCTCTACTGGTACACGAATCAAGCAGGCTGTCTACATGTTAAGTAATTTTTAAAATACTTGTACAACACTTTATATTATATATAATTTATATAATATAATCGTATAACTATTACTGTATATAATATAAAAGTTTGATATATTAAAATTACATCAATATTTTATAATTATCAGTGTTGCAATTGCTTACCATTTCAGAAGATGATGCTGCAATCATGTGTATAATAGAGTGATACTGATCTGATATGTATGGTTGTGAATACTGTTTTATTCCCTCGTAAGTTATAAAAAATATAGCAGCTGTAATGAAATAATGTTCATTAATATTAGAAATATTTTCTTTGCATATCTCTGATTTTATGTACATATTAAACTATACATACCTGATGGCGCAGATCCTAGTATCACAGGACCTATACCTTTGTACAAATGTTTAAAGCCACCAGATTGAAAAAATCCATGCTGGCTTTGTAAGCGAGTTTTAAGAGTGTCCAATGGATAAAGTGTCACGTCACAAACAATCCCTGCAAGAGCACCTGACTGACATCAAATATCGATTATTTTTTCATTGAAAATAGATTGATTTTTGTGTCAAAATTTTAATACTTTTAGTTACATATTTGTACAAAATGTGTAACTAAAAATTTATAAAATTGAAAATATTGCAATAAGCAATGACAAATTTAAATAATAAAAATTAATTTAAAATGTAATAAACCTACAAAAATTATCGCAAATTTATTGATAAAACTTGTGTTAATAGTTAATATACGATACGATTAGCACATCGATTAGTAAGGTAAAGTAGCAAGATCACAATCAAATAATTATTGAAAAAAATAACACTTACGATAAATGACGTGAACAAAACATCCTTTTTCGAAAGATTCCCTGCGGTTTTTTCTTGCTCATGGAACATTTTTGCTTTTCTTCGGCGTCTAAAGATCCGATCAGAAGTGTCGAGATTTTAAGAAACGTCATTGAGCTGATAAAGGAAAATAGTGGCCACTGATTGAAAAGATTATCTCGTATTGTGCGTGAAGACTTCTCGGCGTAGAAAACTCCATGTACTCATGACGATCGATATTTACGACAATTATTATAAAATATTAAATACTTCAAATTGTACGTGCGCTTCAGAATTTGCACCGTTCATAATGAAGCATGAACATGGATGATGTAAGCCGGCAAGAAAACACGTGCTTTGTATACACCTTACGTAAGCGTCAGTAAGTGTATATGAATCAGTCGGTCGACTGTCGTCTGCTTTTCGTCTAAGCTCAAAATCACAATTCATAGATAGGGCGGGCAGAGCAACCCACAAAATCAGTGGTTCTCATACTTTTTATAGACCACTTTAACGTTTTTTATTCAGCTGCTCTGCTATTACATTTTTGTTGGTTATGAATATACATTAATGTATCGTATGCCGATATCCAATAGAAAAATTTATTTTCTAGAGACTTTGTGAACAGTAAATTTATTCGTAAAAACTACATTTTTATTATTGAATATTGAATTTCGTATGTACACGATAAATGTGTAGTGTGAATCTACCATTAAAGTAAAGTGTGCAACATCAGGTGGCAGCAAAAAGCCGCGAAGAAGCTGGAAGCTTCACATTTCGCGTCTGTCATCTGCGCCGTCGTTCTCTCTCGTGCAATAGAGAACGACACTTGCAGCTTGCAGCGAATGCCAGTTTCAAGTACGCATTGTCGGGATGTTAAGTGAAAACGCGCGACGCTGAGAGACGCGCCGAACGATAACTTCGTCGACGATGCAACAACGCTCAGGGTGATAGTAAAATTAACCTCGCGTATCGATTCTGAATGTGATGCGACGCGACGCGGAGCTGGATCGACGATCCATAGAGATGCCGTGAAATCTTACGACGCGACCTCGCTCAGCGATAAAACGACATCCGTGTTATCCGTTTATCGTCACAGTGAATAATTGATAAATCTCTGTTGAGTATGCTTGTGTGTTGAGTAATGACGTTGCTGTCCACTGTCTTGACACGTGTGTAAATTGATATCGGAGAATGACAAGGTATTCATCGAACAGCACATGATACGCAAAGCTATCGAAGGTGCGACTGGCGGGGAATGCATTGCACATTTGTTGACAGAGAGCGAGAGAGGAAAACTAGTCGACTTGTGATATCCACGTCTCTGCACAACATATATCTTAGATATCTATTTCAATATAGACCGAAGATATAACACCAATTGAAAAAAAAGAGAGAGAGAGAGAGCAAATGCATCTTATTTTATGCATGACTTAATTATTTACTAAGAACTACTAATTCTATTAACACTGTCTTATAACACAGGAGTAAACTGTAAAAGTATGTGCCATACATATAAGCGGCTTTCCGAAATCGTTCAACGTGATTAACAGTTTTAACAAGAATTAATAAAGCTTTCTAAAATTAAAATGCATGAGAATAATGGTACAAATGAGATGAGAGAGTTCAACGCAACGGATGTTACCGACTCTATTTTGTACACTATACTAATGAACGATTCTGCGACAGTCTCGACGAGCATGGCGAGCACGATCCACAACGAGAGTACGTCCACGACGTACGTAGAACTGACGCAGGAGAATGAGAACAATCAACGATTATGGAATCTGTCGAAAACCGCCGTAACTTCACTGTCTGAGCCTACAGCTATACCGTTTAACACTTCCAAAAGTACTACGATATACACAACGACCGAATCCTTCGATGAGTTTGGTCCGCCGGAAGGAGTAGAATATATTTTTGTACCACTCGGTGTAGTGGTCTCTGTTCTTATACTATCAGCTGTGGTATGGGTAGCGATATCACTTTTGTCATTACCTTGTGACGTTTTTTCCCCTGCCCAGTTTTCGTTTTACAGATGCAGCTCTGCACAAAATATTAGAAAAGATACACAGCACACGTGATACATTGTTCTGAATAAGCATATATCTGTTTTGATGTTTCATTTCATAGCAAATTGATTATCTTACGAGAATCGCATATAAACGCGAAATCGTGCAGCAAACATTTTTCTTTGGCAAAAGCTTTACATCCTGCTTTTCTTGTTAGGTAATAAATAAGATTTCTCATGCTCTTACATCCAATTCCGTCTTTAAAGGTGCTAATTATATCAAGAAAGCGCAAGTTGGAGCGTTTAAGACATAGACTCATGCCAATGTACAACTTTGATCCTGGAGAAGAGGAGGAGGATGACTGGGAAACCGAACTGCTGGACGAGTGCTATAGTTCACATCAGAGACGAGTGTGTAAGATTGTTTTCACTTGTGACCTACGCGAGTGTTTTGAAAATAAGAAATAATTGATTTTACAGCAAGGATACCAATCCATGGATACTGAAGAGAATGCAGAACTGTTCAGTGGTCACTAATAGCACATTTTCACATGGCATTTAAATCATTGTTTTTCCTTTTCATTATGCTGTAACTGTCATAGACTAAAATATCTTCATAATTTATTGTAACATTCTTATATACTTGAATCAAAGTTTTCAAGCCTAATGAAATTTACAATTTTAGCCCTATATGGGCTATATTTTTTCTTATACAAATTCTTGAAAATTGAAATTTTATAAAAGAATAGTATTAGAAATACATTTAACGATATTCCAGTTCAACTGTTTCTCACAGCTTAATATTATCTAGGCCGCACATTTAACGCATTTTGACTTTTCAAAATTGAATGACATAGACATGTTTACAATTTTCAAAATATTGGCCAATATTATGTATATATTATAAGCGTATACTTTAACTTTTATGGAACTAATTTCATAATAAGAAATATAAAAAAATATGAAATTTTTCACAACTTTATTATTCATATAGCCCATTTTACTCATATCCCATTTCTTTAAAACAAATTTTTGTTTTACCATCTCTATCATCGTAGCTTTATAACGAAAAATTCGTTTATTGAAGAATCTTGGGAAGATGTAAAAATAATACGGAATTAATAAGAGTACTTTGAGTTTATTTACTTTAATACAAATTTGACATTCACACATATGCTTGCCTCAAAAACGACAGTAATATACACTCATAAGAATGTGATTTATAGTGTTATTATTAGAAAAGAATATTTCCTGCATATGTTACATACAAGAAGTATTTTTTTTCGTGTACCTTTTTCTATCTCTTACAATATTAGATCAGTATGAAGTTCTTTTTTTTTTTTGGCTTCATGAATTGTAATACACAGGTAATACGTAGGAGAAAAGGAGGTAGCAAATATGTGACACAATACTCTATACTGTGTAAGATACAATTTTCTTATTTTTTTCTTTTTTTTAAGAAAAAGTTTATCAAACATCTCACTTCTCGTGTAAATTAAAAAGTTTTGAGATCTGCAATCTTATTCCAGTCTTACTGTTGAAGAAAGTTACGCTTATGTAGTCTTAGCAGTTAAAAGTATGATTTCATTATTATTAATAGTAGCAATGTGAAGTAAATGTAAAAAGAACTTAAATTCGTAACACAACTTTTGTATCCAGCAATTTTTTTTAATTTGTCAGCGTATGGCAATGTACACCGCGAACTAGAATTTCTAGGAAACTCCAATAATTGGTGAAAACAATATCCATCACTTCAAAAGTCTCTGGGTTAAAATGCAGAAAGCAAACTTGGAAAAAACATGATCTTTGATTAAAAATTGATTTCATTTAAAAACTTTCGAAGGATAATTCAGCTGTGTTAGTTTTGTCCTCTCCTAATTTCTCAAATACTTCAGTTCTCTTCCTCTTCCTCCTCCTCTTCCTGCTCGTCCTCATCCTCACCAGTTATTTCTGGTTTCTCTTCTGCCTTTTTCGGTCTACCGCGACCGCGTGACGCAGTAGTCGTGCCTTTTGGTGGTCCTTGCTGTAAAATTTAACAAATTTTCTCATAAATGGTACAACTGCACTCGCATAGGAACAGTATTACAGCATATTACATGAAGACTTCTTCTCATCTCATTTGTTCTCATGTTCTTGTTAATGTTGTATGCAAATTTTGTTTATTCAAACGCTGAGTACCTTCTTCTTGTGTGAACCTTTGGGTCGACCTCTTCCCTTTTTGACAGGTCCAGGTGGCGCATCATCCTCATTATCAGATTTTGCTGGACGTACAGAGTTATTTTTCTCCACAGAGGGCCTTCCCCTCTTTTTGGGCTCCTTAGCAGCGTTTTTATCTGCCTTAGAAGGTCTACCCCGCTTCTTTTTCTGTTCTTCTACCACAGCAGCATTGTCGTCCGACATATTTATTGTCCTGTTTCACTGTAAAATAAGTGTTTTGTCTCTTTTCAGATTATATCGTCTCCAATGAGATAAATTACAAAAAGTGGCAACTAACTTTTGGGAAGAATTCTAACTCATCTGTGTGTGTATACATGTGTATATGGTGTGCAATTAAAATGAAAATAGTACATTATTTAACATTTTCCATCAAGATACATCAAATATGTCTTTCATTTGTAAACACTCCTACCATCTCTCTTCAATAATATCATTAAAAAAAAAATAAAAAAATAAAAAAATGTACCAAATGTATTGTAGAGATATTAATCTACTATGTGCATAAAATATATGTGAAATGCTTGTTTTCGAGGCTGTATTAACTTGTATGAGTATGCATGAAACAAAATCGTATCGTTACTACTAAATTGAAAGGAATAATAATTCTCGAACCTCGGAAAAACAGAAAAAAAAACAAGCGCGATTATCGATCTTCCGATATTTCCTCTCGCTTGTTGTCCCGCGCGCTCCGAAGTATCGGGGATCGCTCTCGTCCAACGGGCGGGAGAAATGCGCAAACGCGCCGCGAAAATCAGTACTATCAATTACGCGCCTCGCGAGTTTACGGGAAGATACGCGCAATTTGCGTCGTAAAACGACCGCTGCGATGTAGCGCCATTGCGCGATGCAATCAAAAATAATTTATTCACAACCCGATAATTTATTCGTCGCATCGCGGCGAATGGTGAAATTCTCGCGTCGGGAAATCAATCGCGGACGAGGATGATAATCGCGGGTCAACATGAATATCCGTGAGAGCCTCGCTTACATCGAGGCGTTTCTCTCGCTCTTTCTCTCCTCGAAAGTTCCGCGCCCGCCATTTTCAAAATTTGCAAACGATCGCATCGAGTCCCAACGCAACGACTCAACGTTCGCGCGATGAGAAATACAGTTTCCCGCGGCGAAAACGTGCCCGACGCAATCGGCGATTTTTTCTCGAATTTTTCGTGCCCGCGGAACTGACACTTCGCGTGGTAAACGTGGAGAAATTCACGGGTGACAGGACGATCGCGTCGGCTGTGCTGCCGGGGGACGCCATGAGAGAGGCGCGAATCATGGCGTCGGGGAGTCGTGTGGCTTCGCGGCGTCTCTCCGTGTCGGTGGACGTACGCGTCGGGTTCGCAATGCCGATAATCTCTGCAAGTAATGACGCGACGGTGTCGTAGGGCCCGCGGAATGATCCGTCGTGCGCCCGGCGAATTTTCCGTCGTGTTTTTACACCGCGGTCGCGCGCACTTACCGCCCAAAATAAATATATTCCGTCTGTATAATATTAATCTGATACATGTCGCGGCGCGAGATATACGTTCGACGCGCGGCTCACTCGCGGGCTTACGCACTCTCACTCACCTCACACGGGGGGAAAAAAATACTCGCCGTGCGGTGTCCGCACTTTCTTCGCTACGCGGAGACAAAGGGTGATATCGCAATCCTCTTCGCGTCGCCGGCTGGTTGCGCGCGTCGTGGCGTGGCGGCAGCGGCGGTCGGTGGCGGTCTCGCGGTCACGTCGCGTTGCGTCGTATCGTATCGTATCGCGGGGGATGCTGCGTTGTGTAAGAGCCTTAGCAAAACGCACTCTCGCGCTGCACTATACTAGCACGCTTGCTCGCTCACTCGCGTTGTGTGCACTCGGCACGCTTCACGACTCACGCTCGCTTCGCCGCCGTATCGCCGTATATTAGTAGGCGCCGCCGTGTTCCGACACACGTAAATCGCGCGCGCGTAAACACACATACACACACATACACATGCATACATACGCAAACGCCCCGCCGCCAAACGCAGCCTCCGCTCTTCTCGCTCAACCTCTGTCGGCGGTGGGCCGGCCGGCAGCGGTATTCCGCTCGCGAGGAGAGGGTCTCCCTCGCGCTGCGCGCGCGATTCGCGCGAAAACGAACCGTCGGGGGCGGCGGCAGCGACGGTGAATTAACCAAAGTCGTTTGTCCGTTAAGTCGAGTCGTCAATATACGTTTATATTTACATGCCACATACATACACTCACATATACACGCTATGCATGCGAGCTAACTTACCGGGACAGCAAGCTACAACTGACCGACAACGATACACTGGGACGCGATTCGTTGAGCCGCGAGCTGCGAGCCGGCCTAAAGCACTCTCTCTCCCCCACCGGCTGCCGGCCGATGTGGCGCGCTAACGAATTCCCGCCAAAAGACCGCGTATCGCGCGCGCTATCAAAAACGATCGTTTTGCTCGTGGAGCGAGCGGGCCACGCCGGATCCGAGAGAGAGACGCGGTGGGTTTTCTGGGGGATCTCTCGCGCGTCGTTTTTTTCTCTCACAACACCACGAGTGAACGGCGAAGGAAACAGGATCCTTCGCGCAGGAATTTCGCGCGCGGAATCGAGCGCGGATCGGCGCGGGATTTAGCGGGCGCGAACGGGTGCAATGGCGTTCCGCTGTTACACGCCGTTATTACGTGCACTATGAATGCAGAAGGGGAGGTGCACGGATAACGATGACTATCAGATCACAGATCTCGATAGGTATTGTGAAAAAATTTCACTAAAAATCGTTGTTTTCTAGCTAATGGCACAAGTCGACAAAAATATTATTCTGTCTTTGTTCGATATCCACTGAGCAACAAGCAGAATAATATTTTATGTATTCTTACTAGTCGCAAGCTGGAAAGCCACCAACGTCGATAAATATTGAGAAAATGATAAAATACATGCTGATAAACGTGATGTTGATTTTATAGCACATTTTTCATTAAGAGCCAAGGGAAAAAAGTCGCATATAACAAACCGTCGAATAGTTACGAGCCCGTTGCAAGCGTGTGAAGGTCGTTGACCTCGCGATTTGTATGTATTTTCAACGCTTGAATTTCGTCGATGTAGTTGAAACAATTTCAGCCTTGAATCAATACAATAGTTAGATTTATGCGAGTATTGTTATACTTCATAGCAGGCTGTATATGAAAATACGTACGCTTTAACTCAAATATTATCGAATCGTTGGTTAATGTTAGAAAATTATTTATTTAAAGTAATGAATAATTTATTTTCTTTTACTTACAGTTACCAGATACAGTTTCAGATGCGTGTGTATGTGTGAACAATTATCGATTCGTTTAAGTGGAATTCTCCACAAAAAACCCTCTGCAGTGAATATTTAATTCACGCTTTTGTAATTGTAAATATGAATTACATTCTCCTGTATTCTTTCTAGAAACGCATTTACGTTTCATATCTTTATCAAAGAGGAACTTGAAGGATAACAAATTGAGAGAATATACATAAAAGTATAGAATCTACGAGATTAAATAAATAATTAAAACATTCAATATGAATGTGTGCATGAAAGAGATAGTAGTTATGATGCTAATTAATGATTAACTGTACAACCGAAATAGAACACTGAAAACTACAGCGTCGCTGTAAAATATATCTTAATGTAGATAATTTTTATCACAGACAAATATACCGTTAGGTAAAATTAATCTGGAATAAAAACGAGTCGTTTAACATCGATAAATATTTGTAAAAAATTCATGTTTTCCCATTTAGTGTAGCGCCGATGTCGAAGCACAGGCATGACTGTGCCGTTCGTGTATACTTTTTATACCTATCCACGCCTTTTATTCCCTTTTTTTGTCCTCGAGTCGCGAAGCCACCCGGCGTGCGTCTGTTCTCTCGCGTGCGAAACGCACGGGAAAACATACGCGAGCGATACAAAAAAGGATGTATATTATTGATCTCGGCATTTTTATCTTTTAGTATAAAAAAACTCACGCAGGAGGCCCATAATTAAAAATAGACTTTATTTCTCTCCAAGGTTAATTGGCGTTTCCCGCTATGTCAGTCATCCCTCTCCAAGACGAGCAAATCGATCGCGACGCAAACAAACCTAACCTCCTCCGCGTGGGTTATGAATCATACAGATAGCAGCGACGCAACTGTACATGCGTACCAACACGCTTCGAAAAATGTTCCTGGAATTAGATTTTTGTTTTTGCTCGCGTGGCAGCCATGAACTAAAATGCGTTCACCACTCACGTGTTCTTCCTTGTGGTAGTTTAAATATTTATGTAAAGTTTATATTGTTTTCTAAATATTTATTAATATTTATGCACTAAAATTTGCGATGAAAATAGACTATAGCGTCGTAAAATTGCACATTAATAAAACTTTGTCGTGCGCGATGAGTTGAGAAACAATAATATTTATCGTATAGTGATACATTTCGTTGCGGTAGACATGCGCCCAGTGTAGCCACAGCCAACATCAGAGGCGTGTCATGTTTGTGCTTAACGCGTTTCCTGGTTGGAATCGTTGAATTTCCATTGAGAATCTATGAAAGATGCTGTCGTTAGGCCCAAAAAAGGACGGCAGCCCCAACGCCAAGTTCTTCGAATCACCGGAAATACTCACCCAGCTTGATGGTGTTAAGCAGTGGCTTCTGAAGAACTGTAAAAAGGTACGTTGGTTCATGCGAATATGGAACCGGCGTCGAAAACTCGCCGTGATCTTTCAGTGGCTTCGGTTTTTCTTCTTCGGCGTACAGTACCGTTAATCACAATTTTTCCGATGACCAGTTTCTGTCGGACATAAATGGAAAGGAATTTGGATAATATTTCTATGAAGTACAAATATAACTTGTACCATATATAAATGTAGACAAGAGTCACTTTGATAACCCTTTGTCAATGTAGTTGTAATCATGGAATTAACTATTTAGTTAATTATTTCCTCATTTTTTGCTATATGTATGGACATATAAAAGAGATGAATAGAAAATTAGCAAAATATTTATAGAAAAGTATAATTTTGAATATGGAAACAAATCTGAGTATTACGGAAAAATATTTTCTTACTTTTATATATTCGTTGTATTGCATAAGCAAAGTTGCTGTGTGAATGATTCTTATATAATTTTTTGTGTGATTTTTTTGTAGAATGTGCAAACAGATCCACCTACTAACAAGAGTTTAGCTACATTAGTAGTGCAACTTCTGCAATTTCAGGAAGATAATCTAGGCAAGAATGTGTCTAAACCACCTATGACTAGAATTCCAGTATGTAAAATACATGATTTGAACAATAAATGTAATATTGTTTCTAAATGGTTTACGAATTTAATATTTTCAGATGAAATGTTTCTTGGATTTTAAATCTGGAGGTGGCTTATGTCACATACTTGCAACAGCATATCGTTTTAAACAGGAACAAGGATGGCGAAGATTCGATTTTCCCGGAGGAAAAGTAATTTCTTTTATATATTTTTTAAATTGTTGATGTTGCTTTTCGTAGAAAAATTAAATACATATCGCATAATATTACTAATAAAGAAAATTACTGTTATAGTCGGGATCTCGCACCGATCGTACAGTGGACATGCTAATGGCAGCAGAACGCGCTTTAATACAAAACAGGTGTATGACTGTGCCAAGTGTTTTTGTGAGACCGGATGTCGACAAGAACACAGCTACAAAAGTAAAAGAAATGGTTAGAAAACACCAGGGAAATGTCACAGAGAATGAAGCAGATGCTACACACATAATTTATCCTCCAGTGGATCCGATAGAAGAGGAATATGCACGCCCTTGCATGAGACGCGAGAGATCAGTTTTACTTCACTGGTATTACTTTCCAGACAGTTATGATACATGGACGCCACTGGATCTTCCATGGGATTTTCCCGAAGGAAATCCGGCAAATACAAATTCAAGGTATTCGATGATTTTTTATATAAATTGATTGACATTGTTAATTGTAAATAATTTCTAGCAGAATATTTATACAAAACTTAATAATTTTGAAAATTGTATTCTAGATCAGTTTACAAAGTATCGGCCACATGGGTATTGGACTTGGATCAATATAACGAATGGATGAATGAGGAAGATTACGAAGTAGACGATGGCGGTCAAAAGAAAGTGCACAAATACAGGCTTTCTGTAGAAGATTTTATGGCACAACCGTCTCATCCGCCGCCCGCAAAGAAACCCAAACGAAAACGATCACCGAGCCCACCCCCGAAGATCGGCAAACGTAAGAGGTGAGGTTTGATTGAAGAAACAAGATAGCAAGTGTTACATCTCGAATGAAGCTGCTCTCATTTTGTGTATTACCGTTTTTAGTAGCAGAGCACCGTCGGGTATTCAAAGCGCATCGTCCGCATCATCGGCGACGGCACCGAAGAAATCGCGCGGCGGCGAGGAGGAGGAAGATCTGACCCAAGGAATGGAGGATCCGCCTGCTGAACCCCGCATCGTCGAGGTGGTCGCCACACCAACGAATCCGCCAATCACGGGTCAAGGCAATGCAACAACGGGCAACTCCACTTTGGCATCCACCGGTAGCAAAAAGCAAGACAGCGAGCTTCAACCACTGAAATCTGGCAATTTGACCGATCTCGATGAACAAATGGAAGGTACGTGAGAAAATCTGGATAATTGAATTTTAATTTGTAACTGAATATCAGCAATGTGATGTGCATATTGATTCGAAGAAGTACCTTTAAATAATATACTAATGCACAGATGCTATAAACTATCGATATTACATAGGAGACAAGGGGAGCTCTCAAGGCGGCCAAGACAGAGAAGAGAGAGATACCAGTAAAGAAAGAGGCGAAGGTGGCAAAGGCGACGAGCCTGAAGACAACGTGACGGAGCAAACGCATCACATTGTCGTTCCTAGTTATTCCGCTTGGTTCGATTACAACTCTATTCACACCATCGAAAAGAGAGCCTTAGCGGAATTCTTCAATGGCAAAAATAAATCCAAGTCTCCCGAAATTTATCTTGCATATAGGAATTTTATGATTGACACCTATCGACTGAACCCGACGGAATACATCACGTCAACCGCTTGCAGGTAATTTAGACTCTCAATGCATTAATGTGGCGTTATTAAAAAATGAAAAAAGTGTTTTCTCACGTACGTACACGAAAATATTTTTTAGACGAAATTTGGCTGGAGATGTTTGTGCAATTATGCGTGTACACGCGTTTCTGGAACAATGGGGGCTCATTAATTATCAAGTAGACGCGGAATCGAGACCGACACCCATGGGGCCTCCGCCGACTTCGCACTTCCATGTTCTATCCGACACGCCGTCCGGCTTGGCGCCGGTCAATCCGAATCCGCCGAAGACACCGCAACCGTCCGCCGCGAAGTTGCTGCTGGATCTGGAGAAGAAGCCGACGGGTGGAACGGGTGCCATAGGCACGGAGGAAAAAGCTTCGGCAGGCGCGATGGCGAACTTCGGCCTGAAGATCGATCAGTATTCGAGGAAGCCGGCTGTGCTGAAGAACAAGCAAGCAGCTGGCGCTACACGCGACTGGACGGAGCAGGAAACGCTTTTGCTGTTGGAGGGACTGGAGTTGCACAAGGACGATTGGAACAAAGTATGCGAACACGTAGGCTCGAGAACGCAAGACGAATGTATCTTGCACTTCTTACGGCTACCCATAGAAGATCCATATCTGGAAGAGGGCGGACCCGAAGGATTGGGACCGTTAGCTTATCAGCCGGTACCGTTCTCGAAGGCTGGCAATCCTGTCATGAGCACAGTTGCTTTCCTCGCATCGGTTGTGGACCCGAGAGTTGCTGCAAGTGCTGCAAAGGCCGCCATGGAGGAGTTCGCAGCGATAAAGGACCAAGTACCGGCCGCGTTGCTGGATCAGCATTTAAGAAACGTGCAAGCTAGTGCTAATTCGGACGGTAATCTTTTCTACATTCAATAGCAATGACTTGTTTTTTATAACAAAAACTATGAATACTTTTTTTGGAATAATAGCTGCAAAAATCCATTGTATATGAATTATAAAAATAAAAAACAATTTATATATTTTTCTAGGCAAGTTCGATCCAGCTGCTGGCTTGGCGCAGTCGGGCATCGCTGGCACAGGACCGCCCGAACCGCCCGATGACACAACGGCATCCGCCGCGACGACTCCTTCCGTATTGACGGGTGCTGCCAACTCTCCCCACTCGGCAGGACCAACTGAAGCGAAGAAAGAGGAACAGGAGAAATCTAAGGACGCGATGGACGTAGAACCGTCTCAGGTTGATGTCGCGAAGAAGGAAGACGAAGCGAAAGAGAGTGAAGAAGATGCAAAGTCGACCACTGATCCTGAAGCCATAGAGGCGAAAGAGAAGAAGGATAAGGTAAAAACGTCACAGACGCGAATCGATTTACACATTTTATGAAAACATTGAAATCTTTAGAATGCCAGGATTTTATCTATCGAAATATTTGACGCAGGTTGTAAGAGACGCTCAGCTTCAGTCCGCAGCTGCAGCAGCGTTAGCAGCCGCTGCTGTTAAAGCCAAGCATTTGGCAGCAGTGGAGGAACGCAAAATCAAATCACTGGTTGCGCTACTAGTAGAAACGCAGATGAAAAAGCTAGAGATCAAGTTACGTCATTTCGAGGAACTGGAAACCACAATGGAGCGTGAGCGCGAGGGTCTCGAGTATCAGCGACAGCAGCTGATCACTGAGCGACAACAATTTCACTTGGAACAGTTGAAGGCGGCTGAATTTAGGGCGCGGCAACAAGCTCACCAGCGGCTGGCTCAGGAGCAGCAGCAGCAGCAGCAGCAGCAACAGCAGCAGCAACAACAGCAGAATCAGCAGCATCCACCCTGGCAGCCGCCTGGCGCGCAGCAGCAGCAACAACAACCGCCAAGTCCGCAAGCTCAGGCGCAACCGCAACCGCCGTCGCATACGCCGCCGCAACAGGCATAATTCTACGTGAGTACGAATCTTTTGTTGTTCGTTTATTGTACAATTTTTACGCTTTTCGATCCTTATTTTTCTCCGTGGTTCTTCGGCGAGGATAGTCTGCCTCTGAATTGAAGAATGTTTCCTTGATTTTATATCAAGTAAAACGACGAGCGAAATTTAGTTAAAATTTTAATTTTAAAGAAGTAGATTTCGTTACAAGGAATTTAGCATTTCGAAGAAGGAATAGATTCGCAGAAGCCTTTTCATATTTTTCATTTCTATTAGAGACATACATTAAATATCACGCGGGGAGAAATTATTTTTCTTCGTACATCGCTTATATACACATATGTACGCGAAGAAATCTGTTGCAGAACAAGTGTGCTATCCCACTCTTTTCTCGATGATGAGTTACAAAAATAATATGACGTGTTATACATAGTGATGGGATTCAAATTGTCTCGAAACATCTTGCAAGACTTTTATGATTGACAGTCTTGAAAAAGACTTGAAAATCTTGAAAAGTCTTGAATGCCTATAATACATCTGTATATGCATATGCGTGTATGTTATTCGTTATATTATTCAAAATATTTAACACATTCAAGACTTTCAAGACTTTTTCACAGTCACAACAGTCTTGCAAGATGTTTTGACACTTTTGATCTTCGGTCATTCTTGACTTGCATAGGAATTTGCAAGTAAGAGTCTTGAAATCCCATCACTAGTTATACATATTATTAACATACATACACCATTCTGGAATAATGCGATATCTGATCTACAAAGCCTCGTTGTCTATCAATTCCAATACTAAGTCAGTCATGAGTCGGGCGCACTCGGCGCCTCCGGCGCTCAGCGGCGGTGCTCCCAGCGCGCTGTGCTTCTCCTCGCCGGTTTCCGTGCTGCTCGCTTCGTACAAGTTTGGTGCCTCGTCGCTGGTGCACGTGCTAATCGGTAGAATGTCCAACGCCAGTCCCAATCCGAATCGTCCGCATCTTCGCATCTCTTCATTCAGTCTATAATTATTGAATAACAATTGACAACATCGCAGAGAGTCTATGTGTCAAATCCACATTTGAAAATGATTATTAAAATATTTTAAAGCTTTTCACTAGACACATTATCGTAAACCATTTTTACGCGCAATTCGAATCTCGAGGTTCTACTCACAATTTCCACATGACAGATGGATCTTTCGATGGCTGTTCCGGATTGAGGACACGCAAGGACGACATCAGATGGGAATGGTAGTGCTGGAGAAGCTGTGTCATGTAAGCCCGCCTAACAACGCCACTCGTGCAGCAGTAGAGCAAGTTCGCAAGATCAAGAGCGAGGGAACCGACCCGCGTCAGTTGAAAGTCGACTAGATAAACGGCCTGCAGAAACACAGTATTAAAAGTCTGGAGAGGATTTTGCAGTGAGATTTCGCACCTCACCCGTGCCAGTCAGTATGATCAGAGTCTCGAATATGATTTACTAGATTATAATTGTGCGAGGTAAATATTTTTTCTTGCATCTTGTATTTCGCTTCCTGTGTTGGTATTTTTCACGAGCTGTTCTATTCTCTACGAGATTCGTCTGAAATTGTTTAGTATGGATGGAAAATCGAGTATGTAGTTGAAGGAAAGATCGACGCGACTTCTAAAATGTACATTATACATTTTTTTTTTCGTAACTCTTTCATACTTCTGAATATTGGGTAATTTTGATCTTTCTTTTTGAAACTCAACGTTTACTTTAATTTAACCGCAATTGTACATAACGCAAGAGTCTTTTCTTTGTGACCGGCTACACGGGTTTAGGTGTGACCAAAATTCCGCTAAACTGGAGTCTTTTTAATAAGCTCGCGGATGGAAAAAAAAATATTTGAAACATAAACTTAAGAATCTTATAAATTTATATAATAAAAAGTGGTATGGAACAAATGGGTTTTCGTGTACGTTTCGTTATCACGCGCAATGGGGAAAGATAATGATCTGTAAAAATACGAAGTATCATCACGATAATCATATTTCATTGAATACACAACATTTTATTGTAGATACATCAAACACGCAATATGCTACGATTTTCTTATATATTTACTTTTCTTATAAAATAAAAGATTTACCTCAGTATCTGAGCTTGGTTCGTCCTGAAAGAGGATATTGTTGGTCCAACAATCGCCGTGGCAAAATACAGTTAGAGGCCCCTCCGTGGAAACGAGCTCGCTCATGGTGCGGAAAAATACATTCTCATTCAGGAAAGCTCGGAGCTTCGTCATTATCTCTTCCCTCCTGTGTTCTATGTGCGAGGGAAGCGCCTCGGACACCATTCTAATAGCGTTGTTTGTGGCCACGCGATAATACTGTCGATACCAATCCTCGTTATCTCGTCGGAATAGCGTTTCTTGTATACCTTGATCATGTTCCGGATTCGTTAATTTTGCGAACTCCTCTGGCCTTCAAAGAGTAATATCTTTGCATAAAAATCAGGAGACGAATGTAATAGAATAATGTAGCTTATGTGCGAAAAGAGAGGTAATCACTTTTATTAATATTTTTTTTTTATTATATTTCCATATTATTAATATATTTTATATTACAGTGATTTTCAAGCGTTTATTTTTTGTCTCTCGGAGAAAACCTGGTTCACCGCATCAAAATAGTAATTTCATTATTTTTAATATTTCTACACAGGGTGTTTCATCATGTTCGTGCCAACGCTCGTGTGCGGGTAGAGTGCGGTGAACTGAATAGAAAAGTCCTTTACCGATTTGCAATTCTTGCAATAATAATTGAAATAGTAATTAAAAAGGATTGACGAATTAAACCGTGGACTGTACATTCTAGGCGTGACAGCAACAAAAAATAACAACGCGCATTATTCCTGCTCTCGCCACGTATTATTATTTTTTGTTGCCGTGCGATTCTCGTTGCTGTCACGCCTAGAGCGGTCTAACCACGCGCAACGCGCGATTATTCGTTAATCCTTCTTAATTAATATCTCAATTATTGCGAAAATTGCAAATCGGCAAAGGACTTTTCTATTCAGTTTACCGCACACGAGAAGCATTGGCACGGACATTATGAAACACCCTGCATATATAAAAATGGAAAATAGTTGCATCTCACCTGAACTCCTTCAGCGTCAAGCTAAGCGCGTGGAAGCCCGCTAGAGTCTGCAGCACATGCTTCAAGTTTTCCACCTCGAGCCCTTTCCGTCTATCTGCCATCTGAAAGCCTCGCTCTCGCAGGTCCTCCATGGCGATAAGATTGGCTCTAGCGGCGTATATCTTGGGCACCCCGCTGAACACCCTCTTGCCGTTCGACTGCAGCCGGTTCAGCGCGGGCCACACGTGCTTGTAGAACGTGACCTCATTTCTGAACAGCAATTCGCTCTTGAACGCCTCGCGACGTTTCTTCGACTCCGGCAGAATCTTGTAGATGATGGCGCACTCGTAACCGATCCATTCCTCGTCTTTCAACAGCTTGCGCCCCTTCGCCCGCACCCGATACAACATCGAGGTGTAATTGTCGCCTCTTCCCGATCCTGGCTCTTCCTCGTCTAAGCTATCAATTTCCACGTCGGGCTCGTCCTCGGCAATTAATTCGCGCACATCGTCGAACGTGAGCCTGCTGCTACCGTCACCGCCGCTGTCCATCATTGTAACGGATCCACCGGAAACGCCGATCTCTCTATACAATGACGATCCTGATAATGCCTTCTCGATTTTTCCGGATAGTGCCGGCTTTAACATTCTACACTCCACGGTAGACCGGAGAGTTATGCCGTCTGACGCAGGAAATGAGTATTTGAGCGGACTTAGAGCACTGGAGGGCTGCCGCCTCCCACCGGTCGCAGATTTAATTCATTAATAATTTACGCCCCCAACGCCAAGAGGCAAGGACATTGATACATGTCAATCATACGCCTCGTCGTTTAGATCCCCCTCCTATCCCGAGTCTTCGAAGCGCGGCACGAAATAATGAACAACGCAGAGAACTTTTTGTCAATCAATCTTCTTTCGGAACAATATACAATTTTGTACAACAAAATACTTATATAAATACTTTTAACAGCTTCTACACGTGTTCGCATTCTGCAATAATGTATTAATTACATGAAGAAAAAATGACTGATATATATTTTTATATTTCAGAAGAATCTTTGTAGAAATTAGTATTATAATCCTTGGTGTCTGTACACATTTCTACTACTTTATTATTGCAATCGCTATAAAAAATTGTCAAGAATTAAATACGCAGTTCCTATTTCATCTGAAGGACTAATTCTCGTCGGAGAACTGGAGGACGTTGCCTACTAAGCTGATTAATATATTCTTTTGAGTGGAGGTAAGAGATACAGTTTTGTACAATTTTTTAGCCATTTCTTCAGCTCCTATCAAATTGCAAGAAGTGACGTACTCCAGGAGAGTCTGAAAGCACAGGTACAATGACGTTGGAGAATAAAACGCTCTACATTGACATTAAAATACACATGTATACTTACGAAAATCATCGGCACGTGTGCTTGCGCTAAGCAGATCTCGAATATCTCGTCTATACAATCCGTCGTAATTGTGCCGGTTATCAAGTGCGGCGAATTAATTAACAACGATAAAACTTCCATTGCCTTGTCGAAATTGTTTCCGCGTAAAAGCAACACTATCATATTGCCCGTCGATGTGTGAGTCATTATGATGTGCTGCACTCTTTTAGTATTTTGAGTCTGTATTGCAAAATGAGATATATTAGTTCAATATTTTTTTCAAATTCCGTAAAGTATCTCATTGATCTTAATTCAATGATAAATTCTCCGATTAATCTCGAGTCGATTTTAACGAAAGTACTGAGAGACATTTCATTTACTATACTTTTGCAATATTTTCAAGACTATCTTCATACCAAAGAATTAAATTCCATTAAAATCTGCTTGAAATTAATTAATTGTGATTTCGTTATCTATTTGTTTCTCTGAAGTATCTGAAGTGTCGCAAACATTTACAAAAATAAAATTGCGAATTATCAGAGAATTTATCGTAAAATTAAACTGTGGAATATTCTGCATGTCGAAACCAATTTCAATTACTTGTACATGATTCCAAATGGTGACTGCGATCTCTGCGAACTGCGCGTTCAGTGGAGAATCGGATGCAGGTTTACAATGTACGCTTATTAACTGTAATATATTCTCTAATAAGCCTTCCACGTTTAAATGACCGAACATGACCATGTGCGACCAGAGTTTTGGTATATATTGCGTGGCGGTCTCCGCGGGATGTAATTGAAGGGCTTCCAATATAGCGTTTATCACATGAGGTTCCGGTATAGTCACGTGCGGCACGAGCTTGTTGTAGACCTTGAAAAACGTTTCGAGTTCTTCTGTCGCCAGAATCAGCTCCAGATAAAATCGATAGTAGACATTTTCCTAAAACAAAAAGAAATATTAGCTATAACGCATTATACATATCAAATTATGTACAATATGTTAATGAAATAATTAAGAAGCATAATGTGTTGCATGATGTAATAAGATACACGGTCGGTCTCGCGCTGCGCGTGAACTTGGCGCGACAACTACCGTGTCTCTTGATAAATATTTTGAATGCAGTTATAAAGCATTAGAAGCATTAGCACTTTAAGTATTTGAACTTTTAGAGTCTTGTAAATTTTATCCAAATAACGCCATTTTGAGAAAAAAATCATCAAAATTAATAATTCTTTTAATTATATTATTCTTTACGTGTATTTCTATCTTTTACGGTTTACTATTGATTTAGTTTACTATTGAATGACTTTATATGTGAATATGTGTGTGTTGAAAATCAAAAGATACTCACTCTGAGGTTGTCACCGATGAATTTATAATTTTCACCGGTAAGAAGCAACTCATTCACCATTTCGCCCGCTTCACGTTTGCAAAACTGCCTCAATGCTATTTCCATCGCATAGCCGAAGAAATCTAAATCCTTTGCATCTTGGATGGTGAGGGTCTCGTTCTTCAACGATGTCATGATGTTCACAAAGTTGCCGTACGACGTGTCACCTGTTTCGAAGTAAGTTTCAAATGAGTTTGGGAGCATTCAATCGCAATATCATCGCGAAATGAGATCATTCAATTACCGAATTTCCTTAAAATTCGTAGCAAATAATAATATGTAGTTAATGACGGCTTTAATTCGAACTTGTTGATATCGGCGAGCGTGCTGCGCGTCAAGATCATAGCTGCTTTGACAAAGTTCGATGCTTGGAAAGTAGCCGCTAAATTAAGGACAGCGTTAAACGTATCTATATTTGGAGTGATCCCACTTGAAGTTATCGTTTGGTATACATCTGTTAGCAATGTGTTCGAATTTTCCTCTCCTTGCCTCAATAATGGCACTATCCATATCACAGCGTTGTGTGCATCGATGGATAACACTATTTTGTTTTCCTGACATTCTGTGTACAATTGCCAAGCCTTCTCCACCTGAAATGACAAGATTTCATTAAATCTCTGTGCTATGTTGATGAACTTTCGTTTATGATTGATTTAGGACGCATTAAGTGTCTTACACTGAAAAATTTAGCCAAACCGCATATCATCGCGCTATACGCAGCGCCTGCTATTGAGGGTTCTTGCTGCTTCAAAAATTGAAACAGGGCGTCGATCTGTGGGCGGCTTCTACAAATTAAAATAACATGCAAAATTTAGAAACCAAATTGCGGAAATAAATATTATATCAACATGAGAAATAATGTATTCAATATTTTATAAACTCACATCCATATGTTTTTCTTATGTTTCTGATTCAATTGATACCAACGAGTTTCCAGTAATTCCATGCTGGTAGGTTTGCTATTATTATAAAAACACAATAATTCCAAGAGAATCTGTTTCGTCGATACTGTTACCTCGCCTTTCAGCAAATCGTATATTGTGATAGAATTGGCAACATTAGCATTTGATATCTCATACAATAATGTTTCTTCCGTTACTTTACTCTCTTCTGTGTAAATAGGAGGTGGCACAAACGCCTGTGTATAAATATAATGATGTATATGATTTAACAATGTATCGACTTAATACATCTTTTGTAAATAACAAATAGAATATTCTATGAATTAACAAGTGGATGTAAATGTTTGATCAACAAAATTACTTCTAATATATTACCTGTATTTCAGGCTCCGCTAATTTATGATCAAACAAGTCACGATGTTCTTCGCGAATCCACATCGCAGCTTTCTTTCCAGATTCCTTTGCTAATGCATAATTGCGTTCATGCATTTTCGACAAGGGTGTCAAATACGGATCATCGTGAAATTTGTAATGTGGTGCTGTATAATCCCTGGATATTGTTTTTTCAAGAGCCTATCAAATGAATAATATTAAATATTTATAAATTACTCTTATTCACAAGAATTAAATAAAATATAGTAATTTTACTCACTTTTAGGATATCTGTTGGGCCACGTTCTATCCTGTTTGGTATATGAATTTCTGAAGATGAGGATGACGTTGCGGTTGTCGATTGCAACCGTATCATCAACTCCTTGTATAATTTCCTACAAATATTCAAAATATGGATAAAATTGTTTACGGCATACACTATATACATCTTTAAACATTTTTAAATTGTTTAAGAAACGAATGTGTTTTCGGCATTTTACATTCGAGAAAGTAATTGATTTACATATATGAGTCGAGTGAATTGCAGCTCGGTACATACCTACGCGAAATTCTCGCTAAAGAATTCATCGTGTGAGTTTTAAAAATTAAAAAAAGAATTAATTTTTCTTAAATGCTTTCGCTTCTTAACCTTTAAAGCGGCGATTTTAAAGGTTACGTTTTTAGCGCTTAGATTAGGTTAGGTAAATGCGGCACTCTCGGAAAGCTGCATAACAAATCTACAAATTTTCGATGATAAAACAGAAGTTGATAAGTTAAAATGCTAAGTTATCTTCGGTGCAGTCGAAACCGTCGATATCAACACATTTTATTATCATCCGTTTACATCAAACAGCCTGCTGTTTCTAGAAAAAAAAATTTAAGAAGCGGAAGAAGATGATGAAAAGATTCAAAGATAGATAAAAGTAAGAAATTTTGAATCGAAATTTTGTAACGTTTATATATTCTATGCATGATGGCATATAAATTGATGTATTGATGTATATCTCCATTTTCAGGCAGCATTCTAGAACTGCATTCTAAAAGTCGGCATTCTAAAAGCTCACCTGGCCTGCATCTATAAGTACGGGATTTGTTGACGGGATTCACATGGCCAGCTTATGTCAATCTTTTGTAGTGCAGTATTGACTGACATCTGGTTGGTTGCCTGTCTGTAGGCTTAGCTCCGTATAAAATTCATAACGGAAATATATATCACAAGATGTATACAGGATGTCTCTGATTTCTATTGAATTATATCTTGTGATAGATTTCTTGTCTAATTTGAGGTTAATTGTTTTGAAACAATTTGCACAAGCTATGTGACTATAAATTACTTTAATTGATAATTTTACAGGAAATATATTTCTCAGAAATTGAGAAGCTCAATGTACAATGTCAACCACCGCACCAACCACTGCTTACGCTTTATTTGCGCTTTAAATAGATATGATAGAGCTGATAGAGATAGTATATCCAATATGTGAAATGGGATGCTTTGTTAATGTTGAAGTACAAAAGTTTGGAGAAATCACAGTAAGCACATATTATTAGTTTCTAGCAATTGAATCTGAACAGGCTGCAGATGATTTCAAATTTTATGATAAATTGGATTAAAAAAATGTATACATATGAAAAGAGATTTTTAGAAAAACAAATCTGACTTAATTGTAATTTTTCAGATTGATATTGAATCCCATCTGCGCAAGGAATTAACACGTAACACAGTGGCACAAAATTTAATTCTGCTGAAATAAATTAAATTCCCACCGCATAACATTAGGATTCCCGATGACCCACTTATGGGTGCGCTTGTTCAGCACCGTGTATCATCGGCAAACGCATTGTGTTCCCTCGTTCTAGCAACAGCTGGCCTCACCACCACGACCGTCACCACCATCACCACCACCACCACGATCGCCATCAGGTAAGAGGGTACATCTTGCAACCTTCTTCATTAAATAGCTTAAGGTACCATCCTCTCCTTGGTTTTTAACCGGACAACGACGTAGGTACACGTAAGCCGCTGCTTTCGGCAGCTGCCGCTCTCCTCTCCGCGGCGAATGGAAGGAGGGAAAGAGAAGCGGCAGATAGAGATTCGTTTCTTTCAACGAATTTATTGTTTAGCATATGAATGGCGCGCGCGAGCGTCGCGTTCACGGTTGCACGGTGAACCCTTTGGCATATTACAAAGAATTCAATAAAGTTTATAAGGAAACCCAGAGGGAACCAGTCTCTCTGCCAGAGGCCGGAGAGAACGGGAGAGAATGAGAGAGGAGAGGAGGAAAGGGAACCCCCAGGTCCCTCTTCTCGCGGCTCTCGCCGTGAGAACGCGTGCGTGTATACCTTACGCTGGGCCTTATGCACATCAATGGAGAGCAAGAGTGGCCGAAGAGAAACGTTCTTATTCTGCAGGGAGTTAGCTATATGAGTTTGCACGGCAAGTTTTAATACACTATCTCACATCCTAACTGAATATACTTTGCACTTCAAGTTATAAGAAGTCATACTTCAAGTTTGAAGCAGTATGATGTAGATATTTTTCTCCGATAACATGTAAAATTGTCATCGTTAATGAAAGTATTCATAATATTGGACGTAAAAGAGGAGACAATATTTTTTTATTTTGCAAAATATTTGCAAAATTGCGAATTTTTAAATGTTCAAGAAAACGTTGATTATTTTATTCAAGTGTCTCATCTAAATATTTTCTCGCTTATATTTTATTTCAATTTTATTACATCTCAAGTTTTTAAATTTAATTTCTCCCACGTAAAGTATTACACATAAACGATATAGTGTGCGCAAAATGTTTTCCGTGCAAAAAATTCAAGAAGACTAATCCCGAGATTTAATCTTATCTTGCGATCATTCATTAATCATACAAAGGGACTGATGTCAAACACGAGTGGAGTAGAAATATTTTTCACTTTATGCAGCTTATAGCTCTATCGCGGTGCGCGTCCACCGGTCGCATACACGCACGCACGCACGCACGCGGGCGGGCGGACGGGCGAGAAGCCAGGTGTTTATTTCAAACCGTGGGACTCTCTTTAAGAGAGGGATGCTTTTGCACGACGTGCACACGCGCTTCGTCGTCGTCGTCGTCGTCGTCGTCGTCGTCGTCGTCGTCGTCGTCATCGTCGTCGTCGGCGAACAGGCGAGCAAGAGAAAGAGAGAGAAGGAAAGAGGGACCTGGGACGAATGAAAAACAGGATTCGCGTCCCTCCGCGCACTTCGGGGGCCCTCACTACTTTTATTGTGTTTCCTTGTTCGATCGAACGTAACGCAACCCCCTTGCCTCACCCCCTACATCTGCGCGCTCCTTGGTTTGCCCCTCGTTCTTTGATATCGGGTTTTCCCTCTTCCTTTTTTTTCCGGCTTTTTCATTGTGCGTCTCCGCGCCATCGAGAGAGAATTATAAAACGCTCCGCGGCATAGTGGACGCGTTTTTGGGGGGGAGGGGAGGGGAGGGTCGACGGTTTTTACACGTTGACATCTCCCGTGGAAGGAAACGGGGTGACGTATAGGAAGGAGAACAAGGAGAAAAAAAATATACTATGTCCACAATTGCGAGCGTCTCTTCTCTCGGACAGGAAACCCGAGTCCAAATCCTCGTCTCGCAAATTCAGAGGCCGGCAATAAGCGGTAAGAAACCGCTGCGAGGACGAACATTTCCCTCGTTCTCCCCTCTCCGCTCCTTTTCCTGCCTCTTCCTTCCGTCCTGTGCGACCGTTTCGTAGAACGGTTATGCGATCGCACTCGGTCTCCGCACAAAGGGATGCGCGGCTTTCTTTTTTCCCCCTCCCCCCCTCTCTTTCTCTTCTCTTTTCTTCCTTCCGAATTCATGTGTGATCGTTAATAACCGCGCCGAAGGTGGCGGACGTCGTCATTTTTCTTTCTCTCGAAACCGGAAATGCATGGAGCGTGCAACATCCTGCGAAAGAAACGCTCGCTCTCTCTCTCTTTCTCTTTTTCTCGAACAAGCAATTGCGTGCAAACGCAACGCAGGCGTGTGTATATATGCGTACATATTATTATTCGTGATTTATATTGCGGGTCTGTTACATTTTCGTCGACAGCAGCAACTTTACAAACATTTAAACTGAATCTTTAAATGGCTCTCCCTTATCAAAGATTGCTCTTGATCTAATTTTTCTTTCATCTCTGATTCAACTGTCTGATTTTTACTTGCAATTTGATACCTGGATTATTCCTTTAAATGTACTTGGGAAGAGTAGAAGGAAATGAACAATAATTCACATCTAAAATACACCGTATGTCGATTTTATCGAATTTTTATTGCTTCCCATTTTTACAAAAGACACGTTTTATTTTTACATTATCAAGTATGCAACGAGTTAGAATTTAACAGGTCCAAGTAATTGAAAGCAATAATAATCCCATAGCACAGAATTCGCTAACTGTATTGTATCAACGTTAACATTGCTGCAATACCGATGCAAAAATATTAAAATATAAAAAGATATCTATTTTCTGCAAAATTTATCAATCTGCAACGATGTTGCAAATATAATTAATTGTGTAAAGATTTAAAATATATACGAATATACACACATCGCAATTCGATTTGAATAAATTAATTAAATAAATTAAAATCTGCTTATCATAATTGTTTAAACACTATCGAAAGATCAGAAATTTTATTAACTTTTTTAAATTTAGCTATGATCAGAATTTTATTTTACATAAAATAGAAAAATTTTACGCTAAGATTTGATTAATTGGATTTGCATTATTCCTGCATTCAGTGCTTCAGAAAATAAAATCTAGCTAATTAAAAAAAAAAAACAAAAAAAATTTCAGAAAAATTTTATATATATTTTGGGGATTTTTTGAATTAAAGGCAAGATAAAATTTAACAGATCTCATCGATGTAGATTATAAAACATTATATTATACATTATATATATAACATTTTATAAAATTTTGTACTTTCACAAAACATTAGAAATTTCTTAAAAATAATCAAATAAATCTGAGTTAAGATTTACAAATTGATATTCTTCAGTGAAGGCTGTTAATAAAAATTAAAGATCGTGTTCGAATGATGCTGGACGATACGTTGATATGTCGAGCAGATTCAGCAGGCCGGGACGAGTGCAATTTGATTATATTATCAACAAATATTGCCTTCATCCCCACCTGCCCAATCCTCGAAAATCTCCATCTCTCGGACAATTGCTTGGTAATTCGAACAACTATCTCTTTTTCTCTTGATTTTCTCTTATTTGTCATCACATCCTTTGTTTTGCTCGATGAGACACGATGCATCCCGATAGGCCGGGACTAGTGCAATATTAAGATAAATGCTAAATATTGTCACGAATCCTGACCTATCTATTATGCAAAATGTGTAACAGTTTTTCCCGCGTTAATGAATTGCCCGAACGACGATATGTATTTGTCAATTCGATGATGATCGTTCTGCTGCAATTTGCGATCCAGAATCGTGTGAGTCAAAGCCAGGGTTGAAACTCAATCGAAGACTCGGCTGCGATTCTCATAGTCCGATCACGTGCTTATTTCTCCGGGAGCTGGAAAAAGAAAAAAAATTCTAGATGATGTCTGGAAAATGTAAAAATTGTAGAGAAACAAATAATAAAATCGGAAATCAATAAATTTTTGCATTAATAGTTAAATCGTTAAAAATCAAATATCGACAGCAAATAAAAAAAAATAAATAAAATTAAAAAAAATAGAAATATGCACAAGCGTTTACCTTCAGAAATAATACTGAAAAAAGATGTAACTGTAATTAATTAATAAATCTGTAACAAATTAATAACTGTAATAAATTAATTAATCATTCAATTAAATTGTTATATGTTCTCGATTCTTTTTCCGGATGAAACTCATGAATAAAAACTTCCGCGGAATACACGCGTTACATGAATTAACAGTTTTCGAAAAGCGGCACGAAAACCGTGCGCGTGTTGCGATCACCAAAAACTACTAAATGAAATGTGCATCAACGGATTTTTGCGCGACGAGACGAATTTTCCGCTTCAGCGACCGCGCGGACGAGAACGTCGCCGGAAATTGCACGCGGAGTCCATTCGCGACACGCGCAATTCGTTAGAACGGTTACGGCGGAGCGGGATTACGCGTGTCGCAGCGTAACATGCGCTCGCTCATTGATGGGGGCGAGAAATGCGTGCGTCTCTTCCTCTCTCTCTCTCTCTCTCTTTTGCTTGCGTGTACGGTAGGGCTCTCCGACGTGGCCTTGGTAACAGTCTCCAAATCGTAGAGCCTCTAACATCGTTCGAATCACAAATCATAGCCCGAGGTCGGCTCTCGTGTGGACATCATAGGTCGGTCCTCTATTGCTTCGCGCGGCCGTACCCGAAAAATAGGGCCCCCCCTTGCTAAGACCTTGCCCACCGGAATTTCTGTGAAACGAGAAACCGGGGTTCTCGACGCGCTAATTCGCGTATACGTGTACATTGCTAACACATACACACAGAGATAGGCGTACAACGCGCGCGGCGTTATATATATATGCATACACGCAAACGGTTTTTCGATACAAGAGTGGCACAATTTTGCAAGACGACTGATTTGAAATAATACAGAAATGCGTTTGCAGCGCGCAAATCTCGATCTCTTCTCGAATCCGTGCGATCTAATATTATCAAGACACGATTTGTTCGACGCGGACTCTCCTTCGAGCCGCGCAAATATTCGCACGTAAACGCGTTATTTATCGCGCGCCTCTCGTTTCTTCGGAACTCGTAACTCGATCTCTATCGCCGGCAACTCGGTGCGTGTAACGCAAACAATGTCCCGCACCTCGCGCTATATCGAGCACCGTCGCGATCGAAAATCGTCGCCGCAAAAATCTATGTACGAATCCTCGAAGAATTTTCGTCAATTCTTGCGGCACGATAGATTCTCGAGCGTGTGTCGTACTTTCAAAAACAAACGCAGAGATTTGTAAATAAAAAAAAAGTGAAAACAAAGCGCCGCGAAAAATGACGATCGTGAGTTACGCTCATCGCAACTCGCATCTTTTTTCCAGCCATTAACTCGACCTTTTCGCTACTTGACCTCATTTTTATCTCAAGTTTTTATATGAGAAGAGAAAGAAACTGGAATATTTCAATATTTCGATTTACAATTCTACAAATATTTCAGTAGCAATCATTATATCATTATTGTACTTCGTAAAGTGAGATTTTTGTAATCTTACCGTCACAATCTTACCCAGAACGAGCTGTGTTGAATTATACGACCTGCCTCTCGCTTCCTCTTTCCCGGCTTTCGTCACTCGCGCGGTCCGTGTGGCATGCAGATCCGGAGATGCGAATCGACGCCGCGCCAACGATCATCGCCTGTGTCAATCCGCCGTGACGCCGTCTTTCGATTCTTCACACAATGCCCCTTCTCTTCGTTGTCGTCGTCGTCGTCTTCTTCTATTCTTCCTCCTCGATCCTCGTATATTCTTCGGCACGTGACGCGCCGCGCCGGCGGACGGCGCGCTCGATCGAGGTGCGTCACACGCAGGAAATAAATCGGCCGCGCGAGATGTTAGATCGTACAGAGAGGAGCCGCTGTGGCCGGGCCGATCGACGTCTATCACACACACGATAGATCACTCTTCCGTTTGTTACCTCTATATCCTTTGATCGCGTTGACGCCGTATTCCGGAATGAGAGAGAAAAGAAGAGATAGTTCTTTTGTAGCTTGTTCTTGCCCACTACACAACACTATAATCGATCTGTGCTCTGAATAATGTTCGAAGATGCGCGATCTGGCCGAGATCAAAAATTGGAGAAGATTGAATATGAGAGAAAAGTTAGGAGCGCACTCGGACGAATGTTGAAGCGAACCGCGAACTGAGCGATCTGAGGCCGTGTTCAGGTGCGAGTGTGTTCTTATCCTTTTTGGGCCCCAAGTGGTGGGGACGCGCCCGGGCTTACTCTTATTTAACAGCAACAGCGAGAGTGGCGACGACGGCGGCAAAACGGCGCGAAGGCCCCAAATAGCGAACTTCCCTTTCTTTTCGTCCCTTTTCTTGGGGCGAAGCTGGGTCTTTTCTCTTCGTTTCTCACGCCACCGGTTGTGTCCCACCTCTCTCCAGCTCCTCAGCATCCCTTGTGCATTCTTTCTCTCTCATCTTTTCTTTTCCCTCTGCTTCTCTCGCATTGTTCTCCCGCCAAAATTGTATCAGCTGTCCTGATTCTTGAGCCTTCAACTCTCCTATCAAGAGAGCCGCGCGGCGACCGCCCCTTGTCCTTCCAGTTTCCACTCTTCCGTCAGGTAGGTAAGGTATAGGTAACGAACCAATGGCAGATCGAGAATGCGAGAATTTTGGGTTTCGCACCCAGGGGAGAGATCTCGCTTTTTGGGCGGAGCGAATCCCCGTCGGGCGTCGGAACGACGATTATAATTAACGCACGACGATTATACACAGGCGCGACGACGGTTTGCGTGTCATTCGTATGTGATTTACGACGAATGTGACAGATATCCGCCGCCGTAGTACGAAAATCTTCTCCTACGTCCTGTCCGTTTGCCCGTTTGCCCGTTTGCCCGCCTGCAAGCCTGCCTGCCCGCCTGCCTGCCTGCTTGCTTACCCTCCCCTCCCCGTCCTTCCTTCCTTCCTTCCTTCCTTCCATCTGAGCAACCGCGACTGAATCCTATTGGAGGAATCCCTTGCATCTTCTTAACGCAGCACCGGATTAATCGCTTTGTGATTTACCGACGGAAAGAATGGTGTCCTCGTCGAAAATCTCGGTCGTGACAGATCTGAAAAACGTTAGGAATAGTTGACAAATATTCTCGCAAAATTTGCAGCAAGTTCGGTGAAATTTGATATTAAAGTAAAATAAGTAGAAGAAATATATAATCGAGTAGATGTGAAGCGATAATCATTTTCAAAATATGAAGTTTGGAATCAATTTCTTATCTGAAATGTTTTGATTTCGTTTCATAGCTATATACATATAATTCTACTTGAATGTAAAAACACGAGGCGAGCGAGAAATTATATGCCCTGGTGTTCTCTGCCTAATGTTTGCAAGCATTTCTTATTCGACTTTCGGGACGTCGTCGAATTATATACACGCACTGCGAGCTTCTCGGCAAATTTGTTTTCATCGCGCGGTAACGTCGGCCGATTTGTCATGCTATGTAACGAAACGCCTTGCCCGTTAGTACTTTATAAGTAACGCTTTGTAATCCGCGCGACTGCCTCGTCATCTCACTAAGGTGTTTAGTCTTGTTTACTCAGTAATTTTATGCATCGCAGGACTTGCATATACCCGCTCATTGCATTCGTCATGCCGCATTTACAAACACATGTAAATTACACAGCTATCTCAAAATTATGAACAATATTATCTTTGAAGTCATCTCTCATAGACAAATATTTATAAATTGATTAGGTATAAAACTATCGTATAAATCAAATAATCATGGTTATTTGAACTTGTTCTGCGTGTTTTCAACTTGTATCGACTGTTTTTCTAAGATTTATTTGAAATATTGATTGCAAAATTAAAATTACTTTTAACTTAATATGGAAAAATTCGCGGTATTTTGAAGAAAAAAAACTGACGATTTTGTCGTAAGATCAATTTTTTCGATCAATACAAAAGATGTTTTATATAAATCCTCGCACACCGTAAAGATTTAAAATTAATCGAGCAATAAGTAATATAAAAAAAAAACGATCGATCATTAGACTGTAGATTGATGAAATAATAAATCAAAATCTGAAAGAACGGCATTGTGGCATTTCAATCGGGTGTTACCCGATCATAATCATTTCGCAATTAACCCGAAATATCTAGTATAAATTTCAGTTTACGCGGTGAGACTTAAAAATTGATCGGGCATTATGAGATAATCAATCATCAGATTATAAATCGACGAAATATAATAATATGTAAGAATGGTAGTACTTTCAATCGGACGTTATATCACACCATCGCGAGACATCCCGATTTGAAGCAACTCGGCGTTTTGTCGGGCTTTGCGAGTAGCACTCGTCCCGGTATCACCTGGAACAGCTGAAACTTACGTTCACCACGTGTTCGCGTCATTAAAAACGCGTAGGCACCACTGTAACAGGTTGGAACGCTCCTCGACATTGCAGCAGCGTGCTTTTCAGCATTGGCGCATTATCCTGCCCTTTTGTGGCTCCTTATGCACTCTGTAAATAATATTTTTGTCAATATTTAAATATCATATCGATGACAAGCGTATCATTACATCGACTTAAAGGAAAGAACTTGTTGCGCCTAAAATCTGATGATAAAAGAAATCCACGTTGCGACTCTTTTTCTGCCATTAATTTTTCATCTATTATTATTTGACTATCGTTTTTCGATATTTTAATTGGATATCAATTGGATTTTCATTAGAAATTATATTACTATTACCTTATTTTTCTAACAGTCTGTAATACATTATTCATTATTTCTTCGATTTATAATAATCGGTCTGACTCCAAGAAAGAAAAAATTCATCAAATCCGCCGTGAAGAAGACCTGATTCTTGTTTTAAATACCAAATTCTCAACGCATATTACTTCTCGCCTTTGTCGAGTGCAGGTTTTAACAACGTTCCACTGTCTTCGTTATTGTGACACAACGATCGACTTCTCAAGATTCCTCAAACTTACTGAAAAAGCGCAATCATTACAGAAACATTTTACATATATTATTCTTCGTCGAACGTCTCGATGAAGCGTATTTTTTCTCGAAAATTCCCCGAAATCTGTCTTATTTCTTTCTAACGCGCACGTTGCGCTCGCCCCCCTGCGCTCGACGAGAAAGAGGGAGAAAGAAATCGCTCGATCAGCTGCAATGCGAATGTTTATCGACACGAAACGCGATGGTCGCAACAGCGATTTCCTTTGTGCCGAACTCGCGCGCGCGCTTACGTTTGACAAGGGCGAAGGGGGAGAGGGGGGAGAAAAATCGAGAAAAAGTTGAGAACCACTTGTAGGAGGACAGCTGCGCTCTGCGAACGCATCTGCTGTCGGTTACACGGGCACGCGCTCACGTATACTTATGCTTATATATCCAGGCTGGTGCGTGCGCCAGTGAGAGAGTGTCCGTAAACGCGTGCAGCACACAAATGCGTACAAGCCGCCTCCTCCTTCTCCTCTCATCGCTCTTTTTTCCCGCATTTCCATGTCCCTTTTCTGCTTTTCTTCGTTCTTGGTGTTTCTTCTCTCTCTCTCTTTTTTTTTCTTTCTCTCCTTCTTTCGTTCTGTGCTTTTCGTCTTCTCCTTTCATGATGTGTCATATTCTCCTGAAACACAATCGTGATAATGAGTTGCAATTCGTTGGGTCTTATTGTAATCATCGCGCCTCGTTGCACTCGAGACTATTGAGTCTGTCTCTTCAGAGTGTTGTCTTATGTTATTAATACATTTTTAATTTTCCTCTTTCTTGTTTTCTCTTCTTGTCGTTTTTTTTTAAAGAAAAACCGAATACCAGTGCGAAATATATGTCTCTATACGACAAGGAATTTCCTAAATGAGTTATTGGTTGGCAAATTTTCTACATCGATTTTATATATGTTTTCCCTTTAAACCCATATTAAAATGCTATAAAACGCCTCTTATATACGTGCATTTAATCACATTATTCTTGTGCGAACGATATTCTATTTTATTCTGTTGATCTTATAGAGTGGCTTACGCTCCAAACGTCACATAAACTATACCCTTACAACATCTATTCTGCCATGCACGCCATTTTGTTTCTTAACTGTTCCGTCAGTTTCTGGTCGGCTCCGTCAGGCCCTGGTCGGTCCTCTTTTCTTTCTGTAAGGGCTTGTTCGTTTTAGCTGCACTGGGGCAGCTCTGGGTCTGCTCTAAACAAGATAATACAGGACAAACTATTTATCTGTCCTGTATTATCCTGTGTAGAGCAGACCTAGAGCAGCCCCAGTGTAGCTAAAACGAACAAGCCCTAAGATAGTTGTACATATACGCTTCTTCTTCTCTCCTACTTCCTTCAAACTTTCCTTCAAAACCTGAAACCACTGTTCTTGCCGTTTTTCTTGTACCTATCCTTGAATCACGTGTAGCGCTCGTGTTCGTGGGGTATGAATCTCATTCTTAGCATCCCTCTTGACGTGTATCTCATCGAAAAAAAAAAAAACTCAGAAACTCAGAACATTGAGAAACTTAAGGCACAAACCGTTGCTGTACTTCTCTTTCCGTCTCTTTCTTTCTCTCATTTAAAAAGCCTCCTGGTACAGCATTTTACAATATATAGGGTGATTCGCCATTAGTTTGCGAAAGTCTAAGAACATATTTCCCAATTAAAACCCGTAAAAATTCTTATTAAAATGTGTCGAAATATCCATAGTTTTAGGTATGTGAAAATACAAGAAAACTTGATATTTTATTATACTCTCTAGAGCGAGTTTGCTTTTTCATAGAATTTTTAAAATTTCTATTTAAATACTATTATACTAACAATTTAAAATTAGTTATATGGATTACCTTTTCAACCATTTGACCAAGTTGACACATTTATTCCTATGATTTTGACACTTCGGTTTTTAAGTTTTAACGTAATATTCATTATGAGTGTTGAAGGCGAATCATGGAACAAAAATCTATCTCTGGCTCTTCTATTAGAATTCCAATTATATCTTCACATTGGATTCTAATTTATAGGAAGAAATCAATGCGTAGCTCGTAGCGTTTATTTATTTAATTTTTAATGTTCCGACTATCAAGACATTGTATTTATTTTGTAATTTATGGTAAATGTCACTGAAGAAGGCCTAATATAGGCAGAAACGTTTGATTTTGAATGTATTTTATATCTATAATATAATTCGATTTTATGCACGAACACCTTGCAACGGCTCTTTTCGCCTCTCATCCCTAATTATTATTATACTATTTTATGTTATATTAATATCTATATATTATTTTAGTATTAATTTAAAAAATAATTCATTATCAGTATATTTAACATCGTTAAGAAATTGCGATAAATAATAAATTATTTCTCTATAATGTGTTGAAGAATTTTTGTCTTCCAGTCTTCAAGTTGCATCTTAAAACTCAATTGAACACCGTGTTCGGACCGTTTCATTCTAGAAGAATTTCCCGCATTCTAGAATTTCTGCGTTTCCCTAGAAATCGGACTGTTTCAATTGCCTGTCATTTTTTTAGACTTTTTTTTCAGATCTTGAAGATTTTTAAAAGAATTTTTCTAAAACATTTTTTCTAAACATTTTTCTAAGCGATTAAATAATCGTTGAAAAAATTTATTTTTACAAAAATTGCATTATTAAGATATTTAACAAAATATTTGATTACAATATTTTATTATTATTTTATAAGTTCTAGGCTAAAAATATTGTCTGTTTTAGAAAAATTCTTTTAAAAATCTTCAAGATCTGAAAAAAAAGTCTAAAAAAATGATAGGCAATTGAAACAGTCCGATTTCTAGGGAAACGTAGAAATTCAGGAATGCGGGAAATTCTTCTAGAATGTTCAGCAAGAACGTTCAGCAAGAACACGGTGTTCAATTGAGTTTTAAGATGCAACTTGAAGACTGGAAGACAAAAATTCTTCAACACATTATAGAGAAATAATTTATTATTTATCGCAATTTCTTAACGATGTTAAATATACTGATAATAAATTATTTTTTAAATTAATACTAAAATAATATATAGATATTTAATATAACATAAAATAGTATAATAATAATTAGGGATGAGAGGCGAAAAGAGCCGTTGCAAGGTGTTCGTGCATAAAATCGAATTATATTATAGATATAAAATACATTCAAAATCAAACGTTTCTGCCTATATTAGGCCTTCTTCAGTGACATTTACCATAAATTACAAAATAAATACAATGTCTTGATAGTCGGAACATTAAAAATTAAATAAATAAACGCTACGAGCTACGCATTGATTTCTTCCTATAAATTAGAATCCAATGTGAAGATATAATTGGAATTCTAATAGAAGAGCCAGAGATAGATTTTTGTTCCATGATTCGCCTTCAACACTCATAATGAATATTACGTTAAAACTTAAAAACCGAAGTGTCAAAATCATAGGAATAAATGTGTCAACTTGGTCAAATGGTTGAAAAGGTAATCCATATAACTAATTTTAAATTGTTAGTATAATAGTATTTAAATAGAAATTTTAAAAATTCTATGAAAAAGCAAACTCGCTCTAGAGAGTATAATAAAATATCAAGTTTTCTTGTATTTTCACATACCTAAAACTATGGATATTTCGACACATTTTAATAAGAATTTTTACGGGTTTTAATTGGGAAATATGTTCTTAGACTTTCGCAAACTAATGGCGAATCACCCTATATATTGTAAAATGCTGTACCAGGAGGCTTTTTAAATGAGAGAAAGAAAGAGACGGAAAGAGAAGTACAGCAACGGTTTGTGCCATGAGTGCCAACGTTTCTGAGTTTTTTTTTTTTTCGAAATATTTCTCAGTTAGAATTGCCTAAAATTTTCAAGTTTTAGTGTTTTTAATGCTATAATATTGTAATAGCTGTGCTTCACTTAAAATATTTTATCCTGACTTAAGATAGACTTGCTTGAGAAGAAGGAATTCGTTGGAAAAGATTGTTACAAATTCTATATACAGGATATTTAAAATAAAGGGTATTTAAAATACATTCCTATATACATCCTATATACAGGGTATTTAAAATGAATTTACTAACTCAATTGACTATAATTTCTAAAATAAATAAAAAAACTAGATTTTTTTTTATTTATTCATTGAATCATGACAAATTATAACGAATTAGATATGGAACAAAATGACCGCTTCGGGCTGAGTCACAAATTCGAGCTCTTTTTATAGCATTTCGCATGACACAAAGTCTCACATAAAGTGAAAATTTCAGCTATTTTTGCACGAATGTTATCCTTCAGCTCATTAATTGTTACTGGATGATTCGCATACACTTTTTCTTTGAGATAGCCCCACAAAAAAAATCTGGAGCCGTTAAATTAAAGATTTTGGAGGCCAATCAAAACTGCCAGAGAAATGAAACGATCTGGAAAGATTGTTTGCAATAGCGCGATTGTTTCGCGAGATGTGTGTGTGGCACCGTCTTGTTGAAAATAAAAAACAAAATTTAAAAAAAACAATTACATGCAAAATGCTATAAAAAGAGCTCAAATTTGTGACTCAGCTCGAAGCGGCCATTTGAACGACATTGTGTTTAACACCTAATTCGTTATAATTTGTCATGATTCAAAGAATAAATAAAAAAAAAAGAATCTTGTTTTTTTATTTATTTTAGAAATTATAGCCAATTGAATTAGTGAACCTTTATTTTAAATAGTCCTGCTGCGACGTGTTACTCCGCGCTGATTTCTTCTTATTTTTCTATGCTAGATTTGGAATATCAAAGTTAGCTTACCAAATAGTTTAGTAGACAGCTTTCCAAATTGTGCACGTAGTGCACGGTCGTAGTGCATTATACTATGATTATGCACATATCGAAAATTTCCTATTGTTTGAGGGTTAGGTTTTTTCTTTCAATAGAATACCGGAGCTGGGCCTGGAGAGCAGGAAATGAGATTTGTTTGTATAAACTATATTTGGGACTGTGTCGTCCATGTCATTTTCTTTTTTTTTTTCATTTGTCATCTACATATGCCATGTATCCTTTTATTCCTTGGAAGGCAACGAACTCTCCATTGTTCATTTTAGTTAGTTCGTACAAAAACGCCGGTTTGAGCTGGTCAATCATAATATCTCTTAAACCCATGTTTCTCGTAGTAGAAACGGTCAATTTAAACGATTTTTCCTTCTCAAGATAGTCCGGATTCTCAATCATTCAAGATTTATTTCAAACTTCTTAAGAAATAAATATATGCACTATTAATATCTAAAATTTTTTTTTTGAATTTTTCATTAGATATTAAAATATCCTTTATTTAATAATACATTTAGTCAATAATTTTCGTAGGTTAATCAGACGAAAGTCGGAGTCAATTTTGTCTAATTATAGGAAAACTACTTTTGAAATATTTACAAAAAATTAAATATAATTAGATAAATATGTTATAAAAATTGCATTTAAATTTTGCAAACATTGACCACATTGTGTGTGTTGAATAATTTTTATGACAAAATTGACATAATTTAATATCGTGCGTGCAGATAGAGCAGCAAGTAGAAACAGCGCATAACAATTTTTTTCGTAAAATTTGAAATATAGAAATCAATTTTTAATTTTGTAAATTAAACCTACAACATTTTTTATCTTTTGCGAGCCATTTTACATTGAATATAGTAGTGTACGTGCAAACGTATATCGTTATTTACATGTGAAAAGTATAGTCAAGTGAAAAAATTGTTTTATCTGTTGTTTTCTACAATATTTTCTTTATACATGTTACCCTACTTACTTTTTATATTTTTGGCAGCGATTGTACCGTTGAAACTACCTTAAATTTATATTCGACAACACTGTAACGAACTATTACTTTTCCTTTCATTTAAAAAATTAAAAAATAATTTTTTACTGAATATTGAATGTGTAAGTTATGAAAATTTTATAAAAATTTTATAAAAAGTTGTTAAAAACAAGTATCTTAATTTTTTTTAATGATATAAAAAAAATTTTGCATACATATAAACCAGCGCTCGGAATTAGTTGCACATTTCGGGCCGATTTCCGAGACGACGCCTCCTGTTTCCCCCACTACCGCCCGACCGCTGGCGGCCGAGCCGCCGATAGCTCTGGCGTAGAAGCGTTTTATATTAAAAATAGGCTGAATTGTTTAGGAAATCTTTCAGAAAATCGTAATATTTTTTGAAAGGAGCCTCAGAACCCAGCCTATTTCTTATATAAAACGCCAGAGGCCGCCTGCGGCGGCTCGGCCGCCAGCGGCCGGGCGGTAGTGGGGGGAATAGGAGCTGCGTCGTCTCGGGAATGAGTCCGAAATGTGCACCAATTTCGAGTGCTGATATAAACTTATAAATTGAAAAATAAAAGTCTTTAAAATTATTAATCTTTGGATATTCGTTAAATGTTCTCACAAAGTTTTAATAATTACCTAGCTAAAGTTTACTCTAAAATTTATTTACGTATGTGCTGTAATGTATTCGTTGCATTTCTTTATGTAGAACAATTAATTTGAATGAATTGGAGTAGATTTTTTCATTTTATAAAATATCTCTTGTAAAAATTGAGAATTTTCCAAGTTTGCAAATTGTGAAACATTTTGTATATGCTATTTTCTATTATACTGAAGCAAGAAGTATCATCGTATTTTCAACATGTGTGGTAGAAATTTCTTAGAAATTTTCACATTATTTCGTCTTTTGAACACAGGAAGTGCCGCTAGGTTCTATATTGTCCTTTGCGGAAGTTATATGCCTTTACCTTTTGAATGTCTCTCTTTTAACCTTTTTCGGGGTGGCTCTCTCTCTTTTTCCCTTTTTCCCTCGGTTCGTCGCTCGAACTGTACTTTGACGAATTATGTGATGCAGATATGCACGACCGCGAGAAGGCGCAACGCGAATACGGATGTGTTTCTCAAATTTGGTTGAACGAAATTATACTTATGTAATACTGTTATTAATTACATTACTGAAATATTATGTGTAACGACGGACTTGTTCAAAGCTAGGTCTCCTAACAGGTCAGGATTAAAAAATAACCATTTACCTTTTTTGCGGCTTCTTTACTACTTTCCTTCTTTTTATGTTCCATTCAGATCTCCATTCAGAATTTTGGCACTATTGTTCTCACAGGAAAATCTCAAGGAAATTCCACAGCGTGAAACATTTTTTTTGTGAAGTCTTTTTTAGAAAAATTAGAAGACTTTTTCTTCTTAGTTAGGAAAGCAGAAGGTAACGATCAAGGCAGAAAGACGTTAGAAAATTTAAGAAGAAAAATAGTTCAACATTTTTAACAAATAAATTTCTTTAATACGTTTTATAATTAGCTCGTGATCTATCATTTTCCTTTAGTCTTTAATGTAGAAAATTTTCACATTAACATTGCATTCGATTGTGGTCAAAATTTGTTAAAGAATTGCAAAGAATTGCAAAGAATTGCATTGTATGTATTCGCTTCATAAGCCGATGTTTGATCGATGTCGTTTTCGATCAACGCAGAACAATAACGAAATATTATCAAGAAAGTAGGAGAAACATTGAGGAAAGATCGAGAGTTGTTTGTCTCTACATCTTTCTAATATTGCCTCTTTCTGTGATATGTTTGTAGTCTTCATCAAAATAAATGAAATACTGTGAAATATTTTTTAATTGATTCAATTCTTAAACATAGAATGTATCATCTTAGAATAAAGATGAAGAATTTGAGAATTATTTAGAACTCGAGCAAAAATTAAAAGCTTTAAAAAATGTTTCAAATTATAAATTGAAACATTGTATAATATAGAAATTGCTTTCAGACATAAATTGTGACTATTGTATAAGTACTAGACGTATTATTTAATAGACATCATGAGGAATTATCGATAAATCATTTGACATGGCATTGGGAAATATTATGACATTATAAATACGACGCAAGATCTAGAATTTCGTTTCTTATCGCTTTATATATTTGGAAATCACGAGCAACAGCGGCATGCAAGACTGATACTACCGTCAGTATACCGTATGGACCTTGCACGGTAGGCAAAGGCCCAGATGGCAAGCGTCCGATCCCTCGCTTAAATTTTGACCGCGTGTATCAACGACGCAACTGCGTTGCCACCTGCTCTGCACATAGACCAGGTATATTTATTTGTTAAACGACACGATTTTCGACAGATACGAGCGCAATATGATAAATGACCGACTCATCTTGACATTTATCGTGCGATAAATTATTATTTCGTTTGTACCTATTGTGCTTCCGTTGGTTGGAAAATTTTAGAAACGCCTTTCCACGTGTCTTCCTCTTCAACGTTAAAGTCGCCACACGTTAAAGTCGAATACAATTTTTTGCTTGTTTTCGTTTTCTTATGTTTTTTTTGTGTCTTGATGTTCTATCGTTTGACAATATTACAAACAAGCGTAAGCAATCAGTTGGAAATTAGATTATTAGAGATGTAATAAAGATGTAATTACATTTAAATTGCGAGCAATTAAGATAATAAAAATCATCATTTTCTCTTAGCTTAAAAACACACAAAATATCCTTAATGAACATTCAACAATATATACTTATTTGCTTCTTTGAAACTTTGAGAACCAAATTTTTCAAATTACAATCTGCTAATTTTAATTTAGTTTCGTAATAATATACTGTGATAATGTGAAGATGATTTATAATGAATTAAGTAATAATAAATACAATAACATAAATATATCTAATATAAAAATGAAAACCATCTGCAGAGAAATGATCATCAAGCTCATCGATATACATCGTCAACATTCACTCAGAAATGATTCGCAGTTTTCAAAGGCATTTCGTTTCGCTGCACGACAGAATTTTTCTCGTCTCTAAAAAGGACCACATTCTACACGCGCGCATCCGATCGATCACGCGGATCGTTTCTCACGCTTTGATTTTTGTCCCTTCCGTCGTACTGCGTAACTCGTATTTTCACGGCACAGGGAGACAGAATCTCATAGGCAAGAGGAGAAACGTGCTTGCATTATAGTTCGACAGAGAGAGGAGAGAAAAAATAGCGCCGGGAGTATTGAGTTGCAGCGTATTTAGGAGCGATCGTTCGCGCGACCAAGCGATGTTACAGTTCGGGACGGGTTTGAAAAGATCTTTGTTCGCGTTGAGCGAGGAAGTGGGTCTGTTATATGCACGCACACGGGTACGCGTGCGAGCGAGAGAACGCGCGCGAACGCCCGAGAATGCACGTGTGAGAGCTGTGCCGTGCGCCGGCCGCTGTTGCTGCTGCCGGAAGTCAGAGCGTGCATAATGCTCCTGGGTGCGCCCGTTCGCTCGCTCGCCGGCTATTTTTCGCTTCACTGGCAAATAAAAACAATGTAATGATAATACCGGAGTGCTGCGCTGCTCCGCGCGAAGACCACCGCTTTTCCGCGGATTCGCATCAATGCTTCCTGGCATCACTCATCGTGTCCTTGCAAATCAACGAAAATCTGAGATAGATTTTAATGTTGGATACATCCGGCTGGATGTGCTGATGGCGTGTATATGCTCCGTTTGCAATTTCGACAAGGCGGTTCTCGCACATGTAAATATTGTAGAGTTTTCTTTTACCGACAGGAAACTTCAGTCGGATACATAGAATTCGATTTATCTATTGATGTTAAACGTATTGAAATTTTTTACTTTACCTACTGTCGTATCTAGAGCGCTCTGCAATGCATGGATGACACTACTGACCGCATTACGTCGAGGCATGTGCGGGATGTAAAGGAATGTGGCAGACGGTTGTGCCTTTCACTTCGGGACATGTATCTTTTTCGGCGATCTTGTACCGCAATGACAGGACCGCTAGACGCACCGTCGTTATTGTATCCCGAGGCCATAAGGACCACGTTTGAAATCACGCGACAATTTCTACATTAATGATGTAGCCTGATAAAAGTGCCAATTAAATTTGCAAGGATACCTGTTATTTTGCAAATTGTAGAGTTATCTGCTTCCTGAAACCTAGAAACATCCGATAATTTGTGTGAGTTTATCGTCGATCGAGGAATCAGCTCCTGTGCAGAAATGAACAATTTCCAAACAGAGAAGATTACAGAAATTTATATAATTTTTATATAAATAAATAAAATATACTACGTGAATCTGGAGCAAACACTCTATTGGGAAAGATGAATGAAACCAAAGACAACACTGTGCGAGTGGTATTTATATCCTTGCTGCTGGATCTTCTATCATTTACAATGATATTGCCACTGCTGCCTGCTCTGTTGGATCACTACAAAGAGATAGAAAACGGTCATGGATTGTATTCCTCTATTTTCAGCTATGTGAAGAGTATACAAGTGTTCTTTGACGCGCCAGATAAAGTCAGTACAGTTCTTTACGGAGGTTGGTGACTTACACTTTTACAAATTTATTCAGATTTCTAAATAGAAGCAATTACAAACATTCAGACTCTATTCAGAACTGAGATCTTTGAACTGCATATCTGTCCAACAGTAAAAATTTTCAAACATTAATGCCCATTTCCACCAATGTAGATAAACTTTAATCTCGGTTCAACTTACTCTTCATCTTTTTCTAGTTCTAAGAATTAGAAAAAGGTGAAGAGTAAGTTGAACCGAGATTAAAGTTAATCTACGTTGGTGGAACTGGGTATAAATGACACATAAAGAATAGCAATAATCTAAATCCATTTTATTTTACTTTTTTAGGTTTTCTAGGCTCTATGTATTCTTTCTTACAATTTCTGGGATCACCAATTATAGGAGCATTATCTGACATTTATGGAAGGAAGCCGTTAATGCTTTTGTGCTTAATAGGCATTTCACTATCTCATCTTCTATGGGCATTCTCAACAAATTTTGCTATTTTTGTACTGGCGAGATTCGTTGGTGGTATTAGTAAAGGAAATGTCAGTCTATCAATGGCTATTATCAGCGATGTCACTTCTCCAAAAACAAGAGGAAAGGCAATGGTAAAATAAAAATGAGATGAATCGGTATTCGTATGCATAAGTAAAGATTAAATACAAACTGAATTTTTTATCAAACCTCATTTTTTTCCAGGCTCTCGTCGGAATAGCTTTCTCTATAGGTTTTGTAATAGGACCAATGATAGGGGCATTTTTCGCATGGATCTCGAGTGGTAATAGAGAAGGCACGTGGTATGTGATACCGGCTCTGTTTGCGCTCTTCCTTGCTTTATGTGACTTATTTTTTGTTGCTTGCTACCTGAAGGAAAGTCTGCCATTAAAACATAGAGCGACTACTCTAGCCAAAGGATTATCAGGGGCAATTTCATACATTAATCCCGCTGATCTTTTCCAATTTAATGGCGTGTCCGACTTGAATCAGCAAGGTATTTATTTCCAACATAAAATGTTGAAAGCAATTTATTTTCATTATTATTGCCAACAATTTTATAACGTATTATTTATAAACCGAAGTATTCTGATTATAATGTCAGTTCATAAATAGCATAGAACTTAATTTTAATAATAAAACTCTACTTTTCCAGATCAGCAAGATTTGAAGACGCTGGGCCGAACATATTTTATATATTTATTTATCTACAGCGGCCTAGAATTTACTTTGACATTTTTGACTCATCACACATTCAGATTCACAAGTATGCAACAGGGTTGGATGTTCCTTGGCATTGGGCTGATCATGGCAATTTTGCAGGGTGGTTGGGTGCGACACATTCCACCAAATCGTACAAAAGCCATCAGCGAGCTGGTGAGAAACTTAATCCACACGAATTTTTCTTCAAATTTTTTATTATTAAATAATACTCTTTTACGTGATATTTGTTTTATATTATTCTAGGGTTTGTGGCTAGTAATTCCTGCATTTATATGTATCGGTGTCGCTACCGATGTGTCACTCTTGTGTGTAGGAATTTTTCTTTTCGCAGTTTGTGAGCATTATGTTTATTTATTTATTATCGATGTAAATTGATCAATTAAAATGTATTATTTCGATACAATGTAATATAGCAGACAATATGTTGCCGTAACAATTATTCCAAACTTTATTCATTGCAGCCACCGCTATGGTTGTTACTTGTATGATGACTCTAGTGACTCGTATTGGACCAGAACATCAAAAAGGCGTGATCACCGGCACATTTCGTTCTCTCGGTGCCTTGGCTCGCGCTTGCGGACCTATCGTCGCGTCTACAGGTAATCAAAACGTTATTAAATCTCGCGAAAATGCTCCTATTTTATTGATCTCGTTTCCTTGAACGAGCACGTTTCTATTTCAGCATTTTGGTGTATCGGAAGTGCCTCGACATATCTAATTGGGGCTCTACTTCTCACACTACCGCCACTCATTTTGCACGGCATGCGTGCTTTATAATGTTTGACATAGTCAAATGTTATCTCGCATAATCTGTCCTTTTATCTTCACAAATTCGCTTTACAGATATTTTATATCTTTATTATATCAATGCTCTTCCTACTGTGGTTTTTGAAGATATATTTATATACGTTACATTCTATATCTTATGATATTAAGAAAGTGATAATTATTGAACAATTAATGCAAATTTACTTACATATATTTAACGAACAAAGTATACATTTCTAAAGAAAAAAATATATATTTATACACATTATATAAGTATAAAATTTTATTCGAAAGTGTAAAAAGTTAAAATTATATTTTAATACTTTAAAATAAATTTTATACATTTTATAAAAACAAGCTGATATACGTTATGTCTAGAATTATATTCTAGTTATTTCACTCTCAATACGTTTATTCTTTTTATTATACTTTCTACACTTTTTTTCTCCGAAGTTTAAAGACCGGGCTGGACGAATTTGCATAATCGCATAAATATATGCGCAGAGAAACTGAATCATGGGAATCGTATCGGAATCGTGATTTATCGATAAATAGTGTGTCAACAGGTCTGTTTATCTTACCTATCTTCAATTATTTATACGTTCCTCCGTGCGCGTGCTAATAATTCGTTCATTTCAGTTTATTCGCAGAAGAGCGTGAAAAAGAGAGACAGCTAGCTAAGAAGAAGAACACATCCGTCGGTGGGTAGCAGATTATCGATAAATCACGACGGCGCGATTCTGCGGCTCTGCGCAGGTCTCCCACGATCACGTGACCGTCTCACCCCCTCAGTCGTTTCCCCCACCGGCGCCATTTACGGTAGCAAATTCCGGGAATTACCGTCCGCGTCGTCAGTTCACTCAGTCGTCGCCACTTCATCGCTCGCCTGGTGCTTGCGAGGAAGAACGCGGATTGGAGCGGAAGCCGGGAGCGAAGCGGGAGTAGAGGAGGGTTTTTTTAGTAGAAGGGACACACGGAACACGGACGGCGTTATTGATGGAAGCGCGACCACTCGCAATAGTTACCACGCTCCATGATTATTGCGCGGTTAATCGTGCTATAGCTTAGGCGCGTGTTACCGAAGGTCACCGCGATCCGCAGGTACGACGACGAGACAAGAGGAGGAGGCGACGGCGGCGGCGACGGTGGAGGAGGAGGAGGTGAGACGACGGCGATTGCGCGCCGTGTTGCGTCGCAACATCGTCTCCGTCGGGGGCGGACTCCGAGGGACCGTATAGCAGCTTGAGCAGCAGGTGAGCGCCGCCGAATTCCGAAATAGTCGTCAGTAGTCATGCCGCAACGTTTACTCGCTCTGCCACCTTTTCCCCCCCTCGCCCCCCCCTTGTCCACTCAGCCCCTTCCTACGGTCCCTCTCCGGTGCCTTCCACTGCGCACTTATCTCTACCAGTGCGACCGCCGCGATATGCCTTTTTCTGCGGACGGTGATTTTTCTGTCGCACGCCGATGCGACATCGTCATCGCTCAGCCGTTCGGCAAACGTGCACTCCCGCGTGCTTCGCGCCGATCTCGGGAGAACCGCGCGCGCGTCAGCACATCGAGCTTTCCGCGTATCCTTGTCGACTATTCATCCGTTCTGAATCTTGCAGCAGGTATCTGTCGCGATAACGCGCCGAACGTGCCGCTACTCCGGCGAAATTCTCGGTGTGTTTGCGCCGCAACGTGTTATCGTCGATGATAAAACGCGTTTCGTAAGATTGCTCGCAATTTTTCTTTTTTTTTTTAATCTGTTTACACTAAGTTCGGAATTTTTGAACAGCACGGGGATTTAATTTTGTTAATTTAAGTAAAAGCGTATTTGTCAAAGGGTGCTTCTGAAATGTTTCAAGTTTTACAATACTTGAAAGTTCCAGTCTGATAATGTCAGATGTTCAGCATGCTTGGCAACATATTTGAATGCTGGAATTTTTCTATTACCAATGTACAACATTTGTAACATGGAGGAACACTTCATGAATCTATGCTTGTATGACATTTCAATTTTTCTCTCAGGATGATTCATCTGATAGTGCTTACTCAAACGTTTTAAGAACATCCTGTATTAGGAGCATATTGTATCAATTATGAAATAAAAAGAGATTTTCTTTAGAAATAAAAGATTTGATCAATAAATAATGTAACAAAATGTGTGATTTCCAGCAAGAAACACAAGTTGACTTGTGGTTTTTGTACTCTGATTTTATATTCAAGATGTCTTAAATACAGACTTCAATACACGCTATATAAATTCATAATGTCGTGAAATATTTCTCATTCAACAATTACAAATCCATGTAGTATTTTTGAAAGGACATTTTGTTTATGCCAGGAAATAAAGCTGTTGTAAAACATGGCGCTGTGGGCGAAATCGCAGTTGTTGCCACCGGAACAACTGCAAGAGGTGCGTTCCACATATGGAGATTACTTCCCGATTGAAGTGAGACACTTTTTATCAGCATGGATAGAGGATAAAGTGATGAGGTAAATACGGCAGACAAAGTCCAGAAATTTTTGAATTTAATGAAAAAAAAAGCGCTATGTATCTTGGAGGATATAATCGTCACAATACATCGATATTTTAGGGCTGACATAGAACCGGATAATCCACAAAGTGAGCAATACATAGCCGGTCTTATCGCTGCTCTGATACAAGAATTAGAATTAAAAGCGGAGTCTATAGATTCGCAAGACCTGTTCATAACGAAAATGAAGTTGATGGATGCTGCTAAGATGTTTCGTGTAAGTTATATACGGTTTTTCTTTCACTCACTCTCCCGCGTTGAATCTTGTAATTCAACTGAATCAAAATTATGATGGGGATAATTGGACTGGTAATAATAACTCACGTTTCTTATTTTATTGCAGCACAAGTATAGCCAAAATCCAATAATGTTATTTAAGATACTTAGGCATTGCCTAAGTGTAGAGATGAAATTGGTGGCGCAGGCGGAAAATTTAGGAGGCGCTTTAATGAATATAGCTAACGACAGATTCAATATAATGATGGGCGATTCGGTCACGGAAATAAGTCAGCAGCTGGAGATTTTACGGCGCAAGACGTATGAGAGCGGAGAGGACTTGCGAATAATGGAGCAGGAGCAGGAAGGTTTTGCCATCACCTATCACGAGTGTACAAAGCTGAAAGTACAGATGCAACACGCCCAAACGCACCCGCAGAATCAACACAATCTCAACAACTTGGACTCGGCGAAGAAGGACATTAAAAGGTACATAATACAACACAATTTGCGATTTAACGCGATAATCTATGGCATATTATTCAAAACCAATAATATACATATGATTTAGCGATTCTTTATATAGGCAAGAGCAAGTTCTGCAGCACAAACTTGCTGGCTTAGTAAGGTCGCGTCTAAATCTAGCTGATAAATTGAAGGACACCATTGAGAGATTGGGTACTTTACAATCCAGAGTTCTCGATGACGAACTTATCAGGTAAATGAAAAACGAAAGACATATGTATTGTTGAAATGATAAGATACAGTCATTATCTTAATTTTTAATTATCATCATGTTTGGATCTATAGATGGAAAAGGGATCAGCAGCTAGCGGGCAACGGTGCGCCTTTCAACAGTAATCTGGACTCCATTCAAGAATGGTGCGAGAGCCTCGCCGAGATAATCTGGCTGACGCGGCAGCAGATCAAAGAGGCAGAACGCTTGAAGCAGAAGCTTCCACTTCCCGAATCGACGATGTATCAAGACATTTATCCAAACTTGAATTCTCAAATCACACAACTGTTAAGTTCTCTGGTTACAAGCACATTCATCATCGAGAAGCAGCCGCCGCAAGTCATGAAGACCAACACTCGTTTCACGAGCACGGTGCGCCTGCTCGTCGGCGGCAAATTGAACGTGCACATGTCCCCGCCGCAGGTAAAAGTAAGTATAATCAGCGAGGGCCAAGCGAACGCCTTGCTGAAGAGCGACAAAATGGCGAAGAACGGCGAGGCGAGCGGCGAGATTTTGAATAACACCGGCACGATGGAATATCATCAGGTTCGCATTAATATTTGTGTAAAGGCTGTGTGTACGTCACTTTTTAATATAAATTCGAAAGTATCTTCACGCTCGGGTAACGCTGTTTGCAGGCGACGAGACAACTTTCAGTGAGCTTCCGCAACATGCAACTGAAAAAGATTAAGCGGGCGGAGAAGAAGGGCACGGAATCTGTGATGGATGAGAAATTCTCGTTGCTGTTCCAATCACAGTTCAGCGTCGGCGGCGGCGAGCTGGTGTTCCAGGTATGGACTCTGAGCTTGCCTGTGGTCGTGATCGTGCATGGAAATCAAGAACCACACGCGTGGGCCACGGTGACCTGGGACAACGCGTTTGCCGAGCCCGGCAGAGTGCCGTTTGCAGTCCCGGACAAGGTGTCGTGGCGTCAAGTGGCAGAGGCTCTGAATGTCAAATTCCGCTCGGCGACCGGACGCTCCCTGACCGAGGATAACCTGCGGTTTCTCGCGGAGAAGGCATTTCGCAGCAACGCCAATGCTGCCGTTCACGATTATTCGAATCTGATGTTGACTTGGGCGCAGTTCTGCAAGGAACCGTTGCCCGAGAGGAATTTCACCTTCTGGGAATGGTTTTACGCCGTTATGAAGCTAACCAGAGAGCATTTGAGAGGTCCGTGGATTGACGGATGTATTTTGGGCTTCATCCGGAAGAAGCAAGCCGAGGAGATGTTGCTGAGCTGCGCAACCGGCACGTTTCTCATGCGATTCTCCGACTCTGAGCTCGGCGGCATCACCATTGCATTTGTCGGAGGTAAAATATCGAAACGAACACCAGTAACATTTAGATCATTCTTTCTCGGATACGCGTTATTTAATTTCCTACATTCCTAATTACATAGATTCCTGCTTAGTGCCCACAGAAAAACCAACCGATAAGATCTTCATGCTGCAGCCGTTTACGAGCAAGGACTTCAATATTCGTAACTTAGCCGATCGTCTTTACGACCTGCAACAGCTATTGTACCTGTATCCTGATCAGCCTAAAGATAACGCCTTTGCCAAATATTATACGCCATTCAACGGTGAGCATCACTTGCCTGAGCTATCGTGCTATATCGCGTCTAATCAATCGATGATAATTCATTCAATTTCCGCAGAGAATCAATCTACATCGACAAACGGATACGTGAAACCAGTGTTGGTGACGACCGTGCCAGGCTGGCCGGGCGGTTGTCTCGGTGGTCAAACACCGTCCCATTCGTCCGTCGTGGGCGTAGGTAGCAACGGTCAGGGCGGACAGGGCGGAAGTTATCCCGCGACACCGCAAACTATGTTTCAAGCGCATAGCCCGGATCCGTCTGTGACGCGGGACACGCCATCCGTAGCATCAAGGTCAGTTTCTTGGATGTAATACTCTATCGACAATCGTAACTCGAATTTTCTACTAAATCAACTACGCTAAATATTTAGTTAACGATTTCGTCTTTAATCGTTAACCTCGTTTAACTTTGTTATCTCTGAGAATGAAATGAATCTCGGATTATATACGGGATGTTCGATAAAAATCAAAGGACACGTTAAGAGATGAATCCTTTTATGTGATGTAATTTTGGTGCAATTTTGTGTTTGTGGGGAAAATGATTTTCCCACGAATTTTGCAATGATAAGAGAAAGGAAATTCTATATTTTTTACGGGAAACTGGTTTCTCATAAAATTGTAACTCGACATTCGTCAGGCATCTGTACGTGTGTATATCGAACATCGTATTTTGTGAATAATAATTTAGGATTTGTAAAAGGTTGCGACAATTTGAAACTTTTAAACTGTCGTTCTAAACGCGCCAGTGTAATTAAGAACCCATTGAAAGATGTCTTTAAGTCTGTCCTAATTAATAACAACAACATAATTTTTTCTCTTTTTTTTTTAAGCATCCAGAGCTAAGCTTCTTTCTTATCGCAGATAATTGTCAGTATTCTTTTCTTTTTTTTTTTTGTAGACGCGTCTTTTGACTAAGAGTTTTGTAGGGAAATTATATTAATATACTGTATGCGCAATCGTGCCTTTTGTAAACATTTTTACAATACACTTAGTTTTATACTTAACTACGCAAGTATAGAAAATTAAAGTGTGCATTGTGCTGTATACGAGTAAGTCACGCATTATTCAATCTGTTGTGAAACAGATGATACTGTACATTGGACGATACTGGGTTATCTGGATTACATTTATATCTAAACGACGAAAGTGTGGCATGAATAGGCGAATAATTGTTACTCTGAAATTGTTATTCTGAAAAATGTTCAAAATGTATATGTATATATTCTAATCTTTACAATGTCGATTATTCAATGACTCAAAATTGTCATTTAATATATTTCTTTTTTTTTTTACGTTTTTTCAATTACATTGTTATTGCATCTTGTAATAACGTATATTTATTCTCCCAGTATTTCCGTCCAACAATCGCAGTAATTGAATCAGCTATTTGTATGCTTAGTATTGAAGGGCATTGTTACTGAATATTAACTTATCGATGATGCTGGATTAGTGTTTTGATCCTAAGAGAGCAGTCTAAGAAAGTGCATCATATACAATATTGCGAATAAGTGCCTTTATATACACTTATACACACATTTATATACAGTACTTCAGCTTTACATATTGTTAATATATCTATATAAGTTAATGTAGAATTGGTATTGTGTAAAAATTTTTTTGATCTCTGTTTTCTGCTATAATTTTTTATTATTTACTTTTTGACATATATATTAAACGGAAAATTGCGTGAAAATTTATTAAAAGAAAAATTAAAATGAAACTTACTAGTAAATTCATAAATAAGTGAATGGATACTTTATTTATATTAACTTTTATCACGAAAGCATTTCTATCTTAACTAATTTCGTACAGTAGTATCTGAATTGTGGACCAGTGATAATCATCGACGATAAAATAATGTACAATTAATTTTTCGACTGCCAAATATTTTCTACGATCTATTTTTTTCTAACGACTTATCCATACCTTTGATATTGCTTTTGTATTGCGAATTACGTATTCTAGCCCGTAGTAATATGCGTATTTATATATATAAGCGTAAACATTTGCGTGTAAAGAAACACACATACACGCACGCACGCACATTTACGAATAACTTGGACAAACGAATGTGTTAGTAAAATAATTACGTTCGTAAAGTAAAAGAGGCAGAGGCCCGGAGCAAGCCGGTACAACCACAACTATTCGATACTACTCTGCAAAACGCAGCTCCAATCACTCGCAGCTGGCAATTGAGTAACATTGTGATCCACAAATTGCCGTTTCCTTGCCCGTGCGATATCGCGAGTCGAAAGGTAATAATAATAATAATAAAAAAAAAGAAACCCATTTACGACCTCACTGTTCTGGAAAACGACAAGGGACCGATCTGCAAAAATTGGTTTCGACGAAGATCTTGTGGTTGTCATTTATGCCCCCACCTTTGCCGTGTTGTACCGGCTATTCCGGCTATAATCGGTCTCACCTTCAAAAAAACGCAGTACACACTTTAAAGTCAAGACTGAAATTACTTAGACTTAAAGAGAAAAGAAAAAAGAAAGGAAATGAGGGAGATTGAAGCCTGCAACGATTTGCCCGAACATTGCCAGTGATTGGGGTTGTGTTTTGATCTGTGGTAGTTATGCTCCGGGTCTCGGCCAGTCGGGTATGGGACGACCAAGCGCGGACATGGAGTACGTCACGGTGGATTCACAGCTTTTGGGTCACAGCGAGTTGATGGACGAAAATCTCAACTTGGACCACTTGAACGGCTTCGGCTTCTCGGACTTTATGCAGTCGTACACCACCAGCAAGCCGCAATAGGTACGCAAATGCCGATCGGGGTGTTAGCTGTTTGTCATGAATGAGATATGACGATACTGATAGTCACTGTCGCGAGCCTGAAACGGCTCAACCCTTCTTCGATCTCTTTTTCATTTTCCATCAGAGCACGCGAAGCAATATGTTATCTACCGGGGAAGGGATATTAATCCTTAGAGGACGGACGCGGATCTCTTTAGGACCTGGCGGTTTTTAGTATCTTAACTCTTCTACTATTAGCCCGTGTGTGTATAAAGGATCGATAAAGATATTCTATATTCTTGTTGTCCATATATAGAGCGCCGTGTATATTTTAAATGTGAACATTGAACGAGCTTAGATATTCTAAAGGTCTTCGATAGGAATAATGAAACGTTTCTTTATTTCTGTAACAACACCGGTGAATTTTTCATTAACGATCTTTTCGCCTTGGAATAACAACGGAGAAGTTAATACGTGACCGTAATATTGTTAAAAAATATGAAATCGACGTAGAGCCTTAAAATCAATTTTCCGTCCGGATTGTTGAAAAAAATAAAAATCTTTATAAAATACGGAGATGGTATAAATATGAACAAAAATATTATTTTTACGTCAAAGGAAAAATATTTTTCGCGAAAGATGGTAAAATATTTTTTTATCACATAAATAGCTAAGTAAAGATACAGGAGTATTTTTTATTTGATACTCTTCAAAATGAAATATTGATCCATGTCAGTAAAGCCGAGAAATCGACTTCCCGTCCTCTAAAGATTTCTGCGTTCCGCAATATTTATCCAAAATTAGATTAATATATACCTGTTGAAACAAATGTTGATTGTATCGTCTTTGAATTTCAGAAAGATGACAGATTACATATTTTAAAAATTGATTTATTCACACTTGCAGATTTGATGTCAGTTACGCGCTACAAAAATATAAACAAATACATAGAAATTATATATATATATATATAGTAGAAAAACATATATATATATGTATATATGTATATATGTATATATATATATGAAAACATATATATATAGTAGAGAAATAAACAGAAATTAATTGTTGTTTGTTTATAAGATATTTGGTTATAAAGATTTGATATAAATTTTTTTCCTATTGAATCAAATGTGCTGTATATCACTTTTCCTCTCTTTCATTCGTGATTATTTGTGTAGAGAAGTGCTAAGTGATTACGTAACTCTCTGCGTGTATGAATTTGTAGAATAAACAATAGTAGATACATACAAATGAGCAAGTGTGCAGTGATTTTATTTTCTGTGATTTTATAATGCATTTTGATGTTTTTTATCTGATTGCCTTTTTACAATTCAAAGACGATATATAATCGAGTTATAACCGCGTGTGCAATATGATCAAGTTTTTTTGCGAAAGTCTCTGCACGAATCATATTGGCGTGTGACTTACATATTTATTTCATTTGTTTACGAGTCTTTGTCGCAACCATCATTAACAAAAACAATTTTTTTCATGAACATGATCTTGTCAAGTGTAAAACGAGGGACATCGGTGTCCGAGATAATTTTAGGTTTCTATATCGTTAATGTCAATTTGTCTAGTAAGAAACCAAAAATTGCTTTCTTGTGAGCCTCCGTTGACAATTCTGTTCAAATTTTATCGAATCTTTGTTGCTTTTGAGTTTTCATATTTGACGATATTTAGCTTAAGTTCTTACATCGTATAAAAGAAACGGTACAAAGGTTTATATTATCTATCAATACATGCTACGAGGGCATGTGAATATAAAGATTTATATATTGCATGCCTAAATAGAAATACTATTAATATCTATACGTCGTGTTATACACATAGAGATTAATATAGTAATTATTTTTGTTAAACATTTAGATCGTTTTAGAGAGAATTTTAACGGATTACTATAAATGTTATTTTTTTCCCTATAGTAAGAATTCATGCCTACAATTTCACAATTATGAATTGGTTTCCAGTTGTGAATGAATACATAATTTAGTGCCTTACACAATCTTTTAAATCCTGAATTCTTATTCTTGAATTTTTTTTTCATGAAGGTAAAACGAGTAGATTTGTATATCGTTTCGCATATCTTTGAAGGATTACAAAAAAAAAGTTGTTATAAACTTTATTATTTTAAATGTGTTTTAAGCATTAGACAACGACAGGCAAACACGTTAGAGCATTTTTAAAAAGAGATTTTAAAAGTACAATGTAACATATAAAAAAATAGACAATCATCTTCACGTTATGTTTACTTAATCAAATTGTTATTAAATGCGTTTCGACTTTTGGACTGAATTCGAACCACGTTTAATACGTAATTTAGTGCCTTACACAATGTTTTAAGTCCTGTATTCTTAAATCTTTTCATAAAGGTAAAATGAGTAGATACATACATATATGTTTTAACTAATTTTTAATTAATTTTTATTTCGTGATATTTTAGGGTAGTGGTATTCGAAGCTATGCATGTGTATTATTTTTATTAAAGGGGCGATTTCCTTACAAAGCAAAGATTCATACATTATTTAGATTGTTATTTAGCGAATACTTTTAGAGAACTAAGCGAAAATATGTAAAGCGTAAGAAGATCTAAGGAGGCACGTCATGCGTACATCGTAGATTTAAAAATAGTTACTACGGTGCTCCATTCCTTACCCTATATGTATCTTATACGTATATATATTATTAAAAAAAAGGAAAACTTTTGTTATCTATATAGAAGAAACAATTGTTATCTATATAAAACACATTTTTCGCACATAGTCCACACAACGCTGTCTGCCTTCGGCGCGTTGTCTTATTTTAACATGTAATCGTAAAAGTTGCTGCTTTGTACAAGTCTGCTTGCTTGTACAAGTATAAGAGAAGATAGACGTTATAATGATCGTCTACTGATCTTTTTATCAAAGATTAGAGTTTATTTTATTATTGAAAAGGATAATTAAGAATGATTATACTCGTATACAACATCGTATTTAGTGTAAGTGCTACGTAAATGTAACATTACATGCATGTTTACGCGCAATAAAGTACGTTGTAAATCAATACATTGGGTATTTTTACTTTGCTGCCCCTATATTTAGAATAAAATTCGCGCGGTTCGCCCGATATAATCTTCGTATTCGAAGTCTCGAGAGACAAAATATAATTTCGACATATTTTTATGTCGTGTTTACTCCGTTTTTCTTCCATTAACTCGTTAGGGAACATAATAAGTGTTTACCAATATAATTGGTGTAATTGTTTCCACTTGTTTTATTTATCGACAGAATTTTCCAAGAATGATTATATATTTCTAAAAGATTTAAGAAGCAGCTACCGGAGAGAATTGAAAGAAAAATAATCTTTTACTAAAATAATTTTATTCTTAATAAAATCGATGTTCCAGAAATAGAACATTTTAATAAGTCAAAATAGCAGTATAATATGAAATTTGCAATTGAATTTCAGCGAATACCAAATGCCGTCTAATTCAGAAACGTTTAAGATGCCGCGTTTGCCGAAACGTCATTCCGCTCGTCGCTCGGGCAAGGACGCTCTGCGCACGACTCGTCCTCGACATAATGACCCGGCACAGGATAACTCATGTGATAGACCGTGTCGTCGGCCATCGGATGTTCTGGAGGCCGATACTTACCTTTCTTCGCCCACGGAAGTTCCTCCTTCGGGCTGGGTGTCCACGTTTGATACGACAATTTATTTATCGTTTCGGAGTCGATTTTAGCTTGCGGCCTGGACAAAACACAATAGACTGTAATTTATATACTGAAAGCCTAGACGCATCGTAAAAGTCGAGCGTCTAAGTAATCGTATCGTAAAATCATTTACAAGATTTATCGATTTATATCATTTTCTAGGCGCGTCGTAAACGGTCTTTCAGACTTTGTACCGTTTGACCTTAGATATAGCGCCTCCTCACCTGCAATATTGCATAACGGGCTTGTAACTACGAACAGGTTTTATCGCGCCGGGTTTTATGTAAGATAACCCGGTGGTCGTATCTCCCGCCAACGGCGCGTCGGCCGTGCGAATATTACCGCACGGGATGATAACAACCGGACGCGACGTCGACTTCGCTACGTATTCGCTGCGCGTCGTCGTTTCGGATTGCATTTTGCCGGTGCCCAGCATCCTGGCGCGCGGCGGCACAATCGGCTCTCGCCGCTCGGTCCAGACTTGTTGATAACTCAGCTGCAAGGTGATTCGCATAAATGATGCTCATCGCGAATGTAAATTGCGCTGGGATAAAAAACGTCGCGCGCGGTGGGAATAATCAGGAAGGGTCACCTTGTTCGTCGTGTCAGCGGACATCTTCGTATCGGGTATAGAAATACTGCCGCGAGGGACGAACGGTATCACGCGCTCCGCGTCACCCGGCAAGTAGCTCTCCTTGTAAATGGTTTTGTCCCTGAATTCCGCGCCGTAAGGAAGCACGTATGTCGCGGCAGGAAGGAAAGGTTTCTCCACGGAAACCGCATCGTTCTCCATGTAGCTCTCCGCGTAAGTGGTCTTACCGCACATCGCGGTGTCCGGTCGCCTTTAAGCATTTTTACACCGATATTTCTTTCAGAGTAGAAACAATTGTCGTGGAATATTTTTTCTTTAATTATATAAAAGATTTCTTCGATGCATTTCAATTATTCTACAAAGTCGGGATTGATATTTTATGGTAAATAAAAATACATAATAAATAAACTAACAATAAGTATATTAATATTCTTTTCACAATTGTGGAAAATAATTTTTACATTGTAGAATATTTTCTAGATTCGTGATCGCCGGTTGTATTATTAATTAATTCGCAGTACACGCGCAAAGCGTACTTGTATACCGGTTTCTGCGCCCATGGATAAAATTCCTTCTTATCAACGGCGAAGGGCTGATAACTCAGCTTTTGTGTCGTTTCCGAAGGGAGGGGTAGACTCGGTGGACGATACTTCGGTATCGGTTTGAAACTGATTGCAGGTTCAATAGGTCCCGGATGCATGTAAGATAGTCTCGCCATCGTTTTATCGTCCAACGGAGCCGCGCTCGTACGAATATTTCCGCAGGGTATAATTACTTCTGGCCTCTCAACGTGCTTCGCCACGTAATCGCGACGTACTGTTGTTACAGTCTCCATTGAACCTTGAACTGTCATCGGTCTGAAAGATAATAATCTCTTACATTAACTTATTGTTTCAGCGTGACTATTATTAGACATCAGAAGACTTCTTTTCATTTTGATCGACTCCGAGAAATAAAATTTCCGCTTACTTCAAGATAACTTGCTTGACCTGTTTTCAAACAGCTAAAGTTAAAAAAAAAACAGAGAGAACTATTTTTCTTGATTTCCGTTCCGGAAGTTTGTTCTAGATTTCTCCTATCGCAATGTTCTAAATTATTTATCTTGTAACTCAAGAAGTTTTAAATAAATGATAAGTAAAAGCGTGGAAACTTTACTGAAGATAAAGGATAGCAAAATTATGCAATAAAATATATAGTAAATATTTTTCGCAAAAGTGTACAAATATCATCGCTTTCTCTTACCTACGTTTCGGTATAATCGGCGCCGCCTTGACGACCTGCCACACAGGTCTGTAGGATAATTTGTTCGTTGTTTCGTCGAAAAATTTGCCGGTGGTTTTCTGAAAACTATGGACGGGCCGAATCGGTTGCGCTCGCAAACAACGCGCCATTGCAGGGTCCACATTGAGATAGGACAAGTGATACGTTGTACTGGTATCCAGCAGCTTCGATGGAGCCTTGTACAATCGTTCTGGTGCGAAGGACTTTGCACGTGGCGGCTGCACATATCTCTTGGCATACTGCGCACGAATAAGTATTAATAATCGGAAATTATTATGATCGTATATCATATTTTATAATATACAATTATAAAATAGATTGGCTATTAATAATTATCATGAAATCATATTAAAAATAATTAGATCTGAAAAATATCGGCGAGATAAACATTACTCTTGTCCTGCACGGACATGATTTCTTAGATGGTAAGGCTTTCCTCTTCGAGCAAGGCTCAAAAACCTCCATATCGCAGCTTTACTTCCTTACTTATCGTATCACATATATCACATATACACGAGATTGTGCATCAATATTATTATTTCTGCTGTAAACGGTGTATCGTAATAAGTATCAAGACATTAAAAATAATAAAATCGTATCTGTTGCAGCCGATGTTTCATAACATTAAAAAAAAATCTGATAAAATACGTTTGACACAACATTGCCCAGAACTAACTTCGTGATATATTCGTCGGAAAATATATCGTCGAGATATGAGTTTGAACTTGAATATGATCGTACGACTCTATTTCTCACGATAAATGTGTGTATTACAAAGAGAAAAGGAGCAAAAATACAATTTCATAAAAATTGCACTAGAAACTCTATTTACGTCTAGTGCTTCCGTAGGAATTTCATTTGTACTTAATAATTAGCGTTGTTATAACTACGTAGAATTTTTCTGTTATCAATACATGCGTGATGTGTGTATCACAGGACCACACTTTAAAAAATTTTATACAGCATTTTTTTTTAAATGTCCACAATCGTCATCTTGTAGAATAACTGTCATCTTTTCGATTACGGAAATAGAAGAAAGAAAATATCGCACATTTGAATGTGAATATAGGATATTTATCTTTCGATCTGTTTGAGCGTTAAGATGACGTTATTCTCCAAGATATTGATCTAAGAACTCTTTCCGTCATTACTAATTGGCACAAACTACAATATGTGTACGTGTGTGATGTGTATGTGTGTGTGTTTGTGTGTGTGGAAGACACAAAAGACGTATTTCGAGTGTGGAACTCGCGTCTGTGTCTTATTCATAGATTGTATATAATTTTATACGCCTCTTTTGCACTTCATTCGCATATCAAGCGCATTAAAAGAATCTCTGTTTTAACGTTATATATATATTTACTGTATACAATATAGTGTATGAATATTTTAATGTCCCAATTGAATTAAGAGAGAGAGAGATAGAGATTATAAATACAAGACAGCCTAAAAAGAACCAACCGTCTTCTCCTAATCAGTCCGCAGCCACGCGATAGAAATCAAACTTAAGGAAGAGAGGTAGAAATGTGTAGGGTAAACTTAAAAAAATAAGGTAATAACGTTATTCGTGGCGCGCAAGATAGTTCCATCGTGTAACTGACATCACTGACATGACACTGATTCACATGCACTCGCTTTCAAATCGCGTCTCTAACACCAGGAGAAGAACGGGCTCTTGTTCTGGAAGCGCTGGGTAAACGTGTCAGAAAACGAAAACAATCTGGGTGCGCCGTTTCCCTTGGCTCTGAAAATGCATTACGACATTAATAGACTTGTTTCTGTTGTTAACGATGATTAAAGCGCAATTACCACAATTAAAGCACTTGGGAGGCGTGGAAAATTAGTCTCAGAGCGGATAAGCTTTGAGAGATTTTAGAGATAATTACTTTCAATAATTAATACATGCTAAATGGGTGTTTTTTTTTTTTTAATTTTTCAAAAATTTTTATATCGCAGAAAAGCGCCTGATGTATTCGCGTGGTGATTCATCACCGTTATCATGTTGTGTAAAAATACGTACTTTTCCACAATTACAGCCGGCATTTGTACCAATTGTACAGGACTCTTGGCGTCTTTCAGAGCCTGTTGTAAGTTCAAAATCTGTCCGCGCATCACACTCATTTGCCTATCAAAGTGGTGCCGGTCGAAGCCCTTATCTTGCTGCAAAAGTAGATATGCAAATTATGTATCATATTACACGAGCAAGTAGAGAGATAACACGATATAACAATCGTTCTCTTCTAAGAATATGTGTAGCGTACCTTGAACAACTGATACAGATCGTCACAGAGATCCTGTACAAAGTTCTGGTCCGAAAGCTGCGGTAGGACCAATTCTCTCGTGATTTCGCTGAACGGCAGCTTCGCCTGGGTCAACCACGCCCAATGGTAAGGATACGCCCGCCAAGAATCCGGATGCTTAAAGGGGAAGGCCAAGCCGTTGTCTATCGCCGCGATTTTCACCTCGCCCTGCTCAGACCCGTTCTTGTTGACGCTGGCATCGTACTTGATCAGCCAGTTGTCGTTACCTGCAAGATTTTAAGGAATGAGAAACGAGGCAACCTGACATTATCACGGGCGCAGAGTCGCATTTATAATTTATTTACCCCTGTCCGTATTTCTGATGATATAATCCAGAATGACCAAACGTTCAAATTGTAGTTGAAACTCCCGACTCAGACGCGCCGGCATGGGCTCGCTCTCCCACCGCCTCAGCCAATAGTCGGCGTCCTTGTAACCGTCCACGAAGACTTGGAAAGAACCGATTTTCGGGGGCAGGCCGATGCGGTTGAAATGCGACCCCACCGTAGGAAACTGGTCCATGATCGCCTGCTTCATGCGCGCCTTCTGACGATCCAGACGCGGATAATTAAACACCTCACTCACAAGCTTCACCACTCTTGTATTCGGCACGATGCCCAGGCCTAGCTTGCGGTCGACCAAGCTGGCGCCCGCCTCGCTCAGGTATCCCTGATTCGGAATCAGACAGCTCCTGCCAAAGCAGCAGGGACAGCAGAGCTTGTGCATCCATTTCGTCCACTTTGGATTCAGCCTGCCATAGGGTTCCTCATCTTTCGGCTTGAATACACCTATTATTTTCTGGATGAAACAGCGTGACATTAGCGACACTTGCATACTACTGGTTTTCATGAATGCGAAACTATGAGAATTCAAAGAGTTCAGGAGAAATTTCTCCTTATTTTCGAAAAGTTTAATAGTACAGCTTACCCCGGCAGGATTTTTAACAAAATAACTCCCACTGGAACCTTGGTATATCCTTTCTGGGTAAACTCCATTGTCTATTGCACACTCAGCTTGCCATACCAGTTCCGAGAACTGTGGATCATCTATAACACAGATATATATATATATATCAAATGACTAACTCTGCATATGAGATAGCACTATAACGATGATTCTTAGATCACTAGATCATGAATCACCAATGACACACAGCTATGAAAAGTGAAGGGACACTGTTGCACCGTTAGAACCAAGAGGAGACACAACAAACCTGGAAATCTGTTGAACGTGACGTCGAGCTCCAAGCGACCAAGGAGAGGCTGGCTCTCCCGGTCGATCCCGGAGGAATCTATGGCTAGGGTTTGGTCGTTGCTCAAACCGGGAATGAACTCGACGTCGGGCAGAAGATCCGCCGACGGCGGTGGCTGGTCGCACTGCGTTGACAAACGCTGATGGTTACTGCTGCTGACAGGTGCGATGGAAAGGTCAACCAGCGCATCGGTCTCTACCAAAGCGGCAGCGGCGGCGGTGGCGGCGACGGCGGTGGCAGCGACGGCGGTGGCGGCAGCGGGAGCGGTATTGTTCTGGCTTTGGTACTCTCGATAAGGCACGTGCAATTGCTGCTGTTCGGAGTCGCTCATCACAGACTAATCACGCTTCTTAAGCCGATCCGCCCCGCGATCAAAGCGGACCTCGCTTGACGATTTCAGCTGCTGAGGAATGATTTTCGACTTTGGCTCCGACCCTGAGAAAAAATCCTATCTACCTTGCAAGCATTCCCGCGAGTTCTCCTTCGCCTGTCAGCGACGTAGCGTATCCGACTTCGATTTTTCCGTGTCACAATATGTGTCAGCGTATGACGGACGCATTAACATCGTCGCGTGTGCGTCATTCGGATCACGCGTCTTGTGTAGCGTGGTATAGCTCAGCACACGCAGCCTGCGATCATCGGTGACAACGGTGACGGGGAAAGGAGTGCCTGTTGCGATCTAACCCGATTAACCAAAATGCGACCCGTCATCCCATCGGCGGACGCTATCAGCTGATAGGATTACCGCCATATTTGCACGACGCGTATGCACTTTTCTCTCTCTCTCTCTCTACCTCTTCTTCTTTCTTTCACGTCGTCTGGTGCGACTGCACTTCTGCATTCCTTACTCACTCATTACGTCATTACACGAAATTGCGATTGATCTTTCATGCGAATTCTTTAGTATTGCTAGAATAAAAAATTAATTTTTCAGTGAACGCGGATTGAAGATTGATTGACGTCATTTCATCGTTTTCGCCAATAAAAGATCAAAATTTATAGTAAAATATTAATTGATCCGAGATGGATCAAAATCCGTTCATTTGAAAACGCTAAGATTGAAGATTACATCATTAAGCTCTATAATTATTATCAATTATCATCATTAAACTTCTGGAATTACTCCAGTATGTATAGAGCTCAATGGATTACATACAAAGATCGCAACCATTGAACGAGCACTTGCTAAACGGAACATATTTGAACAGAAACATAACTTTTTTGTTAGCGCAAGTTAAATCATCATAACGTTGTTAAATCATCATAACGTTGCAATTAATATGTTCTTGCAAAATTTTTGAAGAATATCGTAGAAAAATACTTTAAGATATTTGATTTAGTTGTGTAATTATACTTGTTAATTTGACAAAAAAATTATTTTGCTGAAGGTGTTAAAATGGTTGATGCTGTAAAACATAGTTACTAACAAACAAGAATTATTTGTGAAATAAATATAATATGAAATATATAAGTACAGTATCACATACTATTAATAAATTGGAATAAACATTATTTAAACATTTAAAAATTGCATCACAATTTCTTTGTCCAGCATTAGAAAACCATTCAATTTCTCACTAAAGGTCTTCATTAATATTATAAATTCTATTTTCATGTCACTTTTCTGTATCTGAAGATATATTAATCTTGGGTCACAGCAAAATTAAAAAGATTTTTCGCTGTTTCACCATGGCTATCTTGATGTTTTGATATTGAGCGACGTTTTTTTGGCGTTACATTCAATCCTTCATAACTCATGTTTGGGCTGCACGATGTGTTATCTGAAAGCACATACACTAAATTAGTTTTAATTTGCGAACAATAAAAATTTTAAACATTAGCATATTAAAAATGTAAAACAAACTTATAGAATGCTTTAGTCTCAATTTGGAATGCTGTAATAGTCGAGAATACAAAGGCGAGAGCGGTTTTCCATTGTATGTAATTTGCTCATATTTGATAGAATGTGCACGGGGTGACAGCCATCCGTTCATATTGTTCCAAGAGCTGCTGAAATCCGATAATGCTCCTTGTAACGTGGATGATGGACAATATTTGCATTTGTATTTCTTAAATAAATGCTTATGTTTATCTGGAAATCGTGAATACATTTTTGTGATAAAAATTTATTCTTTATTTTAAAACAATAAAATTCTTTAATTGATAATACCTCGAATTGGAGATAAAGACAACTTCTCGTAAAGATTATCATCCAAACATTGATTAAAGTTAAAATCAATCTTTGGTGATTGCAAGGACATGTAGCGTTTTGCTGTCAGTATACTGTTTGTATCAAAATTGGAAATATTTTCAATTTCTCGAAAGATATATTGTTCATCTTGAAATATGTTGCTAATTCTTGTGTTCATTGCAGTAAATAGCGTTTTCAGAGATTTTATATTTTTGCAAGCATTTTGAATGTATAGTAAGCATGACGACAGATCTGAGAAATTGGCAGTGTTTATACGATACTGTATTTGTATGAATGATACATAGAGCAATGATAGCAAAGTAGACAATATAATGGAGCCATCCGCATATAAATTACAGTTCAAATGCTTAAATAAAAAAAAGTTTCCTGTAAAAATTGCATAATTATCTTATTTGTATTTTGAATTATATACTTACCAAGTAACTATCACAGTTAACTTTAGGAAATTTATTTCCATCAAGTATTTCAGAATTTGAGTTTATTCCCACAATAAGTTTGCACAAACGATTGCAGGAGTCTTCCAATTTTTTTAATTTTTCATTCTTCCTACGTATATATTGCATTTTCTTCAAAATTTCTATTTTCCATACTGCAAAATTACAAAAATATAAAATATAAAAATAATAAATTATTAAAACAAATGTTTGTAAAACACTAACAGCTTATAATTTTAGAGTCTTCAACATTCATCAGTTGTTCTTGAATCAATGGATAAGTTAGAAGATTAGAAACTACCCTTTTTAAGTTTTCTCTTCTATCAAAAATCTCTGATTTATAAACACTTAATATCTTAATCTCATTGCTAAAATATACAAAAAACAATTATTTAAATTATGAAAATTGAAATTATCCCTTAATCACATGGGTAAAAATAGTCATCAAAACTTACTGGAGAAAGTTATTTGCAGCATCCAAAACTCTTTTCGTTTTCTTATGAGTCTCTGTCATAACATTGTGTTTCTCTGCAATTATGTTATTAAAGTATGTTATTGTTAAATCATCCAATGGACTTGTACGCGGGGCATATAGCAATTCTTCTTGAACTAAAAAAAAATTTTGATTTAACTAATGGCTTATACATAATACAGCTAAGCTTTTCTTAAATGAGCACATTACTTACATTCTCTTTTAATATAAGCTCTGAGAGCAAGTTGTGATAATTTCCACATAATAATTAGAAATCTGGTTCCTCCTGACTGGATCAAATGGGACATCAATACTGGTGGAAAATTAATATCAGGATTGTCTTGCGATAAGACAAAGAAAAAATCTTTAATTTCTGTACGATACTTTACTTCATCCTTTTTGCACAAGACCGGCCAACTGACCATTTGCTTAAAGAGCTTCGAGTCATATATGACTGACAGATAATGAGATACGTGTAAAAAGCCCATTGTATTTGGCTTGTCAAACATATTCTGTCAAAAGAATACTTACATGAAAAATTTGCAACTTACGTTGAAAATTAACAAAAAATGCAGATGTATAAAGTTAAACAAAATTAATACTTATGATTTGTTTTCGTACTTTTTTGAAGCATTGCTGAAATTCAGAAGACGGTGGTAGCACTCGCGTGAGTAAAAATACATTTTTATAAAATGACGAACTAATAGCTGTAATAACTTGATTTTCTTCCAGTCTGTTCATTATAATAACGTTTAAATAAATTTGATTAAAATTCGTTTCATCAGTTTGCTTATACAGCATGTTCAATCATTTAACTTATACTTTATCACCTAAAAAAAATTCTTATGTTTGTAAACAAAGTATCTCCCATAGACTCAAGAATACAGTCAAGTGAACACTCGCTATAATTCTTGAAAAGGCTCACAACATTAAGCCAGCATCAGACTATGCAATTTTCATACAATTTATTACAGCGACTTAAGCCTGTCTTGTTGCAGCATCTCGCATGCGATATAGTAAACTACTAAAAATGCACCATACAGCACACAGTATTTCTAGTAATTTTCACTAGATTGCATGCAAATTTCTTTAACAAATTGTAGAGTCTGATGCTAGCTTTATAGAGCTCAATAGATAAAAAGATGATAAATAGATCATGAATTTATCAAAAGTATTTAGTTGAAAGAATATATTGAGTCGAAAACGTTATAAGAGGAAATGAAAAACGAAAACTAGAAGAAGCAACGAAGTGGAAGCAATAGAATAGAAATAAAAACACGGTTTTTCATTAAAAAACAATGAAAAAAAAGATAGAAAAATTTCTTTGTGCATAAAATACGCAATATAAAAAAATTACTTTGATTTTGAGTTTGTATCTAAAAATTCAGTTTAAATTCGAAAATTCGGTTTAGTTTAGTTTACTAATCGTAAGATGCATATTCACAAAAATTTTTAATAAGAATATTGTTGTTAATAAAATAATTTACGTCAAAAAAAAAGCAAGCAACGAAAATTTAACAACAAACTCTTTTAGCGTTTTCGATTATACAGGATTTGAACGACCCAAGATTGGTTAATGACGTCATTGCAACCTCTCCACCAATGAAAGACTTGCATTTATAGTAAAATAGTGATTGATCAACCCTAGATCGTTCAAACCCCGTTTATTCGAAAACACTATTTGATTCTTTGGTGAACAGTTTGGTGTTTGTGATTATTAAAGCCAATGTCCACGATGCTAGAAATCGGTCCGACATCTCATTCCGAAAAATTTATAACCAATCACTTGCATTTTTTATGGAAATACGGCAATTTTATTAGATATATGTTTCTCGGACCGATTTCTGTTGCATTGTGGACATTAGCCTTTAGAATTATAAAATCGGACAAACATATACAAGGTGCTCGATCACAGCACCACGCGGTTACAGAATCACGCGTTAGTCGTTTCAGAAAGAATTATGGAGGCTTTGTGTAGTTTTTATATAATACAAAAATAATAAACATAATTTTTACAATTTTTGTAAGAAAAAACTATTTATTATGGTTTATATGTTGTTTAATAGAGCAAGATGAATTGGTGAGTAACACAATAAACACATGCATTGTCGCTCTCATAGCGTTTTCGACTGACCGGATTTTAATCGATCCAAGTACGATTAATGATATTATTGTATCTTCTCCGTCAATAAAAGACTTCAATTTATATTAAAACAGGGATTCATTGATCTCTGATGGATTAAAATTTATTTAGTCGAAAACGTTTTTAGCGTTCTCCATTAACCGATCGTTGATAATGTAAATGTCTTTAAATTAAATTCTAGGGACTTTTGATTCTATACGGAATCTTTATCTTTAAATTCACCTAGCGGCGAATGAATGGACTAGTAAACCGACTAGTGAACTTGTGATGAATTGATATATGAAGTATATAGATATATGATAAATCAGAGTCAACGATAACTGATAATTAGTTAACCTATTTATATGGCTGTATATTGACATTTCAATAAGCAATTGACAATAGATAATGGCGTCGGGATTAGAGAGCTACGTAAATCGTATCCTTTTTATTATATATATACTTTAATTCAATTGTGACAAGGCATGATGAATATGTTAACCTAAACCAAAACATTGTTTATAGATACAGTTTCTATTATTACGTCGGACGGTAGAAATTTTATCGTAAGTATATTAATGTGCAGAATTACAAGTGCATCAATTTATGTATATAATTTATCTATAACGATTGTGAATGTCAAAATATATTTAATTATCAGTGTAGAGTGACTAGATGGCAAAGTGCAATGTAATGTTTATATTGTGCTACCTTGTTTTTTCATATCAGAGGATTGCTAAATTTAATTTATTCTTATGATACTTAGAATATAATTTAATTTTTAAAGATGTTTCATATATTTTGTTTATGTGTAAATAATACTTAAATGAGAGAATTTATAGTTATACACAGTTCTGTGTTTATTATAATCCTATGATTTAATTTCAAATTTAGCTTCTATTTTCAGGGAACATTGAAAGGTTTTGATCAGACTATTAATATAATTCTGGATGAATCACATGAAAGAGTGTACAGTACAACACAAGGGGTGGAACAAGTTGTTTTGGGTTTACACATTATTAGAGGAGATAATGTGTGAGTATAACCATTCGAGATAAATTGTACAAAATGTAGTGTCATGTTATAATTATGTTTCTTCATATTATTACACCAATATTACTATAGAAAAATAATTTTATTTTACACTATTGTTTGTAAGAAAATAAATACTAAACATAAGCATTCATAAAAAATATACAGTACTTAATTTATATTTCTTTTTCAGAGCAATAGTAGGAGAATTAGATGATGAAATGGATGCACGATTGGATTTATCAGCGATACGAGCTGATCCTTTAAGTTCTATTATACATTAATAAATATACTTAAAATTGCAGAAAAAATTACCGCTGGTTCCAATTTTAATTTCTCGTTCCAAATTTAAAGTAAAAATCAAATGCGTTAGAAAAAAGAGAATACAAATTTTTCCACACAGATTGTATATTGTATAAAAATCATTTTTTCATATATATATATGTATAAATATATATACATATATATATATATTTAATATATATATGTATATATATATATATATATATATATGTAGACACCTTTATCTCTTATAATTGTATTTTAAAAAGTGCATAAGAGTGTTAATACAGCATTATTTACATCATTTAAACAAAGCACTGAGAGCTTACGTTTGAATTCTCGTCTGTACAAAAATCTTATACAATATTTTATTCTTTAGAAATATAATTTAGCTCTATACCATAAAGTAGCAATAGTAATAATAATAATAATAAATGAAAATATAATTGCAATATATATTAACATTGCATAACATTCAAATAATTCGGCAAAAATTTAAATATCCTGTGTTCATTCTTAGATTTCTTCCGAAGAAAACGTACTTCTAGAAATCTCTGCCTTTTTATCGCAGTATATTATTATTTAAAGTCGGACGTACAAGTCTGTGTACCACCAAAAGATAGAGGAGTAGAGGAGCTACAATAATTTACATCGGAGGTATGCGAGAATACGGAATACTGTATGTTATTTCAGGTATCGAGAGATCTCGAGTGCTAATGTCATCTGCAGAGGATGAATTGAGCGAAACAATACCAGAATTTACATGCGCCCGCGTACCTCACTTCTATTAAGCGTAGAAAAGTATCTCGTTACACACGTCATTTTACAAAACCGCTACGTTTTTTTTTTTCTTTACAAAATATTGCATTTCACATTAGTCTCTAATGTCTAATGCGGGATGTCCCCACGGTCGCGGATAAGGATGTGTATGTCGATTTATGAATAGCTCGAATCGCGAGCACGAGTGTCGCACAAGCTGCGGACGCTTTCGTATGGAAGACAACAAAACTATCAACTCAATTGTTCCTATCATCTCTTCTCGCTCCTGATTATTTTGGCGCGACTTACGTGTACTAAGTATCTATAGAATCTATTTATTATTAATGAATGGATACATATTTTGTAGTCATTGTCTATGTATGTATAAATATTTCTTATTTTATCGGAACATATCTATCTAGCGTCGTTGAGAATTATGCGACAACTTACAACTACAGTGATGGATGTATTTGTAAGGTATGTTTTCTCAGTGTGTTGGAGCGCGCGGACTTTCAGTGCACACTGGAAAATCGCGCGTGTGTGAGCATTGTATGTGGCAAAAATTTCTTTCGCTGCATTATCAAACTGGTTTAAAGATTACGTATGATGCGTCATTGATTCTCCCCGTCGCTTGTTAGATTTCAACTTTATAGATTCCTGATCTATCAATTGCAATTGTCATTGAGCGTACAATACAATAATTATTCATCAGAATTAGAATTTTTCTTCTCGAATAAATAAATCTACCGATTTTATCTTAATATAAATAAAAAAAAATGAATAATAAAAGAAATCGTATAAATATTTAAGTTTATATAAACTGGTTTACAAATTTATAAAGAATAAATTTTTAGAGCTACACAAGTATGCCGCCGTTATGTTTTAACACCACCAAAAAAGGAAATCGGAAAGACTTGAATGTGCGATCGAGAGTGATACGCAATGCATACACTCGCTATCGCTCGTGAGAATTGTCATCAGGTACTCAGTCTATGTACCTACTTTCCTTACTACGCCTTTCAATTGTTGGTTACCATGTTGGTCCGGTTGCGATTCCGCCGACGGATACGGCCGCCGCGCTGTCTGTTGCCGCCCGCGACCCAATCCGGGCCGTCGCCGCCCATCGGGCCGAAATTCGGTCCGTTCGACGCGTTCGGATTGAAGCCCATCATACCGGAATCGCCGGGACCTCCAGGCCCGCCGAAGTTGTTAAAGTTGCCGGGATAAGGCCCGCCGCCCTCGTAATTGTCCGGCCCGAAGTTGACAGGGGCCGGGCCCAAGAGTCCAGCGCCGTTGTTGCGCTGCACGTTGAATCGCGGATCGAAGTTCATCTGATTCTGCGGCATCGCGACGGGTCCGTTCATGCCCATCGCCGCGCCGGGCGGCATGCCCATGGGCGGCATATTCTGCGGCGGCATGGGTCCGGGATTCATCATCGGCCCCATCGGTCCCATGTTGCCCATGCCCATCGGATGATTCGGGCCCATCGGGCCCATCATGCTCTGCGGCGGGCCGGGTATACCGGCGGGCATGCCGGGCGGCCCCACCTGCATGCCGGGCGGGCCAAGACCCATGTTCGGCCCCATCGCGTCCATTGGCTGCGGCTGCATACCCTTGGCCATCATGGAAGCGTTCATCGCGTTCTGCGAAGATTGCTGACTGGAGGCGGCCGCCTCGAGCGTCTTCCGTCGCGGATCCGAGCGGACGCACTGCGTCGGCGGCGGTGATTTCGGCGTTTCTTGCTTCATCTGCGGCGGCGGCGACATCGGCGAGTCAGCCAGCTGCTCGGGCTTGGCGATACGGAAGATCTTGCGAAGACGTGGATCGTATTTGACCTGCTCATCGTTCTTCGTCAGCTTAAGACCGGTGTAATCCGGCCTGGGTATGTCGACCACGTACACCTTGTACGTCATCGGCGGATGCGATGCGATACTCGCGTTGATCTCGGTGCACGGTATGTGCGAGGGAGCTGGTTTGAACGGCAGGCTAAGTATCTGCCGCAGATCCACGTCGGACTTGACGCGAAGATCCGTATCGCCGAAATCGCTAGTCTGGAAACGCTGCCGGAAGTCCATGTCCTGCCGCCTGAGATCCTGATCCGCCCTCGTCCGGAGATCCGTATCCATGTTTGCGTCCACCGACGTGATGCCGGAACTGTAGATACTCGTTTCCAATCTAAGCGGCTTCTCTTTCTTGACGTCAGATATGATTGGGCTACTTGGTTTCTGCTCCGCCTCCGCCCGACGTTGTCTGGGATCGCGATTGGACATCCGCGGATCTCTGGATACAGGCATGGAACTCGGGCCCGGCGACCGTCTCGGACTCGACGACGTCTCGCCGTCCATCTTGGAATCTTGCGTCGATTTAGCCTTCGCGTCTTGACTCGATGCTTGCTGGGTTTTACCGCCCGTCGAGCTCTGAGCTTTCAAGCTCGACAGCAGCTTGGACACCTCAGCGCTGATGTCGATCTTGCTCAAGTCGCCTAGTTTGTCCACGATTACTGCCGGTTGAGGTATGTTCGGCGCGGGTGGTGTCGATTGGATGTCGTCCACGACGACGTTCTGGGTCTTCTCAGTGGACTCAATATCGTCCTTTGAACTGTCGACTATGGTGAGATGGCCGCTTTCATCGTCGTCGTCGTCGTCGTCCTCATCGTCCGAATACCAATCCTCAATGATTTGATCGGTGCGACGCGAGTCGGATTCGCTCTCCAAATTCTTAAAGCTATCCTGCGCCGCGCGTTGTTGTTGCTGTATTCGCATGAACAACTCTTGCGCCTTCTTCGGCAAATGAGGCGGCGCGACCTCATGATCCTCCAAAGAAGACGAGAAGGAAATGTTGTGAAATTGATCACCTATTAAACATAATCAAATGTAGAATTCCGTCCGCATCATTAGTTCGTATTCAATTAATTTTACTTGTATAGATAATCTTCCAAATGATATTAATAGAAATCAAAATTACCAAGTAGTTCGTACGAGTCGAATATTACTTTGAAGAAGAATAAAATTATAAGCATATTTTTATATTAATTTCTTACTTTCTTCATCAGGATTTCTTCCTCTTTCCTCATCTTCGGCTGGCATCTCGATAACAAGATCCGATTCTTCGTCTTGATCGCTCTCGTCATCGGGTTTGTTTTTCGTTAGATTCGCTACTTTGTCCGCTATCATAACGGATGGTGTTTTCTTTGCGTTCAGTAATTGCCTCAGGTCAACATCCTTTTTCTTTTTCGTCTGTTAAACATAAATAAAGTAGAGTTAATGCACCGATTTTGTATTTTTTTAAATTTTAATTAGTATTGCAATTTGATACTATCGGTTTATATGTTTTACCTCGTCCAATATGTCTTCTTCTCCAACGTCCTTCGTAAAATCTTCTTTCGATTTGTGCACAGCTTTACTTGATTCCATACTTCTTTCGCTATAGAAATCTAGAGGCGCCATTGATTTTTGTTGCTGTGTGGCCAAACCTAATGCGGCATTTGGAAGTTGAAGACCGAATTCGTTTGCCGATTGCATTAGCATAATCTGCTCGTAAGGAACTCTGTCCTCGTCCGATCCCCATCGCGTCTTCTTTCCGGAAGGTTTCCTCTCTCTCGCGTGCGCCTTTTGTTGGTTGTGTTGTTCTTCTATTTAATGGAATAATAAGTAAAATTTTAATCGGATAAAAAGGCAAAATTTTTAGTACAAAATTATTTTTTTTAGTTACCTTTTTCTTCTTTTTCATCCATCTTTTCTGTAGATGCTGATAAATTCAATTCCAACAGACTGGGAATTTTCTGATTTGCCGTGTCTTGGCCTTGTGCTAAACTACGTGCAGTATTGTTTATCATTAACATTGCACCTTCTCGGCTTAATCGTGGAAAATCACCAAGAATTTCCTTCGGCGCAGTTTCCAAGTGTTTCAAGAGAATGCTCTTCACCTAAAACACAAAAAATATTTCAATAAAATTATTTCAGTAACAAATTTAACTTATTCTGTTCCTAGTAGTATCGTTAAATTTTTAGTTATATGTCTATATAATATTCTATTGTAAAATATCATACATTATAAGATTGTAAATTATAAAATTGCTGTACCTGGTCACTTAAAGGCTGATGTGAGAATTTACAATTATCGCCGTGCATGCATTTTAAACCGGTATGGAAGAACTTGCATGGAAAATCGTGGTGCATATATAGACATTTATCTCGTTTTGCACAGCAATCCATGAGATAAAACTTGCATAATTCCATCTTTCTGGGTGGCAGGGCGTTATGAGAAAACGGACACTCGTCTCCCCTATGACACTTTCCTTGCATATAATATACACAAATCGTGTCAGTATCTTGATCGTTGTTCTGTTGCCTACGACCATTTCGGTCGTTTCGATTCTGGCCCCGAGCCTTGTTTTTACCTCGTTCGTTCTTACCACCGCGACGCCCTGCAATAATACGTGATAGTTAACAATGTTAGAAACAATTACATGCATATTTCTAATAGTTTACGTAAAAGTTTATTTTGCTGAGTTGTTCAGAAAGCTTTCCACTTTTTTCAATTTTATTTTCACAGGAAAAAAATCAATAATTGTGAAATTATAATTCAAAAAATCAATATTTTATATTTTAGTTACGTAAGTCTAATTTAGAAAAATATAAATTAAATCTTCGTACTCACCACCACCGCCTCCTCCCCCGCCACCGCCTCCTCCGCCACCACCGCCTCCTCCACGTTGGTTGCTGCGTTTGTTTTCATTTTCTCTGTGCCGATTTACACTAGGCCTTTCTTCATAATCCGAATTGTTGTCAAAAGTTTCGTGCTCGTTAGCACGCTTGGGAGAATTATTTTCTTGAGAATTCTCCTTCCTGATAGGCGAGGCACCTCGTACAAACAGCATTTCATCTTCATCCTCATTGGTGTTCTCGTCATCACTCAATTTTCGTTTCTACAAAGCATCATAAGAATCAATCAGTTGTAGAACATAAACAACTTTTATACTTAGTGCTTCAAAACAAGCTCAGTATAAAAACAACAATTAATGTTTCTTTATGAAATTTGTCATATATGTATTTTTTATTAGACATTTCTTTCATTAGTAACTTATGTATTTTTTACTTAGCTAATTTCATTTTAGCTTTACAGCCAAGAAGGGGATGTGTATTTACCTTTTGATCTTTAACACGATCTTCCTCTCTCTCATCGCGTATTCTCTTCCGAACTTTGTTCCTATTGTTCTTCTTTGTCTTCGATTCCGGATTCCTGCCTCCATCCTCTTCCATCGCAGCCTTGATGGCTTTCTCGACATCTCCAGCCCAATCTTCAGTTGGACCTTTGTACTTCAAAAACCGATCATGCTTACCAACTGCTTGTGCAGACTGCTGCTTTTTGCTTTTGTTGAATTTTGCATCAAAATTCTTATTCTTTCCAGAATCTGGCTTTGGCATCGGCTTGGCAGTCTCTGTTGGTTGCGCAGCGTCATTTGCTGCACAAGTGCTTGGCTCATCATCTTCGTCTGATGGAATCTCACCATCTTCCAAATCATTATCATTACTGCTGCACATTAATAAAAAAGAGAAATTAGTTTGAGAACATAAAAGTATGGTAGAAATTTTGAAAATCACCCTTTATATATTGATTTATCACATTAGTCAGTTATGTATGCGGACTATATTCTCTATATTCCATGTAGCAATTTTTCAATTCACTATATAAAGGGTAATAATCGTGTAGTTATAATTTGTTTCATTAAATAACAAGATGTTCCCCAATTCACAATGGCTGCAACGATGACAATAACTGCTTTTGTATATTCCCGTGTCTCTCTTTCAACATTTCTCAGATATTGAATATATTATTCTTTATAATTTATACATAATGTGTATATATATATATATATATATATATATATATATATATATATATATATATATATATATATATATATATATTACATAATATAGAATTAACATTATTAAAAAATTAATACTGTTCCTTCCATGCATAATATATTATTGTCAGATTCCTGATTCTGAGCATAATAAATTATGAAAGCAAATATACAAAGTATCTTGTTAGCATATAACATGCAAATTTCTTTTTTCATTGCTCAGTGTTTAATACAAATTCCCGTATATAAAATGAAGATGAAGATCTGATGATGTTCATTTTATGAGAATACATCTCGAATTGTCAAACACGTTATTGATAAAATATATATACGTTTCATCGACAAATTAATCGGCATAAGTACAACCGTCATATCGAATGTCCTACGATCGCATTACGAACTTCTATAAGAAAAAAAACGCATCTCTCGACGCAGTATTATCACCTCATCATATTTCATAATAGCCTGTCTGTCGGGCTATCGCGTGTGCCTGTGTGTCGTGTCTGTTTGTGGGCTAAAAATGACGCCGAGGAGAGATCATGAAGATGGACTCATGATTGTCGCCAAGGACAAATTGATAGCGCAAGAGCAGTCATTGAACAGGTCGACGGACTATATACGTCGCACGGGGGACAACTCTCGAGAGGGGAAAGTCCGCTTCGGATCGAGCGGGCTGTAACGTGGCGGCGTCGCAGGCCTACTGGCCGTGCTGAAAACATCCGATCCCCGGAAAACGAGACCGCGAGTCCAGCATATTGGCGCGAAACAAAGTTGCACACCCGATGGAAGCCGATCGATGACAGCAATTCGGCGGGAAAACGCGCAGCCGTCTGTTTACGTAAAGAGGCCTCGTTTGAAAGACGATTACACGTAAACGTTTGTCCCACAAACAGACGAAGAAAAGAAAACAGAAGAATAATATCGGTGTATAATTCAACGAATTTAGATTTCGCGAAAACGATCTCCACGTTTATCGCTAACGACAGAAATAGAATCGATAGTAAAACCCACTCGTCCACAATTCTGTGGCGTAGGAGACTCGACGCGTAATTTCAAGCCTTGAAAGCAAAACGGAAGACTCACGCCAATGTGATACATTTATAACTTTGTTACGTAATCGATAAGTGTAAATAAAAAAAAAATTGTAATGGAAAGAAAATTTACTGAATTCCAAAACCGATATGCATAGTTTTATGGATCCACACAGATTCGGACGTTCGAGATAATCCTTGCGTTTACTCGCGCACGGACAAAACGAAGCGCACCAGGCCTCTCTTTCGCGCACCTATGGCGCCGGAAAATGGACTCACCGAAGTTACAATCGTCCTCGAATTCCTTCTCCCCGAATTCCTGCTTGTAAAATCATCCATTTCGTGAATCATCGATCGATAGCTGAATTAATTTATGCATGGCGACAGGTCGCCGCAGAATCCGAGCAAGAGTAAAAAATTGGTATTGTCTTACCGCATCTCATTGGATCATCATTATCATTAATTTATCATCATCATCATCATCATCATCATCATCATCATCATCATCATGACCAATTGTCATAATCAAGTCATAATAGCATACATGGAAGGAACCATCACATTCTCAATAGTTGTCGCTGCAGCATTGTCGATTTAAAGGCGATATTAAAGCCGATGATGTCGATGGGACGATTACGCTGAAAAGCTCTTCGCGTGTCGATTTTCGTTCATTGAAGGATTTTTCTTTGTCTGCCATGTATGAATGCGTGTGTGTGTTGTGTATCTGTGTGTGTGTGTGTGTGTGTGTGTGTGTGTGTGTGTGTGTGTGTGTGTATGTATGCTTGCTTGTGTGAGGAAGAAATCTAAAGACCTCGTAAACGTTTGATTGCTGTCGTAGGAGAATGTGTATTCAGTGACTCAGATCTATCGCGCTTTATCTACGTATTTTTTGTGATAATTCTTCATACGATAAAATTTCATTTTATCCACTTCTCTCACATAACTGACCTCATCAACCTTTTCTTTAATTAACTTGACTTTCAACACTAAACAAGCAGAGTTCTATTATGACTTGCATATTTCATCAAATTCTTTAAACATCAATTTTAACGTCTAAGAATTTTGTCATCACATTTTTATGGAAGAATAATTTACTTTAATCGGAAAATTAATCGAAGAAATAAAGCGTGGTAAGTCTGAGACGTTTCAGTGTCATCGGAGAAAGAATTGCAAGGTTATTCGTCTCTTTCCGTCCTATTTATGCACAATGTGTGAATCGGTATATATGCATGTAATCGATAGTATTTGTCTAATCAATCTTTCTGTAAGGAGGTGAAAGAAGCTAAAGGTTTCAACCAGAAGTAATCGATATATATTCCGCGCGACGTTTATGCCGTTATTTGCATTGTAAGAATGCGTCGACGAATCAGAAATCTCGAACTATTTTCACACGCAATTGTTTACAGTAATTATTTTTGAATCGAAGATTGCACAATTACTCGCGAAAATCAAAGTGAGCTGTTCTCCTTTCGCGTGCTCGCGACCTCGAAATCTAGGTCTGTCGAAATTCTACCCGGCTTTCAATCGTCTTTCTACAAATAAAGGGAAAAGCGTATCGTGCGGTAACGCGACTCTCCCACGGACTCTCTCTCGGCCAAAAATTGCATCCGCGACCCAATTCCGAAAATAATCCGCTGGGTCTCCCGCGGGATCGCGATCAGCTCGAAAAATAATCGTTACTCGTGCCATTTCCGAGAGAACGTCATCAAAACGGCCTTGACCTTTAAATTCATGCCACTCTTGCTCGGTCGTCAATATCGATTTGACATGTTCTGAGAGGGGAAAAAAAAAAAAGGATCGAATATTCTAGAAATTGAAATCAATAAAACGTTCGCGTTCGGCAAAAAGGAGCGCAGCGTATTGAAATTAAATCGAATGCTCTTTTTATCGCAATCGGGTGCAATATATCGGTCGGAATGAGGGGGGGGGGAGGTTAGAAAGAAAAATATATCGCGAGTGGGAGCGAGGAAAGGATGTATAAGGAATGTCTATGCGTACGTGTGCGTGCGTGTGTATGCATGTATACGTATGTTTGCGCATTGTTGTCAATATGATAGTCACTCGCGAAATTCATGTTCGTTTCCGTCCTCATCGAGTAAGAAAAACTATGTTAAAGTATGTAGTATAGGTGGCAAACCTTTGGATTAGAGTCTCTGCCGCGGAAACACTCTCTACTGCCATTTTCGTATTGCGGGTTCCGCAGATCGATCTCGATCTGTGTTATTGCGCTCACGGAGTAAGCCCCGGAGTGAACAAGTTCTCTCTAATATTCAGCACTTGCGGCCGTCCGTCCGATCAGCCGGGGGGAAACGGCGATCATGCGATCGATTCGCCCGACCACACTCGACAGGTCTTTGCTCTGGCGTAATAATCGCGCTGCCCGAATGCTAGCATTTGTAGGAGCTTAACAAAACGCTGCTCCCCGCGCGTCGAATGTACGCATTAAAAGATTACTCGTGTTTTTTTTTTTTTTCTTTCTTTCTCCCTTTCTCCGTCGTATCTCTCTCTCTTTCTCTGTCTCTGTCTCTGTTTCTCTCACGCGCACCGATTCTGTTTTTACGAACTTACGACTGTTAACCGGCTCGATTTACCGAGAACGGGCTTCGCCCCAGGTTTTCCCTCGCACAAAGGACTCCCGCGGATCTTTCCCGGATGCGGTCTTTTTTTTGTGTCCCTTCAGAAGTTTCTCCTACCGAATGAATGAGAATATCGCACTTTCGGTTGCTTGGTTTTACCCTCTTTTTCTCTCCCTCGCCGTGGACAGGCGAATGCAATTTTCACTGGCGAGAGCGGATCTCTCTTTCTCTCTCCCAAAAAGCCCGTAAGCAAATGGATCTCGGTCAGATCATTGCGCGATCCTCCTTTTCTCGCCGTCGCGTGAACGACGTCATTCTGGCTGACGTGGCATACGGCTCATCCAGGCGACGAACGCTCGTGGGCGTCTCTTTCTCTCTCCCGTGATCGATTATCTTTCTACCTACTTCGCCCTGCCTGCCCGTCTGTCTGTCTGTTCTGCCCCCCACGTCGACGTTTCTGTGTGTGAGTGTGACGCCGTTGCGTGTACGACCTTTGTCGCGTCCGAAACGGAAGTGCGACGCGCTGAAAATGGAACGCGCGCGTGCGTACTCGTTGGATCCCGTCGGAAGAGAGACAAAAAAAAAAGAGGGGAAAAGAAAAGCGCGGCTCTTTTCCGCTGACAAGTCTTCCCAGTCCCTCCACCCCCAGCCCCGCCCGCTGATGATGACGCTTTCACTTCTGCGATTTTTCGATTACGAGAGCACGATTTTTCGGCAAACGAACGAACGGCGGATGGACGTTGTTTCCTTTCCTCTCTCTCTCGCCCGATAACGACGTACGGCTTTGTTCTCCCAAGAGAGAGAGACAGAGATAGGGAGCGATTTTTCTACAATTGCGCGCGAGCCCTTGCCAAGAGAAAGAATGACGAACGAGCGAATGAACGAGAGCGAATTTTCGTCGGCGAGACGGATAAACGGATGTGTCACGGAATCGCGTGGCTCCGCAGACGGAATCGGCGGAGCGATAACAGCAACGACAAACATATGTCTATCTCTCTTTCTCTCTCGTTCGCGTCTCCGCGTCGTTTGGTGATTCGGGTGTCTCTCAGCAAGAGCGTATTAACGGCATTGTGGACGTTTGCGAGTAAACGTGATTATTATTGCCGTAAGCAAGACGTAGAGATAATCGGATATATTACTGTCAGCAGGTGGTATAAAAATGTAGCAGTCTATAACGATGAAAACTTCGGAGATCAAACTAAACATGGCCACATCTGCAACTATTCTGAGCCTCTCACCCAGACGCCCGTCACGGGAACCTTCGGATGGCGGTGGCGATGAGCGGCGGGAACAAGCGAACAGCGGGTCAGGAGGGAAAACGACGCTCGTCGTCGTCGCCACCGGCCAATCGCGATTCGCGTTTACTGGTCACGTGAATGCTCGCCCTTCGTCCGCCTGTTCCGCGCACCTAAAGTTCCTCTTTCACTCGTCATGCGTCTCTTTCTCTCTCCCTCTCTCCTGTTCTCTCTCTCTCTCACGCTTTCACGCCCGATATCTCTTCACGTCGTGCGAAAGGAATTCCTGAATATCGCTGCAGCGCACAGCTATGCTCTGCTACGGAACTCCTGCGAAAGGCGCGACGCGGTTTACTACACGAGATAAAAACATGAGTTCGCGAGGCATACAGGTGCGTGACTCGGCGATTTTCCCAAGCACGCAATTACGATGACTAGCATAAAAAATATTTTCGGAAAATTCTGAATCTTCAATTTTGAAGATACTGCAATGTTTTGCCCGTTATTATTCGACTTTCAGATATTCCTGTTGGTTGTCGTATTAATTCAATAATTTTATTAAAATATTTTATACGCAACTCTTTTTTTTTTATAAATATATAAATAACTTTTTCACAAAACATAAGGTGCGACATTGTGTCGAAAGCACTAACAAACAGTATCATAATTGCATTTTTGAACAATTCTTTGGTACAGTCTCTTGCTAAATATGAACTAAATTACATATGAAAGGCTATTTTATTCTAAAAAAAAAAACTAAAGTTTGTTACTAATGTTAATTTGACGTTGATCTGAATATAATTCCCGATTCTAACATTTCGACTTTCAAAAAAAATTATTGTACAAATCAATTCCTCAAAAAGTTATAATTTTTTGCAGTTAAAATACTGTTATTGATATCACTGGAATATTTACAATGTCTTTTGAACTGTACAAGATGTAGAAATAAAGCGCTATCAAATTATTATATTTGTCCACTTATTTTACTTGTTCATGAGAACGATGATGGAAAACAAACGATATACCGCTAGACCAACATTGCCGTAATGGTATATCCGGCAAATGCCGTGCATTATGCGAGTGTCGCCATTCGGACAGGTCGGAGTTGCAGTCGGATTGCTCCGATGGACCTTTTACCTCGATGCCGTTGACACAACGTCTGCATTTGAACCTAAATAAATAATGACATTATTCTTGCTGCTTGAGTAATCCCTAAAATACTTCCAGCAGTCTTATTAATTTTGTACTTACTTTGCGTGCGTATCTGAAACCGTATTCTCTTCCAACTTGAACAAATCGCGAAGGTCATTTATGGTAAAATGCCTCGCCACATCGTCTTCTTGATCGACCACTGTGGAACTCAATGCTTTCTTATGAGCTTGTCTCTGAAATATTTTCTCTTCTATCGTTCCAGTCTGAAGAATGTAAAGCATATAAAAATCTGGTCATTAAATAATGAAAATATAACTCCTGCGTCTTTCTTAAGCATGTAAAGATTAAAAAAATATAAATATATTCATGAAAAATAAATGCTCATTAATTATTCAACATTATTATTCTGTTACTAACAGAAAGGAAACGATAGACGAAGCACGGCTTCTTCTGGCCATCTCTCCAAACTCTGGCCATCGCTTGGTCGTCGTTTGCAGGATTCCAATCAGGATCGAACATGACGAGACGATTCGCACCGATAAGATTCAAGCCGCATCCGCCAGCTTTCGAACTGAGCATGAAGATGAAATCGCTACTGCTGTCACTGTTGAAATTATCCACTACCTTTGCTCTCTTCTTAATCGTCATCGTACCGTCGAGTCTCACATAATTATAGGAACGTTTATGACAGAGTTTCTCAAATAAATCGAGAGTCTGAGTGTAATTAGACACTAACACTATTTTGTCGTTCGTTGTAGTTTTAATGGACGCCAGCAGACAATCCAAAACCATCAGCTTGCCCGATAATTCCGGTAGCAACACTCTGTAACAAAGATTTTCCATTATTGATATATTTAGCTTTTGTATTTTATAAAATTATAAATCAATCTTACCTTGTCGAGTAATTTGACGGTAACAATTGTGCAGCTTTCTCAAAGCCTTCTGCCCTCTCCATGATTTTATCATATATTAAGTCGGGATGATTGCACAGCTTCTTTAAGAGAGTTATAGCAGCGAGCGCAGACAAAGTGTTTCCCTTTTTCGGATTATCACTTTCTGTAAATATAAAAATCATACATTTTATCTCTCTTATACAGTGCTTGTCTTTATCTTCAAAATTTTTACCAAAACTATAATAAAAATATATACCTTCCATAGACTTTTTTATACTATCACTGTGTATGAAATTCTTGTAGAGACGCGTTTGCAGCTCTCCCATCTTTATGCATACCACGAGCTCGTGTTTCAATGGTAGATACTTTGAAAGTAGAGCACTGGTACGTCTAATCATACATTTATTTACAACGGATACTAATTCGGACAAACGTTCTTGGGCAAGCTCACGCTCTTTGTCTGTTGCAGCTGCGTCCTGTCCACGTAATATGGGCGTCTCAAACTTTTTCCGGAATTCCTGAAAAAATAATTTGAATAAGATGAGTTAAAATGCATATTGATAAATTATGCAGCGCTCTATACATTTCAATTACCTGTGCAGTTCCCAGTAATCCTTGATTAACAAAGTGTACGAGGGAAAAGTACTCCAAAAGATCATTTTGTATAGGCGTTCCACTGAGCAATACTCTCCTTTTAGCTTTTAAACCCATCAACGATTGATATGTTAAATTTTCCGAATTTTTTAAGCGATGACCCTCGTCGCACAATACAAGGCCGACTTCATCTTGATGCAACACGTGCGCGTGTAAGCGAAACGTTTCATAGCTTATAATGAGAATAGGAGTTACACATCTGCCGCCGTAAGTCTTCATAAAACCCATGAGGTTCCTGTCAATATCCGCTTTCTTTCCGCCATCAATAGTGAGAATTTTGACTCTGTTATTTAACCACTTGTTAATCTCATTGTACCAATTCTTCACCAAAGAGCTAGGTGCAACAATAATTGCTTTTTCTATTAACGGTTTAGCTTCTGGTCCTGTATAATGCAATCATCTTTTAAATATAAGTATTTCTTTGATTTTTTTAGTTTTATTAGTGACTTTAGATACTTTACCTTGTCTGAGCAACGTCCACAACAAAGATATACATTGCAGCGTTTTACCAAGTCCCATTTCATCTGCCATGATACAACCATGTGCATTTTCTATACGTTTACCTGTTACACATTCATACATAAATTTCACACCTTCACGCTGATGCGGCCTTAACACATTGCACAATACAGGGTCTACAACCACATGTACGAGTTGCTTGGATCTATTGAAATTGAATATTTAAAAAACATACACATTATATGGATTAAAGAAAATTGTAGAAATGTACCATATTTAGAAAAGTATACATACAGATCAACTTTTAATCTTTCATGTTCAGACAGTTCAGGTGGAGAATAAACAATTAATGCATTAGGGTCGTCAGGATCATGCAGTGGCCTACGTGGTCCTGACAGACGTAGTCCAAGAACTCGTCCAGATAATTCATAACCAGGTACTGGTATTTTAAATGGTTTGCTAAGAAGTTTCCTCACTCTCGCTTCCTAATCAATGTCACATCTTGTTTTAATAGTAATTAACAAAGATAAAAATAAAAATAATTATTTACAAATAAACTTACATGTTCAGATACTATTTTTTGCATCGTGTGGATGCCATTATCAGAAAGAAGAACAGCTTTGCGTTCTGATATTTGTATGTCTTTGACATTCTTGGAAGCCCTTCTTTTTGTCTCTTGTTGCACATAGTTTTCAGACTGGCTTAATTCTATAACATCCTGTGGTATATCCAAAAGTAAAGGCCGTTTTCCTCTTTGACTGGGTGCAAATGATCGAATCTAGAGCATGCCAAATAAGTAAAATGAAATATGTACATATAAAATATACAGAAAATATTCAATAATTAATTAATAATATTAATAATTCCTTAAAATATGAATTTTTAAAACAGGTCAATATTTTTCAGTATATTTTATCAATGAATTATAAACAAATGTAATAATTAAAACATAACCTTAGATTTCATAACACTGATAGAAATCATTTTATAAAGATATATATTAATCAACAAGAGGAACAAATATCCTATAAATTATTACCATTTCACGTGGTCAAATATTCATCCTTTTTGAAAATTAGCTCAGTTTTCTCCTCATTTATTATTAAACATGAAAGTGGCGCGAACTACTAAATAAAATTTTATTCAAATTCGATTATAACGAGTTTCAGCCATTGACTATAAGACGATACTAGATGAAACATCCTATTATTTTTTCTGAACACAGCTGATTAGAAGTATGTTCAGAAAATAGACAGTTATGCACAATTTTTAAATAAGCATTTAGTAAAATATACAAATATGTTGAAAAACATGTATTCTATAAATTTGCGTTGATTTTAATTCACATAATTTCTTGTCAAATTGTATTTATTCAATATCTTATTATATTAAAGTATAATCTATCCTAGTAAAATTTTTTTATCATATTGATAAAGTTTCATGCTTGAATTTAGTTACTCACTAACGGTTAAAATTTTACATCAAGTTTTACATCTAGATATTCATGCACCATAACCGTTCGTTCAAGAACAAAGTCTGGTTAGCCAATCAGAACTTGGAAAATTGTCTCGTGAAATTTGAATCATCTTGAATACAAATTAGATTAAATATTAGATGGCAAAATTGAATGCTATTAATAGAATAAAAATTTCTTCGAATTAAAATTTGTCATCTATAAACTTACAAGAAAAAAGACAAATCAATTTAATTATAAAGTATAAAATCACATGATTATTAGTTATTAAATAAACAAAAAACGTTTCAAAGACAACAATTGTTCTTTAATTTTCTATTTCTAACATGTACATTTTGCCTTTTGCAAGACAATACACGATAATGTTTCGCTTCAGAGCATTCTCTAAACAAACAACTGTACATATCATGTTAAACATTTCTTCTTTCGGTTGATTTAAACGCATAATCTTACACATGTGAATTTAGTGGAATGTAGGGAACGCACAAATACAACGTGATAGTGGATATATTTCTCTATGCTTTTCGTCTATGTTAATACTGTACGATATATTACACTTTACAATGCTTGTCGCTTGACGTGAGTGAGCACCGTTGCTCGAAAGCACGAGAGATACATGCGTCAATTATTGAAACAATATATTCACAATGTTTATTATTTCCGTGATAAATAACATATGTAGAGTCTCGTATCTGCAGTCTGCAGAATTGCGTGCAAGATAAATTCAGGATAAATCCATTGTAATTTAC